TTCTTTTTTCTTTTTCTTTTTTTCTTTTCGCGCGCTTAATTAGATTTTTGTTCGTCTTTAGAATAAAAAAAAAGATTTTTAAAAGCCTCTAGCATTTTTTGCCTTTTTTATAAATAGTAAAAATTGAAAAATAAATGGTTTTGGCAAAAATATTTATCAGAAAAAGATTAAAAACCAAAAAAAATATTTTTGGAATTTTAAACAGATTTATTTTTGTTTTAATTTTTAAAATTTAAATTAATTTTTAGAAGAATTTAAATGGTCTTTTGAAATTAAATTGCTCTGTTTGGGAAATAAATATTTAATTAATTAAATATTCTTTTTATACGCTCTTACTAACATAATATTCAATTATATTTTAACAAAAAAATCTTTTATTTCGATTAAAATTTTAAAAACTAAAAACATTTATTTTCTTTTATTCCTCCAAGTTTTCTTCCGGTACATCTTTTCTTTTTTTTATTTTTAAATTTATTTCCCCCTTTATTCTTCCATGCTTATTCACTCCATAATATATTAACTTTATATATATTCTCCACTTTCATTTTTTCAAATTTCCATTGATGTAGCGGATTTTTCTTTACTATTATCATGCTTTTTATAAAAGAAGAAATTGTTTTAAAATAAATTATTTTATATTTAAATTATTTTTATTATTTTTTAGTCAATTTTGTATTTACCGTAAAAACTATTAATGTCCTTTCCTCCCTCAAATAATTACCCATGCTTTATTTATTACCCTCTCCAACGAGAGATCGATGCAATAAGTACCCGGTGTAATTATTTTAATAAATACTGTTATTATTTTCCTTTAATTCAAGCAATTTTAAATTATTCCCCTTTTATTATTTAATTAATTTTCTCCAACCTTTTATTCTCACGCCCTTTATTTTTTAATTAAATTTTGAAAAAACAACATTTTATTAAATTAAAATTATTTTTTTTTCAGAAATTAATTAATTAAATAATGATTGACTACAGCGAAGTTTCTAATTATTCTTTGGCTAGTAGATCACGTACTCCACATAAAAAGGTAAATTTTAATTATTTTTAAAATTTTTCCGCATGTTTTGTTTATTTCTACGGAAAAAGGACATTTTAGAGACTACCCCCATTTTCTCTTTCTTTTAATTTTTTCGAACAAAAAATTATTTCATCATTCAAAAATGGAATAAAACTTAGTGACTAAATTTATCTTTAAATTAATTTTTTTTCAAAAAAAAGTTTTCTATTTATTTCTTTATTTAAATTCTTCTTAAAATATTAAAAAGAAGCATTTTTATTTTTTTTTTGAATTTTTTATAATTGAGAATAATTAATTAATTTGTTTATTGTCTTTTAAATATTCAAAAACATTATTTTTACGTCAGTCACATTTAAACAAAAAGATATACAAAATCCAATTAGTATTTACATTTTTTTAGTAAAAGAATCTTTCCTTTTTCTTTTCATTAAAAGAATCTCTTTTTTTTTCCAAAAATTTTGTCTAAAATTATTTTCTCAAATTACTTTTTTTTAAATATTTAAATATTTACTCATATTTACTTTTTTTTTTAATTTCCCAAAAAGTACATTTTAAAAATATATATTTATCTTTTTTAAATATTTAGACAAATTTAAAAGAAATTTAAAAAAATCTTATTTTTATCAATGACTTTAAATTTTTTAAACGTTTTTCGTGTTTCCGTTTTTCTTAATTTTATTTTTTTTTATTTTTCCTTTATTTATTTAAAAATAAAAAACTAAAAAGTTTTTTTTAATTTTTTGAATATTTTGGTCGATTTATTAAGATAAAGAATTTATTTTTAAATTGCCGTGAATGAACCAGGGTCTTTATTAAAATCTTAAATCGGTGGATTGAAAAATATAACCATATCCTGTCAATTTTACATTTTTGAATGCCCTCAAAATAAAATTTAAAAAAAGATAAAAGGTTTAGTTTTTAAAAATACTTTTTTTTAATTTTATAATTAATGTTATTCAAATATAAAGAAAATGACATAAATTGCCTTTGGGGACAAAAAAATATTTTTTTCTATTTTCAAATATTTTATTATTTGTAGTTTGGTCAAAGTTTGAATTTTTTAAAAGAAAAATATCTCATTCCTTTTTTTCTAAATTTATTTGTAAAGCAATGATTTAATACTTTTGACCATTTACAGAAATAATATAAAGAATATTTTTTTAAATAAATAAATTTATTTATTATTAATTGCTTTATTTAATTTATTAATTTAGAAAATAATAATTTTTGACAATTTTTCAAAGAATAATTATTTTTATTTTTAAAAAAACTTTTTTAATATTTTTATATTTTGTTATGAAAAAGAGATATTTTAATTACAATCAGACTTTACCTGTAAGTAAACCCTTGAGGATTAAAATATGTAGTATACCTTAATTTTGTGTACCTCTTTTAGGCAGCCCCTTAAGTTAAATTAAGTGCCCCAAAAGAATTTTGTTTTTATAATTTTTAGTGCAACTACATAAAATAAATAAATATTTAAATATTTTTATTGTAATTTTCCTTTTATAGTAACACAAATATTTTTAAAATCAAATCAATTCAAATTGTAAAAGAAAAAAAAAGTACTAAAATAATGAATACCTACTTACATAGTACTTTTTTGTTTTAATTAATTTATTTTTTATTTTTAAAACGTTAAGAGATAAATAATTAAAAAAAATATTTTTTTAAATAAATATTAAAATAAATCTTTTTCTTATTTTATTCCCAAAAATGATTCATAATTTTTTTGTTAAATTTCTTTTATTTTTGATATTTCCAAAATTGGAACTTTTCTTTGGGAACATTTAAATTTAAATATTAAAAATAAACAAAGAGAAAATCTAAAAATAAATTTTATTTTTTTAATTTATTTAAATAATTTATTTATTCTTTTAAATTAATTAATTAATTATTTTAGCCATTTTTTATATTTAATTTTTATTTTTTTTTCTTTTTATTTTTAAACTTTTTAATAAAAATATAAAATTATTTAACAAAAAAACTTTTTTTAATTTTCCCTCATTTATTTCTTTTCATCTTTTTTCCAATTTTTAATGCTTCTTCCCATGAATCACAAATAAAAATAAAAATAAATAAAAAATGAAAATTAAAGCTTTGAAGGCGTGAGCATCAAAAAAAGGAAGACAAATTTTTAAGTTCTTTTTTTAAATAAAAATAATATTTTTATAATATCCAAAAACTCCAAAAATTAACAAAAAAAAATATTTTTTTTAAAGTCTTTTATTTTCTAATAATAAAATAATTTAATTTAAAAAATGACATCTTCTTCTGATGAATATGTATGTTTAGATATATTTTTTAGTTTTTTTTAAATTAATTGAAATCAGTAAATTCTTTTTTTTTTTGCTATTTTTAGAAAATATATAAAAAAAGTAATGGGTTGATTTTGTGTGAAAAGAAAATAATCGCCATTTTCTTTTTGTTAGTAAATTGTGTTTTTATTTTATTGTAAATTTATTTAATTTTTCTAAATTTATGGTAGAAAAATTAAAAATTTTAAAATAAAAAGAGAAAATAGAAATTTTTTTAAATCTCTCCACATATTTTTAAAATCTTTAAGTTTGGTTTATTTTGAGTCTCGCCTCCCCCATAATTACTTTTTAACGCGTAATATTGTGGACCTTTTTTAAAAGTTATCAGTCGAATTGAAGCCGGTTAAATATTTAAAATTTCGATTAGTAATAATTAAAAGCTTTGTTTAAATCCCTTTTAGATCCTTTTTCCCCCTTTTTTAAACAATTCTTTTAAGTACTTATGAGGGCTTTCAATTAATTGATAACTGTAGGTATTTCACATTTTTATATCAGTACCTTGTAGTTGCTAAAATAAATATGTAAACAAACCTTAAAATATTATTTTGAAATTATTTAAATATTTTTAACACAATATATTTTGTATTTATATTTGTAAATATATTTAATTAATTAAAAAAAAATATGTAATATCTTTTAATATTTAATTAGAATTTTGATTTTGTTTGGGGACAATAATTAATATGTATAAACAAAAATGATAACTGGTACTACCAAAATTAATGAAATATAAATTTAATTAATTTTTTAAAATAAAAGAAATCCTCCCTCCCTTTTTTCACAAATTTATTAAAATAAAATTGTCCCCAAAAGAGGGTAAGCAAACGGAAAGAATCGATGTTTTAGTATTTGCTGTTCATTGATGAATTTTATACATACACACATGTGTGTAGAGTATTGAGGCTGGCAATTACCACCAAAAAAAAATTAAATATTTATTTTATATAACATTCTATATTTTTTCTCTCATTTTGGACTGCAGCCGCCTAACTGATCATTTATTTCTTTCTCAAAAAAATTCTTTTTTTTTTATTTTAATTTTAATTATAATTAATAAGTTTTCTTCTCTAAAAATATTTTTACTCAATTAATTACTTAAATCATTAATTGACAGACTTTATATAGAGAGAAGAAAAAGGAAGATTTCTCTTCTTTTTTTAATTAAAAAATATTAAAAGAATGTCTTCTCTCTTAATTATTCTTTTATTTACTTAATTTAATAATTAATTTAACTTTTAATTTTTTTTAAATTTAGTTGTCTATATATTTTAAAATAGTAAATTTCTGTTTTTAAATATAAATTTTAAATTATTTGTTTATTTTTTCTTTTCATTTTTTTTCCAAAATATTTTAATTTATTTTCTTTAATTTAGAAAAATTCCCCTTAAAAATATTTTTAATAAACTTTTGATGATTGACCATTTATTTTATAATTTTTGAATGGCTATTAGTATATTAATTAGATATTTTTATTTTTGCTCATATTTAGTAGCAACACAGACATAATTTAACTGTTAACAAATATTTATTAGTAAATTTTTAAATTTAAATATTAATTAACAAATATTGAGTATATTTGTCCTTTAATTTATTTATTTGGAGGGGAGGGCGGGGGGTTTAATCATATTAAAATTATAAAATTACTTATTTTATTAGAGTTCGGAGATGGGTGCAAGTAAATCACAAGATGGCTCTGTCATCGAACCTCTAGCCGGTGTTGATTCGGGCAGTTCGAGGACTGTTGGAGGAGGTGGCGGAAAAGGAATATCAACGTTCGAAATAAAAAAAGCTTTCAAAATATTTTCTTTTTAATTTTAAAGTTTGGCTAATGAAGATGTTCTTTCTTTATTGTCAGCAGAAGCTGAGGAAGACGAACAAAGACAAAGGGGGGAAATGATGGGGGAAAGTGGTGCTGGTAGCCGAATAAAACGTGGATGTATTCCTCTTCGGCAATTATGGCAAAATGATCCCCTCTATACTCTTTATTTTGAACATATGAATAAAGGGAGACTTAAAGTAAATATTGATATAATTAAAAATAAAAATTAATTTGAAAAAAAGATTTCATTAATGTGCCTTGTATTTCTTTGCCTTTTGGTTATTTCTGCACATGCAATTGTTGGTAATTGGTTAAGGTTTGCATTTGCGGTGAATCTACTTGTTTTTCTATTTGTTACAACATGGAGATGGCGTTCACCTTTATTTTCTTGGGCTGTTTTAATTTCTTCTTTATGCCTTTTAATTCTTTCACCTCCAACACTTGTCTCACTTTTGGCTGTTCTTTTACTATTACTTTGTTATACAGCGGTGAATTAAATATAAATATATTTTTTTAAAAAATATTTAGAAAATAAATTTTAAAAAATTATTTTACAGTAAGGGAATAATAAAATATATAAAATTATGTAAATTTATTTAAATATTTAGATGCCCCTTCAACTGAGAGCCTCATTATTGGCTGCATTTGCAATAAGTATTACCTCATTTGCTGTTAGAGCAATACCATTTTTACTTCAAACTAGGGAAAATAATAATAATGAGGAATTAAAACCTGATGATTTTAGGCAATTATTAATACAAATTGTTTTTATTTTGGCTATGAATTTAAATGGAATGTTTATTGTTAAGTTTATTTTTAAAATTCTAATAAAGTTTGGGAATAATAAGATATATAAATCGGTTTTGCAGTTTATCAGAAAATTAGTCTCCATAACTAAAAAATAATTTCCCTTAAATTAGCGGGTGATTGAAAAATTTTATAACCATTTAATTTTTATATTTCAGTATATTCCAACAGAACTTGTTCAAAGGAGAACATTTCGAGAAACACGTAAAAGTGTTGAAAATAGGATACAACTTGTTAGGGATAATGAAAAACAAGAAAATATTGTAAATATATTTATAATTATTTCTTTAAAATAATTTCACTTCAAAGCTTCTCTCAGTAATTCCAAAACATATTGCAAATGATATGAAAAAGGATATTGATAGAAATGAACCAGATCAGCAATTTAGAAGAATATATATCCAAAAACATAGCAATATTTCAATTCTTTTTGCCGATATTTGTGGATTTACTAATTTAGCTTCACATTGTACTGCCGAAGATTTGGTAGGAAATTTTGAAAAAAAAATCATAAAAAATTTAAATAAAGGTTCGGACATTAAATGAATTATTTGCACGTTTTGACACTTTAGCACATGAAAATCATTGTATGAGAATTAAAATTCTTGGTGATTGTTATTACTGTGTTAGTGGTAATTTGTTAAATATAAATGAAGAGAAAAATTAGTTTATAAAATTAAAAATTAAGGCCTTCCTGAACCTCGTTCTGATCATGCAATTTGTGCTGTTTCTATGGGGCTAGATATGATACACACAATTAAGTAAATATATTTAATTATTTTATTTTTAAATAATTAATTTTTAATTTAAAAATCATTTCAAATAATTCTCAAGTTTTCGATGGTGGATAACCAAAAATGAGGAAAATTAAATAACAAATATTAATTAAACAATAATTATTTGAGCAAAAAGGGTCCCCAATTAGATAATCTAAAATTTTTAAATTAAAAAACAAAAATTATTTTTTTAGGTTAGTCCGCGAGCTTTATGATGTAAATGTAAATATGAGGGTTGGAATACATAGGTAAATAATTCTGTTTTTTTAATTAAAAAAAATATTTAAAAATTAAAGTGGGAAAGCACATTGTGGAGTTTTGGGGTTGAAAAAATGGCAATTTGATGTTTGGAGTAATGATGTTACTTTAGCTAATCATATGGAAAGTGCTGGGATACCTGGGTATTTTTTGTATAAATTTTTAAAATAAATTTAATTTTTAAAGTCGAATTCATATAACAGAGGATACTTTAGAAGCTTTACAAGGGACTTTTAAGGTTATTCCGGGAAATGGACATGAACGGTCTAAATGGTTGGCAGAACATGAAATTAAAAATACTTATTTAATTGTTGAAGGAGAAGAAGGAAGAGAGGTAATGGATAAAGAAAAAGAAATTAAATTTTAAAAATTAATTTTTAAAGCATTCATTACAACAACAACAATCAACATTTAATCGTTCAACTTTAAGTAAAGAACTTCAATTAACTGGTAAAATGGATAGACAAGGAAATCCTTTAAGGAGAGAATTATCTAGAACAATAAATGAAGATGTTAATAAATATTTGGAAAGGGGAATTGAAGCTATAAATAAAGAAGCTTGGAGAAATGCTTATTGTGGTTAGATTTATTAAATTTTTTTAAGAAGAAGGAAAGGGGGAAAGTGTTTAAATAATTTATTGAAATTAAATAAATAATTTTTATTTATATTTTTTAGAGCCTTATTTGTTAGTCTTTAAACACGCACCAATGGAACAAAAAGTTTTTAAATTTATTTTTTTTTTAATTTAAAATTATTTTTTAGTTTCTTCAATATAAATCAAATCCATCACTTTTAGAAATTACAAACCTTCTTTGGGTATTTGCTTTATGTATTTTAGCTTTGGGTATTGGAGGATTAGCTTTTGCTGATCAATTAATTGCTGGGGGTGTTGCTTTTGTTTTATTGCCTTTACTACTTTTTCTTCTTTTATTTCGACGTTTTGTTAAGGTTTAAAAATTAATTTTGAATTTTTAAAAAAAAATTTTTCTTTTTTAGTTGCCAAGACGTAAACGTCGCCGTTCAGGACTTAGGCGTATACAAAAATGTTTATTGGTGCTTTTATTATTTTCTGTTTGTGCTTTTTTCCTTTCTTTACGTTTTGCTTTACAACCAGCACCTTCTAAATGTGAAAAACAATTGAAAAATACTGAAGTAATTTAAATAAATTTTTAAAAATAATTCTTCATTTCCCCTCCCTCCAAAAGTTAATATTTGAATGTGCATTATTACTACTTTTATGTGTTTGTTCATTTCAATCTATACTTTTTCTCGAAAAAGTTTTTATTGCTTTTCTTTTATGCCTACCTGTTTTAGCTTCTATTTGGATGTTAAACTTTCCTTCTTTAATACCAAAAGATGAACAATCACAACAACAAAAAACACAAGAGATGATAAAAGAAAATAATTTAACAACAACAACAATTAAATTATTACAACAAAATTATTTTTTAACACAAAAAATTTGCAAGTAAATAAATTATTATTTTTAATGAATTTCTTAATTATTTGGAACTGTTACATTCCGAATAAAGAAAATTTTTTTGTTAATAATTTAGCAATTCTTTTTTGAAATATAAGTAATTGGATTCCTGCTGACCCGATTCCCGGAATTTGGGAATTCCCGTTTGCCTACGAAATTTTTCTGAAAAATCCTGAATTTTCGCTAATTTTCCTATCATATCTGGCGCTGATAATGAAAGAAATTTGGCTCCTCGGCTTTCCAAAATTCACAAAATTTATGCCTGCGGTGCTAAAAAGGAAAAATTACCAAAAGTCTACATCTCTTTTGTTTTTTTGTCGGAAGGATCCCTGATACACATACAGGTCTTTAAGGGATGTTTTCTTTATAAATATTTTTTTAAGAATGTAATCAAAAAATTACTATCTATAAGCTTTCCTTTAATTTAAAAATATTTAGTGAAAATAATTCTTCAATAGAGCCAAGAATATTATTTACACTTGTTGTATTTTTTGCTTTTATTTTAATTGCATTACAAAGTCATCGTTCTGAATTAATTGCTCGTTTTGATTTTATTTGGAAATTACAAGCTTTAAGTGAAAATGCTGAAGTTAAAAAAACATATGAACAAAATAGAAAAGTTTTAGAAAATATTTTGCCTGCACATGTTGCTAAAGTAGATTTAAATTAAATAATAAATAATTATTTTTTTAAAAGCATTTTTTATGCGCCCAACCAACTAAAAGGTCTGATCTTTATTCTGAAGGAAGAGAAAATGTTTGTATTATTTTTGTTACAATTACTGAATTTGATAAATTTTATATGGGTAAATTAAATTAAAATATTTAAATAACTTTCTTTTAAAAAATAAAGAAATGGATACTAATCAAGAAGGAAGGGAATGTATTCGAGTTTTAAATGAAATTATTGGAGATTTTGATAATGTTTGTATTTTTTATAAATATTTTAATTTTAATTTTTCTTTCAGATTTTGAGTGATCCAGAATTTCATTGTATTGAGAAAATAAAAGTACCCCCTAAATTTTAATTAATTTAATTAATTTTAATTTAAAGACAATATCGACAACATTTATGGCAGCTTCAGGCTTAACAGGAAGTACTTGTGGTTCTTCCCATGTTGTGGCTGTTGCTAATTTTGCTTTAGCTTTATTTTCTCAATTAGAAGAATTTAATGCACATTCTTTTGGAAATTTTAATTTAAGAATTGGAATAAATGTTGGGCCGGTAGTTGCCGGGGTTATTGGAACAGAAAAACCTCATTATGATATTTGGGGGAATTCTGTTAATGTTGCCTCTAGAATGGATAGTTCTGGTGTTCCTGGACGTATTCAAGTGAGAAAAAAATTATTTTTTAAATAAATTAAAATATTAAACGCCTAAGAATTTTATTTTGATTTTGAGTTTTGAAAGGCTGGGCTACGGTGGAATTTGTACGGTGGAATTTGTAAAAAAAGTTGTAGGAATAAGATTTTTAATTTTAGGAGTATGTAACAAAATAATAAAGAGTATGTAAATAAATTAAAATATTTAATTTTTTAGGTAACCGAAGAAACAAAACAAATTCTTGAACGTGAAGGTTTCGAATTTGAATGTCGTGGTGAAATTAATGTTAAAGGCAAAGGGTTAATGACTACTTATTTTTTAAAAAATCCAAATGGTGATGATTTTGATGATAATATTTCTTCTCTTCCTTTAACAAAAAGACGTAGTAGTAGTGCTGTGCCGGGAAGTGGATTTCATCAACAATCAAATGGTGTTAATAATATTCAACAACAACAACCAAATGGAACAATTTAAATAAAAAATATAAAAATAGGAGATTTTTTTAGAAATTTTCAAAATTAATTCTTGAATACAGGGGAGGGAACTAATAAATATAGGATTTATTTTTTCTTCTTTTCCCTTTTATTTTTTTTCAATTGGGGAATTTTTTGTGAACATTTTTAAAATTAATATTTCCTAGTTGTTATATCTCTATTAATTAATTAATATTTTAAGCCCAGAGCTTTTTTTAATTTTTCCATTTTATCTTTTCTTTTCCCTCATTTTCTTTTTAAATACCTTTTAAATCTAAACTTTTGTCAGATTTTGGCATATTTTTATATTTAATAATTTTTAAATATTTTTTGTGCCTTTTCTTCCTCTGTACATTCTCGGTGAATAATTGTAAATATTTCCTTTATTTAATTTCTACGTCAAAAACAAATAAATACGAGTTTTTATTTTATTTTTAAATACTATATAGCATGGGGAGTATCCGTTAATATCCTCTTTGAAATTTTGCCTTTTATGGCTATTATTTACTCGATTAACATTAAATATATCTTTTTTAAATAAAAACAAAGGTATATATCAGGCCTGCACATGGACACGGATTTTACTATACATGTCCGGATATATCCGTGAGGCCAATATCCGTATCCGTTAATATCTGTGCAACTTTTGAGCATAGCATCCGCGGGTATTAAGAAAATATTTGAGGGGATTTTAAATCAGCATAATTATTATTTCTATAATTTTTATTAAAACAATCTTAGTTACAAAGAAAATTAAATGCTAGAAAAGTTGTGAAAAATGCTTTAACAGATTTTGTAATTATCTGTTTAATTAATTTATTCAAAATTTAACATCATGACAAAAAGCAAACTAAGGAATTAAAGATATTTTCATGATTTATTTACATTGAAGTTGAAATAATAATCTTAAGCTTACTAATGGAAAAATTCACGAGATATTCAAAACAATTACTAAATCTCCAGACGATAAAATTAGTTTTTATGAATTTCTAGTAGACTGAAGAACAGTTATGTGAAGCATCCCTAATGCTATTATTAAAGAAATGAACACAGAAATGCTAACAACAGTTCTTTATCGCTAGCAAATACATACAATACAGCAAAATACATCAAAGGATTACAAAAATAATGTGAACAGAAACATATCAACAATATATTTAGGCACAATATACATACAAATATATAGGGATGACAAACAAATGTGGATGAGTTTAATCACAATACATATATTCGAATATCACAAGGAGCTTCCTCATCCCGTCATCCTTTCCGGTGTCCCTTCTTTTTTTCCTTGCCGCTCTTGTCTTTCGCGCTCCTTTCCTTTGCTGTCGATCCTTCCCTTTTAGATGGTCGCGATGGTTTGCTATTTCCTTTGGTGTCATCTACGCGGCTACGCTGGCTGTCAGTGATCCTCTTCATATTGTCGTCGAACCATTGAAGGGCTACCTGCATCGCACACCTGTCGTCAGCATCGCCATTCCAGACATGTCCCGTTATGAATTCAGCGAATTCCCTTGGCGCTTCGTCTGGGAATTTCATCCGGTCACCCATTATCACCTAAATGTTTAAAAAAATTTAATAGATTCCAACCCCCTAAAACACACCCTTCTTGCAACGTCGTTATTGGAGCCGAAGTTTTGGTAGGGATTACCGCCGTTCGCAAAGATCTCCCAGCAGAGGATTCCGAAGGCCCAAACGTCCGACTTCTTGGTGCAGACCCGATCCCTCATCGTCTCCGGTGCCAACCACTTGATCGGGAGCTTTTGATCCTTGTCGAGCTTGATTTCCGTGTCACCAGGCAGCAGCTCACGAGCGAGCCCAAAGTCAGCAATTTTGACCTTAAAAATTAGAACAAAAATTAGCAATTAAAAAATTTTTGAATTGCGCTACCTTTTGTTCGCTGTAAAGGCAATTCCTTGCCGCGATGTCGCAGTGGACGACGTTGTTCTCGTGAACATGGCTGAGACCAGAAGCGGCTCCAAGACACATGTACAGCTTGCTCCTTGGGCTCCTCTGGATCTCCTGCAGATAGTCCTTCAGTGCACCATTTGTCGCGAGCTCCATTACAATCATCAGCGGCTCCTGACCAACGGCTACACCTTAAGGTTTGAAAATATTTTTAAAAAAGACAAAGACTTCATCCCGAAACTTACCATAAGACTGGATGACGTTTGGATGCTTGAACTTGCGCATTATACGGGCCTCGTTCATGAACTCCTTTATCTGCTCCTTTGTACACTTGGTCAGTGTCGCCTCTTTGATGGCTACCTTCGCCTTCTCAGTTTTGCTGATCCTGAGCTCTCCGCGTCTTACGATGCCAAATGCGCCTGCTCCCAGCCTTGCTCCACTGATAATGTCTGCATGCGCAAGCTCCCATTCCTTTCTCGACATGGGTTTGGTGATGATGACATTACTCCCCTGAAATTAAATCTCGGTAAAATTTTAGTCAGGATGCGCTGTACCGAGCAGACAGGTTGACGGCTTTGCATGTGGCTGTCGACAAAATCCCTCAATGTTTTGTAGCCCTTGTCTGATTTGAAATCGATGGAGAAGCGTCCTTTCTCCTCACGGAAGATATAGTGCTTGACGTTGCCGTAGACGACCGACAGGACGAACGTTCTTGCATCGCCTGCATTCTCTTCACTCTTTCGGAGCAGGAATTCGCCATTCGCCTTCAGCATTGCAACGGTGTCCTCACGCGGAAGCTAAAAAATTAAGCGAACATGAAGCCTATTAAGAAAAAAAGAAAATTAAGCTTACCAATCCATGGTAGTATGGTAGCGCCCACAGGTCTCGTTCAGACTCCATTGGTAGAGAAGCGGTAGAAGTGTTTACAGAGCAGCGAAGCGGTAGAAGAGCGTTTACAGAGCAGCGAAGCGGTAGAAGAGCGTTTACAGAGCAGCGAAGCAGTTGGAGCAAAAGCCCGTGTTGTGAGTCGTTGTGTTGTGTTATCTCAAGTTCTGCTGACTTTTATATGCAAAACTTGAGATAACACAACACAACGACCTTAACCAAAAAGTCATATAAAAGACATCTAAAAATTCTCAACATAACTCAGTACGACTCGACAACACTAAAATTGCGCTTCGTCTGCATCACGACTACTGCTGTTTCGGGACGCCGTTGCTGTACCTCGTCAACGTTCGACTTTCCAACGATCTTCTACTCTGCGGGTTGTCTTCTCAATTTGCTCACAGCCAATGGAGTCCGACAAAAACCTTTGGGAGCTCCCATATTACCATGGATTGGTGAGTCCATTTTTGTTTTAAGTAACTAATGTTGATCCGTTTTCCCTTAATTTATTTTTAGCTTCCGCGAGAGGACACTGTTGCAATGCTGAAGGCGAATGGCGAGTTCCTGATCCGAAAGAGTGAGGAGAATGCAGGCGATGCAAGAACGTTCGTCCTGTCGGTCGTCTACGGCAACGTCAAGCACTATATCTTCCGTGAGGAGAAAGGACGCTTCTCCATCGACTTCAAATCAGACAAGGGCTACAAATCAATAAGGGATTTCGTCGACAGCCATATGCAAAGCCGCCAACCCGTTTGCCTGGTACATTAGAAATAGAACATAAGCTTAAATGACAAGATATTTTTAGGCCAGCCATGTTATCATCACCAAGGCCATTGGAAGGAAGGAATGGGAGCTGGCACATGCGGACATTGTGAACGGAGCAAAGCTGGGAGCTGGTGCATTCGGCATTGTAAGGCGCGGAGAGCTCAAGATCAGCGGCGGACAGACGGTTAAGGTAGCCATCAAAGAGGCGACACTGACCAAGTGTACAAAGGAGCAGATAAAGGAGTTCATGAACGAGGCCCGTATAATGCGCAAGTTCAAGCATCCAAACGTCATCCAGTCTTATGGTAAGTTTCGGGATGAAGTCTCATGTCTTTTTTAAAAATATTTTCAAACCTTAAGGTGTAGCCGTTGGTCAGGAGCCGCTGATGATTGTAATGGAGCTCGCGACAAATGGTGCACTGAAGGACTATCTGCAGGAGATCCAGAGGAGCCCAAGGAGCAAGCTGTACATGTGTCTTGGAGCCGCTTCTGGTCTCAGCCATGTTCACGAGAACAACGTCGTCCACTGCGACATCGCGGCAAGGAATTGCCTTTACAGCGAACAAAAGGTAGCACAATTCAAAAATTTTTTAATTGCTAATTTTTGTTCTAATTTTTAAGGTCAAAATTGCTGACTTTGGGCTCGCTCGTGAGCTGCTGCCTGGTGACACGGAAATCAAGCTCGACAAGGATCAAAAGCTCCCGATCAAGTGGTTGGCACCGGAGACGATGAGGGATCGGGTCTGCACCAAGAAGTCGGACGTTTGGGCCTTCGGAATCCTCTGCTGGGAGATCTTTGCGAACGGCGGTAATCCCTACCAAAACTTCGGCTCCAATAACGACGTTGCAAGAAGGGTGTGTTTTAGGGGGTTGGAATCTATTAAATTTTTTTAAACATTTAGGTGATAATGGGTGACCGGATGAAGTTCTCCGACGAAGCACCAGCGGAATTCTGTGACTTCATGACGAGGCAGGTTTGGGCCGGTGACGCCGACGACAGAAGTCCGATGCAGCAAGTGCTTCTATGGTTCGACAATAACATCAAGCGCATGACCGACAGTCAAAGGAGCCGCATGGACAACACGAGAGGAGGCAGCTCAAAACCAGCTCGTCCGACGTCAAAGGAGGGAACAACTGCGAAGGAAAAAAGCGGGAGGGAGAAGAATGAAAGCGGCCGAGATAAGAGTCAGAAGGGCAAGAAGGGACACCGGAAGGGATGACGGGATGAGGAAGCTCCTTGTGATATTCGAATATAATTGTGATTAAACTCATCCACATTTGTTTGTCATCCCTATATATTTGTATGTATATTGTGCCTAAATATATTGTTGTATGTTTCTGTTCACATTATTTTTGTAATCCTTTGATGTATTTTGCTGTATTGTATGTATTTGCTAGCGATAAAGAACTGTTGTTAGTATTTTTTGTGTTCGTTTCTTTAATATACCGTATTTCCTCTAAAATAGCACCCTCTCAAATACATAAACTCCCTCAGAGGTCGATCGAAAAATAGCCCCCCTCTCTAAAATAGCCACCCCCCCCCCCATAAAAATATAATTATTTTTGGAATTTTGTTTTTAAAGCATATGTAGCACAGTCCCTATAGTTCAATAGATTAGAAAGAATTAATATGAATATTGGGGGATTTGGAGTGATTAAAGTGAATATCAGAGGACAGTTGTGTCAGAGGACAGCCTTTAGAAGTGCTCTTAAAATGCAGGCAACCGAAAATTTCCCAACAGCTTGGGGCAATACTTTTGGCTCTTGTCCAGTTTATGCGTCCCATGAAAGTATATGCGTCCCATCAACAAAAAATTGAATATTTCTTGGTGTTGCAAAGTAGGGGTATGGTTCCAAAGCATTTCTTCATGTTCGGGATCTACGTCCACTGGGTCTGGGACCGTTCCTTACCCTATACCTCGAAATTTCTGAAAGTTAAAATCGTTTTTCTGAAATTTTTAAAAATTGGCTATAACTTTCAGAAATTTCGAGGTATAGGATAAGGAACGGTCCCAGACCCAGTGGACGTAGATCCCGAACATGAAGAAATGTTTTGGACCCATACCCCTACTTTGCAACACCAAGAAATATCCAATTTTTTGTTGATGGGACGCATATACTTTCATGGGACGCATAAACTGGACAAGAGCCATACTTTTGACAGCGAGTGTAATTTTCAAAACTTTTTTTTTAAATTCGAAATTAAAAATTAATTTTTGTACTTTATCAAATCCATTTTGTGAAGAAACTGCAGCCCAATTTAAATTTTGATAAAATGAATCAGATACAAGACTAAGTGTAAGTGAACGTGTTAAATCGTTAGCGTAACAAGATTCGCAAGAATTTAAGGCATCCTATTTCAAATAAAAAAATAATTGGAAAAATAAAGATTAAAATGTGGGAGAAGGAGAAAATGTGGGAAAGGAAGGAAAAGAGGATCATATCCGTATCCATCTGATGCAAAAACAGTATCCATATCCGTCCGTATCCGGATATATCCGCGGGTATCCGGATATTTTCCGTATTCAAGTACATATGTATATTTACAGAAAAAAATATTTTTATTTTTTTATTCAACAAGCATTTTTAAAGAATTCTAAAGGCCAATCAAAATAAAATATTGTAGCATTAAGTAAAGATAAAAAACTTAAAATTATTTCAAATCTAAAATATAAAAAATTACCAAAGAACATAATTTTTTCCTTTAAAATTTTGCATTAATTCGGCTGTCTGAAATATTTATTTTTTTTAATTTTTAAAGTTAGAAAAAAACTTTGCATGGATGGATATTGTAAAAAGCAATTCCAAGGAATGGATGTTCTCCTTGTGATATAAATTCTAAAAATTCATTTGTTTCTTTTCGAAAAGTAAAATTCTTAAAATCTTCTAAAGGAATAAGTTTTCCATTTAAAAAAAGAAGGAAAATTAATTTTAATTTTGAATAATTAAATTTACCAAAATTATAAATATTAAACCAAAAAACCGGCACAGAATACGCCTCACTTTTTAAAAATACTTAAATATTTAAATAGTATATTTAATTGTTAATACCTATAACAAATTGAACAACATCTTTTGTATTTTTTACCAGAAATATCACAAACAAAATCATTCATTTCCATCCATTTTCTATTATTTAACTAATATTTTTAAATTTTGTTTAGAAAAAATTAATTTTACATTTTTAATTATCCACGGATTTTTACATAATTTTAAACTAAAATCACAAATTTGTTGAATATCTTCAATAAATTTTTGTTCACAAATCATCACTTTTTAATTAAAAATAATTTAAAATTATTTCAAAATTTTTTGTTAATTTTCAAGTAATTTTGAGATTGAACATTAAAGCTAATTTTGTAAACAAATATTCTTTAAATTTCAAAACAAAGCACTTTTAATATTTTTCCAAAATTTAAAAAAACGAAAATTTCAATGATTAAACAAGTGGTGTGGTGGGGGAGAGAGGAGGTGGAGGGGGTAAGTCCAGTTTATGTGTCAAAAGAAAATTTTATAATTTTTAAAATCAAAAGATGTATTGACGAGGCAATAAATTCTGAAAGTAAATATAGAGCAACATTAAATAATCAGTTAGGAATACAAAAAAAATTTAATAAAAGATAAACTATAATTAAATTTTCATTTAAACATTACAAAAAAAATTGTGTATTTGTTTATTGTTAAAACAAAAATGTTTTGGGGTGGGGGAAGAAAAAAAAATAAAGTTGTTACAAATCGGTTGATGCACAATTATTGTTTCTTAATATACACAAACAAATGTGTAAAATATATATAGATTGGTGAAGAAAAGAAAAATTGAGAGGATTTTTATGAGATTTTTTTTTAAATTCGAATACTCAAATATTAAAAAAAATATTTTAAAAACCTCACAATTAATTTAATCCAATCTCGTCAATATAACACAACAATATAGAGAATATACCTATTTATTGTTGAAATAAGATCTCTTCAATATTTTCCCTTCCCGTTAAAGTTTTCTTTCCTTACCCCTTAAATGTCCAACCAAATTTTACATCTCTTCAATTGTTATCTTTAAAAAATGAAATTTATTTAAAATATTTTACAAAACAAAATTTACATTTTCCCTTTTTGGCCAACGCAATTCTTCAAAAGTTTTTGATGTGTTCATACTTGAAACCTATAAAAAGAAAATATTAATTTAGTTAGAAATTATTAGTTAAAAAGCCAATAAGAGTCTAAAACTTCTAAAATAAAAACAGAATTTTAAAGACAATATATCCCTCTTTTTTATATTCAAAACTATCAAATTTTACCTCTTTTTTCGGTCTGTCAGAATTCCACAAACGAAAATGAGTCCTCTCAAAACCAATTGATTCAGCATAAATAATTAACATTTCCACACTTTCATCACGAGAAAATCGTCTCATTTTCATTTCTCCATTTGGACAACGAAAACGAATAGAAATTGCCTTAGGATCAGATTCTTCTGGCTCAGGTGGCAAAATCATGGCAAGTTCATTAAGTCGACTTTGTTTCTTTGCTTGTAATCGAAGATTCTTTTCTTCAGCTTCCCTAAAAAAATTTCGAAAATAAAATAAATTCTTGCGAAAAAAACCTTTCTTTCGTCTTTTGTTCATGTAATTCTTGCTGTTTTGCTTTGTCTAAAGCCAAACTACGTTCATATTCCTGTGCCTGTTCTTGTCGAAATAATTCCCTTTCAAGTCGTCCACGTTCCTCTTCTTGGTTTTGATGCCGAATTCCTTGGTATTGGTCTAGACCGATCATAAGTTTCTGCATGGCACTTGCCACATCTTCTTGACCTTTTTATTAATTAAAAACATTAAATGCTAGAAATTTAAATACTTTTAAACAATTTACCGTAAATAAAAGTGTTCTGTTGAAAGGAACTCCGATCTTTGCATAAAATAATCAAAAGCGGATATTTTCCAGTCATGCTTGATACTTTAAGAATTTCAACAAGATTCCCTAAGTTAGCCAAATTCATCCAGTCAAAAAGAGTCTTGCGGTTCTGTTCTTGAGTAACATCCCATGCCCAAACAAGAAATTGACATTTAAGCAAATTACTAATTTCAACCGAGCACAACACCTTTAAGTGGGTAAAACATTATATTTAAAAAATAAAATACAAACATTCTGAGGAAAAATATGAGCAGCAACAGAATCATCATGATGCAAGTATAAAACCAATGGACGACGTTCTTCAATATTTGGATTGTCAAATGCCTCAGTAATTGCTTTTTGCAACGGGCCATCAAAAAACGGGGGATGTTGAGCACCATATCTTTAAAAACCAGGAATTAAGCACTGAAACCATTAAAATTTACAAACCTCGATTGAAAAACAGCCGTAAAATTCTGAATTGCCTCGTGAATTGAAGTAAAATCTGTCGGAATTAAGGGAATTCTATCACTATTTTGATTGTGAAAGTCTTTCTTGTCAAGTAATTCGAGAGGAGAATCTGAACGAAAAGTGTAGTCTGCATAGTCTTCATCATCAGAATCGACCAAATACTGGGTATTATTTAAAGGGTTATGAGAACTTGATTGATGACGTCCTTGTCCAGAACTAGTACCACCTGCGTCCACACCATTTTCATTACGATTTGTATCATTAGCTTTGTGAGTGTTGCTATTACTTCGTTTATCATTATCCATAGTTGTTTATTTTGGCTAACCAAGATTCTCTTAATCTAAAAATAATTAAAAAAAAATTAAATATCAAAAATAATTTCGAGAAAGGATGACATTAACGGAGCAGCACAGTTGAGTCTGCTTGTGAATTCTGAACGATTTTTCTCTGTGTGCTTTCCAATTTATCAAAATAAAGGGATATCGCTTCGACCCAACTAGGAAAAAAATTTCACGTGTTTAGAGCTTTAAATTGATAAAAAATTTATTTGAAATGGTTCAAATTTAAAAAAACTATGGATCGAAAAACGCTCAAGCGTGCGACTCAACAAAACACAATGAAAAGGGACACGCCCGAAACGGCGCGGGCCAAAACGGCGCGACCGAAACGGCGCGACCGAAACGACGCAGGCCGAAACGGCGCAAGGCCAAAACGGCGCACGACCCAAAACGGCGCAAAAATTTCCCATAAGCTATTGTTACATGAGGTTTAGCTCGAATGGTGATCGTATCTTTTGGAGATGTGAACAAAAAAAAGCAGATGTAAAGGTCGCATTTGGACAACATCTTGTGATAACAGAGTGATAACAAAAACTGAGCGATAACAAAACTAATTAGATCGTATACTTACTAGTAAGTATAACTGCGAGAAATAACTGCGGGATTCAGATAGTTCCAATAACTATATTACTAGTTAGTTTCCCCTATAACTACATTTATTACTAGTTAGTTTCCCCTATAACTACATTTATTACTAGTTAGTTCTCCCTATAACTATATAGTTATCGCCATATTATTACTGTAACCAGCTAGACTTAGGTTATTTTTATTCTGGTCGTTGATGTTGGAACAGTCTTGACCGTTGCTGGAACAACTTATCTCAATGTTGGAACGATCTTCCACATTGTTGAAACAATTTTCCCGTAATATGCAAAACCTTATTGTAGAATTTAAATAGTTCGAAGGATCAATGTACGCAAGGGTGGTTATCGATTTTTGATCAATCACTAAAGTCAGATCGATCACGAATAGGTTGATCACTAGAGATCAATTGAGCACTCTCACACTTGATCACATGATGATAACACGATTAATCACTATCATTGTGCAGTCTAGGGTTTGCGCCGTTTTGGGCCGTGCGCCGTTTTGGCCTTGCGCCGTTTCGGCCTGCGTCGTTTCGGTCGCGCCGTTTCGGTCGCGCCGTTTTGGCCCGCGCCGTAATGGGCTGTACCCCAATGAAAAGTAGATGAGGACGTTTCAGATTTGATGATCAGATACCCGGTTCAGTGTACATTAAAGGTACGACCATTCAGATACGTGAATTTTTGGACTTGAAGATCCTTTTACTCGTATTTTTAATTTTTCTTACTTTCTAATGCAAATTTAAAAAAAAGTTTAATAAATTTTTCTAAATTTTTAAAAAGCGGTCGAGTCTTTGCTCTAGACATTTCTTGGGTTATTTATGGTTTTCAAATTTATCGGGCTTAACATTTTAATGGCTGATAAGAAAAGAGATTCAGTTTAGTGAGGGCTTTCCACCTTCTTCAACGAAAAACTTTCCATCTTTTTGAATCAGTCTTGAATCCCTCTAAAATAGAATTTTCATTAAACATTCTTTTCGAATAATATCCTAATCGGTATTTAATTAGCACTTTTGAGGGATTACATTTTTAGAGAGAGAGAAAGGTTGTTTGATTAAATATTTTTAATAATTTTTTTAATCTTTTTTTTTGGGAAAACTTGTTATTTTCCTCATTATTTTTTAAATAATGAGGATATTAAAATAAATTTTGAAAATAATTTTTTTTTGTTTTGTCCATTTTAAAAAACAATTTATTTGAAATACATAGATACTATATTTTTGAAATAAGAAACAAATAAAATATTTTTAAAAAAATAAAAATGGCAGCAGAAATAATTAATAAAGAAACAGAAAAACCTCACAATAATTTAGTAGATTCAACAATGACTAATTCATCTAATTCAATTAAAAGTCAAACAAAACCTCCATTCGAATTAAAACAACCTTTAGCTGTTTGGCCAATAAAATTATCTTTAATAATTTTTGGAATTCAATTTTTGGAAAGATTTTCTTTTTATTTTTTAAAATGTACATAATTATTTAATTATTTTTTAATTTCTTTTTTCTTAAAGCTACACTTTCCAATCATTTAATTGATAATTTGGGAATGAATATTTTAACAGCCAATACTTCCCAAAAATTAATTATTCAAGTTACCTTTTTTGCTGCAATTGTTGGGGGAATTATGTGTGATATTAAATATGGAAGATATGGGTAATTAATTAATTAATAGAAACAAAATCTGTAAATATTTTTTAAAGTACTCTTGCCTGGTTCTTTCCAATTTATTTTGTTGGCCAAGTATTAATTACATTTAGTCCAATTATTCCTTTACCTGGATTTTTCCATCCGTAAAATTAATTTTTTAAAATAATTTCTTTTTAATTAAAAAGTTATTTTGATTTTTTTGCTCTTTTTCTTCTTTCTTATGGTTGTGGATGTATTAAAGCAGTTTTGGCTGCTTATGGGGCTGATCAATTTAAGCCTCCTAATGTTACCCAAATTGGATGCTTTTTTGCTTTATTTTATTCGTTGGAACAATTTTCAATAATTTTTGGAATTTATTTACTTCCAATAATTAAATGTATACATATTTTTAATTTAAAAAGATTTTTCTAAAAAATATTTTCTTAGTTTTCTCTCAAATACCAACAGACAAACCTTTATTAAATGTTCTTTCTTTAGCTACATTTTTACTTTTAATTTCTATTGGTTATTTTTTAATTAATTTAAATTAATTCTTTTATTTTTCTTTAAAGTAATTTTATTTGGAACATCTAATTATTTTTATAAATTTATTCCTCAAAATAAAAACCAAAATATTTTTATTAAATCATTTAAAATAATTAAACAATCATTAATTAATAAATATCGTCGAAAACCTTTAATTACCTCAACAAAACAACCAACCCCTAAATATTTATTAGAATATTTCCTTATTGACCATAATTGTCAGAGAGATAGAGAATGTGATTTTGGAAGAAAAAATATTTGTGAACAAGTAAAGAGAGATAAATATATTTTTAAATTAAATTAATTTTAAAAAAATATGTAGACAAAATTTATTGGTGAATTACAAACAGTTATTCAAATATCTTTTGTTTTATTGCCACTTTCTCTTTTTTGGGCACTTCGAACTAAATTAGTAAATTTAAACTTAAAAAAATATTTTTAATTTTTAATTATATTTAGATATCAATTAATATATCACAAATTCAAAATATCGACACTAAACTACCATTTATTGGCCAATTACCTGACCAGATTTGTTGCTTATTACAACCTATTTTTGTTATTTTATTATTACCTCTATTTTATGTAAAATTTTTTTAATTATTTTCTTTTTATAATTATGCCGTTTTTTCTTTTTTTATGCTTAAATAATTACCCCTCTCAAATAATTACCCTCTCGAGCGAGAGTTTGAAACAAATTTTAGCATGTACGGTAATTATTTTTCCACCCCTAGGAAAATGTTGAATTTTTACTATCCATAATTTAAAAAAAATATATATTAAGATATCTATTCAGAAATACTAAAACTTAATTGTATTTCTAGACATAAAAAAATTAATTAAAAGAACACATTTAAATTTAAGGAATATTAAAATTTATTTAATTTATTTTAACAAAAATATTTATTAGATGTTTATTTTCAAATCTCCTTCAATTAGTCAATGTTTATCATTAAATACGTAAATTTATTTTCATTTTTAGAAAAATCTTTTTAATTTTCTAGTTATCTTCGGCGTATATTTATTGGTATATTTTTATGTTCTGTAGCTTGTTTTTGTTCTGCAAATATTCAAAAACTTTTATTATCAAATAACAATTCTTTAATTAAATCAACAGAAGATTTTACTTTAATTAAATTATTTAATTTATTCCCCTCAAAATGCTCTTTTTCGATTTCTAAAATTAATTCAAAAGAAAATTTTGTTATTATTGAGGCAAATAATTCAAATATATTTTCTTTAAAATCAGAAGATTTAACTGCCGGTTATGTTGATTTATTATTTCGTTTTAATGGGTAAAATATTTAATTTTTCTCCCCAAAAAAACACATTTTATTCCTCTTTTAAGCTCTTCTTGCTCTAGCCATCGGAAAAATTTACTTAGAATTTGGCTTAATTCAGCAACAAATAATCAATTTAATATTGCTTTAGTTGGCCCTCAAGGAATATTTTTTACATCTTTAAATATAAAAAATACAAAAACAAATGGACCTTCAAATTATTTGGGGTTTTCTTTTAAAATTATTTTTAAAAACAATTATTTCTTTTAAAGATTTTTAAATCTTTTACCTTGTAATTCCCTCTCTCCTTCTTTATCTTCACTTCCTTCTGAATGTTCTAATTCAACTAATGATATATTAACACAAGCACTTACTCCATTAAAACAATCTTTATCTATTTGTGATGATTCTAATAATTGCCCTATTAATTGGGATTTAAATGAAGTATTTTTAATTAATTTAAATTTATTTTTAAATAAATTAAAAAAGATTTTGTCTTCAACTTTTTTTGTTTTTCCACCTAATGGCGATAATGTTGGGAAAGGCCGAGGAAGTGTTTATCCAATTAAAGCTATTCCTACAGGAAAGTAATTATTAATTAAATTATTATTTAGTCAAATCTCTCTCTTTCTCTTCATTTAGTTTTCGAAAATTATTTGTCCTTAAGTATTTAACCAAGTTTTGCTAGTCACTTACTTGAAACTATTTTTTTTAATTTAGTCATTTAAATCTGTCTCAGAGATTGGATTAGATAGACTTTACATTAATTAAAAATTAATTAATTTTAAAAAAGATATCAATTTTCTGATTTAATTCCCCAAACAATTATTTCAACAACAACAAATTCATCAATAAATCCTCTTCCTTTAAATACTAATTTGAGTAGCAATAATCCATTAATATCACTTCTTCCACAAAATTCCGCAATTAATGTGGATGGTACTGGATCAATATTGTTAGCAGTATTATCTTTAGATGGAAGTCCATTAGCTGGACAAAATGTTTTTTTATTTGAAATTTTTTTGAATTAATTAAGAATTTAAAGGATTCAACAACTTCTTCCTCTTTACCAAATCCAATATTTACATTTCTTTTACTTTCTGGTCCTCCTCAATTAGGCATTTTATGGTTATTTCCTCAAAATCTTTTAATAGCAGCCTCTGAAGTATTAATTTCGGTTACTGGGCTTGAATTTTGTTATATGAAAGTTTGGAATTTTTTAAAGAATTTTTTCCTAAATTTTTAAATATTTTTAGTCACCAACTTCTTTTAAAGCTACAATGCTTGGGTAAGAACAAATAAAAACATTTCTTAAAATTTTTTTAAAATAGTTATTGGTATTTAATTATGTATGTTGGATTTTCATTTGTTCCAATAATTTCTAAACTACAACCTTTTACAGATCCAGTTAATTTATTTATTTTTTATTTAAAAATTTATTTTTTTTAAGTTTTTTCAACTTTTATTTTGTTCATTCTCATTATTTAATGTTGCTTTAATTTTTGCTTTAATTGCCTATTTTTATTATAATTATCGAGACAACTCAATTAATGGAGGTTTTGTTGAAAATAATCAAAAACAATTGTTAACAGAAGAAATTGGTGGAAAATTTACTGAAAAATTAAGTGGAACTTTGAGGGCAAGTATGGCCCGTCTTCCAACTAAAAAAGTTATTAGACTTTAAAATGATGAAAGAATATTTAAAGAACAATTTTTACGTAGAATATTTTATTTAAATTTAATTTTTCTGTATTTTCCCAACAAAAATAATAATTTTCTCAAATATTACTTTAAACACTTTATTTTTTAAATCAAATCCTGACAGTTTCACAACAAAAATATAATATTAATAAATAACAACAATAACATTAATTAACAAATATTTGATAAAAGAAAAATTATTTTAAATAGGATGTCCGACTTGTGAGGACCCAACACTTGAGGATATTATCGGCTAAATTTGAATTGGCCAAAATAGGCCAATTTTTGAAAAAGTTGGCTGATTCCAGAATTTGTTAACCATAATTTTGTTTCTATTATGGATAATTATTAGATTGTTTTTATAAAATTCAGTCTTTCTGTAGTTTTACTTTATACTCAATTAAATGGAAATTATCCTCAAATGTTTGGCCCTCAAAAATCGCGTTACGATTTAGAATACGTAGCAAGTTAAATTTAATTTTAAAAACGGCAAAGATTTGCCCATAAGTCTAAACCCTGCTATAAAAAGACAGAAAAAGAAAAATAACTTTACGTAGCGTAACATACATAGGATGAAAAATATACAAAACAAAAATGTTATATGTATTTTTCTCTAAAAAAATTCAGCATACTTATGTCATTATCGCACTACTTAAGAAAAGGCGAAAAGTGAAACTTTAAGATGCTGATTTTAGTGTCCGTTTAGGTCGGGCGGGATAATGACATAAATACCAAATCCTATGAAATTAAATGTCATCATTCCAAAAACTGACACATACTACATGCTGGAAAATAAAAGGCAAGAAAGTGAAAAAATCACATAAATATTATTAACTATTTTAATTAGTTTGAAAAAAAAATATGAAAGTTTTTTATTACTTTTATTGCGTAAGTGGAAGATTACCGCTAACATGCTTAAAGAATTTTCCTTAATTAATGAATTAAAGTCCTATTCCCCTCTGAAAGAATTATGCAAATAACAGAATATAATTTAAATTAAACAATTCTAGCAGTAAAAAATCCAAAATAATTTTGCTCAAAAATTCCAACAGAATAAACCAAAATATCTAATTTTAAATTTTATTTAACTCATCGTCTGTTTGCTGGGGCTAACACTCGATAGATACGTACAATCCAATGTTCGGTTGTGTATGCTTCTTCTAAATGTTCAAAGTCAATATCCTTATTGCCAATTTCAGCATGTCGAACTCTGTCATAACCAGTAGGTCTTCCCTTGATTTTTTTAAAGATTTTAATTTATTTAATAAGTATTTACTTGTTCTGTATAGACAGCACCAAAACGATAATAACAAAGTTTATACATCATACAATTTAACATTGTTTTAGACCTAAATTTTAAAAATTTTAAACATTATTTCCTTTAAATTTACCCTTCTTTATCAACTCTAAATTCTCCATTTTTAGTAAAATAATCTGATTCATGAATATGCCGGCCCTCTGGTGTAGATCCACCAATTCTAACCATCCAGAGGAATTTATTTATATCTAAAAAACAAAGAAAAATTAAAAACAAATATTCTTTATTTGAAGTAACCATCAGAGGAATATCCAGTTACTCCACCAAAAATAACCAAAACATAATCAACGTCTAATTCACGTATTATTTCAATAGCATGACTTTCATTTGAAGACATTGCTTGACCAACACGTGAAATATGCGTGTTATTCCAAGTATTATTGTCAACAATTGTCTAAAAATTCTTTAATTTATAAAAGAAATTTAAATTAATTAACAATTTAAAAAATATCAAAATAATAAAATTAGCCTCCAATTATTTAAATACCAATTAGTGACTATCTATTCTTTTGCTTTCGCCTTTGTTTTTAAACATATCCTCTCAATTTTATATTTATGCTAAATTTTATTTTTGTTACATTCCAAATAATTTTTAATTTTTTCATCTAACTTTATATTTTAAAAGAAATTATTTTTACAAGTCTGAATATTAAAATAATATTATCCAAAACGTTTTTTAGAATAATTTTTATTTACCGTTCGATCTGCCATTGCCGAAATTTGATATCCATAATCCCACCAGGACATAACCTTTGCATCAGTTGGTGTATTCTTACGTAGCCAATAATATGCCTCACGAAAATCATCAAAAATGATTCGGCCGCCATCACCCGAACGAGCTGAAAGTACAATGGAAGGACTTGAGTAGGCCTAAAATAAATAAATTTTTTAACAGCAAATTCCCCTTTACAAAATAGAAAATTCCACTTAAAGAATTTTCTTTAACCAAAATACTAATTTTCAAACCTCACTTGTCACCCAAACGCTGTGAAACACAAAAGTGCACAAACAAAATGTCATTGCTAATACAACTGCTGTTGCAATCTTTTAAAAATAAAGTTAAAATACTCCCATATTTTCTTTTGGAAATTTAAAATCTTTTACTATTCTAGTTACCTCTTGTTTATATGGATAATTGTCTTCTTTCTTTCCAACTTTTCCATAAGATTTACCTCCAACTGTATCTTTGGATCCGCTTTTTTTCTCCGTTGTACCAAATAAATCTAGATTGGCAATATAATTGCCAAGCGTGGAAGAAACGGCAATTCCACCCAAAATACACATTATTGGAGCAAGTACAAGCATCAATCTTTAGAAGAAATTATAAATGAAACAACAAACATAAAACAAAATAACTAACCTAACCATAACACCTGCAAAATAGATTGAAGTAAGCCCATACAAAATCACAAAAATATTAGCATCAGTAAGCTGTTTGAAGCAAAAATAGAGACCAGCTAAATTTTTGTAAAGGGATGAATAATTTAGAGAAAGTAGGTTAAACATTAAAAATACTTGGAAAAGTAAAAACCAAAAATTGTAGATCAAAATAAAAGCTACTCCACGCAGTTGGCTGATGTTCGGAAACAGAAGCTATAATAGGTATGTTGTTCTTTGCATAAGAAGGATCCAAAAGAGAGTAGAAACGACCAGTCCAAGGTGCAATTTCTGTAAAATTATAAAAAATAAAGAATAAGGTTTTATTCTAACTATGTAAGAATGTAGCAACAATAAGTGCTAAAAATGCTGCACCTCCAAATACTAGGAGAACCGAACGTAATACCAATTGAAAACGATCAGCTGTCATTTTTGACCTCATCCAGCTAGCAAAAGCAACAATTTGACAAAGACCAAATACACCAAAAGCCTAAAAATTAACTAATTTGTTAAAAAAATAAGATCTTACGCCCATATGTTCAGATGTAGAGACTGGTTGAAAACCCACAAAAGGAATTTGCATTGATAAAATTGTTCCAAGCGTATAAGTTGTGCAATAAGCAACGTATGTACGATGAGAAAACCGCCCAGTACAAATAAGCGTGAGAACATGAAGCGGAATTAAATTGATGAGAAATACATAACCTCCCCAACTAAAATTAATAAAAATTAAAAATAATTGAGTTATAAAATATTTTTAAAGACGGTAAAAATAATCAAAAATAACCTAGAAACCATATAAAAGTAAGCAAGTGCGCATAAGACTGAGTAAAAAATTGACCCAGTTTTTACAGCACGAATCCAAAAATAATATGTAAGTAACATGCAAAATATGGCAATCCCCTAAAAATATTTAAAATAAAAATATTACATAAAATTTTCAACTTCGTTGTCATATGAACCAGCAACAGAACGTGAAATATAACCAGGAACTATAGCAATTAGAGCAGCTGCAATTAATCCAGCGCCCTCAGACTTTTAATAAATTAAAATAAGAAAAATATTAAAAATTACTTTAACTTCTTTAGTCAACAAGAAAGTAATTAAAACAGTAAATGAGCTAAAAAGAGGAGCAAGGAATACACAAACTTCTCGAATATCAATTGTAAAATTCAAAAAAGTCAAAATCCGATGAATAAATAAACTCGTTATCATAAGACCTGCAAAATGACAAAAGTATTTTACGGGAAAATCAAGGTTTTGGGACCACACTTTTCTCTTTTGGAATATTAATTTTAATGAAAATGAGACTATATTCATACGTTCAATAATTATATAACAGAAATTAATACTTTTTTGATGCCACAGGGAAATAGAAGGAAATTAAGGAAAACTGACCATTCTATCCATATAAAGGGAAAAAAACTTGAAAAGAAAAAAATGGGGCTCCAGCCTTATCTTTCCCTACTTTACTCAAAAATAAAATGACCTGGATAAATAGTTCCACCAATAATTCGACCCAAAGGATACCAAGCATATGCTTAAATAATAAATTTAAAAATAATTCGAACATTAAGACAAAATTTACCATCAAACCAATTATGAAAAGCATAATAGCCATTTTCAGTTAAATATTTTGTTGTTCGATAATTGAAATAAGGATCGAATTCGTGAATAACTGACTCGAATCTAATTACTGCAAATAAACGTACAGTAAAGGCTACAATTGATGATAATGTGAGCACAAGAAGCTTAATTAATGTTTCATGTTGCTTTTCATGCCCACTCAAAAGTGATGGCAAAAATCCCATTTATTCAAAAGTAAAATTAGCAGAGCAATATATAATTATCTGAAACTAATTAAGATTAGCATAATTTTCAAAAGTATTCATCATTAATAAAGTTATTTTGTCGCACAAGTTGAAAAAATTTATTTCGATCAGCTGGAAATAACAAATTTTAAAATTAACATTTCGCCAATAAACGTAGCATTGACGTTTTGTACATAAGCTAGTTTGGCGCATGACAATTTTGCCGAAGGCAATTTTCGTTGTGATCAGATATTAAGACAAAAATTAAAAGTTTCGGTAGGCCAAGACGATTGAATTCTTCTATTTTTGTCTGCTGATAATCCAATACGCCTTCAATGATTCGGAAAGCAAGGATGAACCTGAAAAGATCGCGCCAGACTGGCTAACACCAGATTAACCACTTAATTGATCTTTTTCGTTTTTATTTCCTCACGTTTTATTCAACTATTTACATATTTATATACACGCTAAAATTGTTTTATTATAGTAGTTGTGAGTTTTTAAAATTATTCGTTGGATTAATTATCAGAAGAATTAGAAAAATGGCTTATGTAAATTCTAGTAAGTTAATTTAATTTTTTACTTATAATTTTCTTTTATTTTTAGGTGGTGAGGTTCGTGATCGTGCTGATTTTTCTATTGTCAAGACATTTTGGAATTTCGTCTATTTCGTGACATTTTTGTAAATTTTAATTTAATATTTAACAAATACTTTTTAATTTAAAGTTTCCGTGCACTTCTTGCGCCTTTATTCGGTAATGCTCAAAGTGATCCAGATGCCCAATCCCGTTATCGAACAAATTTACGAGGAGGTGGTGACGGCTGGGGAGGAGGCGGCGGTGGTGGTGGAGGTGGAGGATGGAGACCTGGTAATAAATATATATTAATTTAAAAAGCAAAAATTTAATGAGGATTTAATATTTTAATAATCCCTAAGGGCATTAATCCCTAAAAAGAGTCCAGGAAACGAGATTAAAAGTTATCGGGAATATGAATTGTTTAATAATTAATATAAAATATATATTTTTAGGTGGTGGTGGACCCAGACGTCCAATGGGTAGACTGAACATGGACGGCCCATCTTCTATGCCAAGTTGTCCCATGGGTGGATGTTGCGGATAATGAATTTGTGATAAATACAGTATTTTACATTAATTACTATTTTCTAAATGTAAGTAATTATCCGATGATAAACTTTCTTTTCTACATTTTTTTATTATTAATGGAGAGCGATATATATTGTCTAAATAAGCCTAAATATGCAATTAAATAGTTTTTCGATATGGTTTTGAACTAAGTTACATTCAAATTCTTTTTATATTTTGCCAATTTTCCTGTTCAATACTTGACAATTTGCAAATCCACCTAAATTATTAAGTAAATATAACTCATTCAAAAGTCAGTACCATTTGCAATTTAGCGAACTTCGAGCCGTCTTGAGACATAAAAAAAATATTTTTCTTATTTTTTGTTTGTTTTTTTTTTCAAAAATAGATTTAAATTGCATTTTATAATTTAAATTATTATTAAATAAATTTTCCAAAATCGTCTTTATTTAATTTTGGATTATAAACTAGGTAATAATTATTTTAAAATTATTCTATTTTAAATATTTTTTAAAATTAAGGAAACTTTTTAGATAGAAAATGAACAAAAATCAAAGATAAAAAACAATTTTATTTATTATAAATAAATAAAATATATATTAAGTAACATATTAAATAATAATTACCTTCTTTTGCTATAAATACATATATATAAATAATGATTAAATAAATGATTGTTAAATATTTATTTATATTTTTAGTGCCAATTACAAAATATATATTTACTCAGTTTTTATTTCCTTTTTTGTTGGACATTGCTTACCTGCATATTTTGCCAAACAATATAATAAATTTAATAATAATAAAGACTTTTCGACTTTTGATTTTTTTAAATTTCTTTAAAGTTTCTTTTTTGAATTAAAAAACGATATTTTTTACTTCGCTAAATTAAGCTTAAAAATAAGCTCACTTTAAGGTAAAGAACATCGAAATCAGCCTATTTTTTTGCTATGTCTTCCAGCCATAATTTTGCCTAAACTTTGTATCATTTTATTGATAATTATTCGTTTGTTTTTATAAAATTAAATCCTTTTATCGCTAATTTTTCTGCTTAATTTAGTCGAAATTATGTAGTCTTAAAAGTTGCGTAAAGATATCTTTAGATACATATATTTATTTCAAATACATATGTACCTACTGAATTAATCATTAATTATTTTAAAATAAAAAAATTTAAATTTAATTATAGAAATATTTTTTAAAAAATCATAATTTCTTTAAATTAAATAAATTAACACAGGGCTTCGATCTCGAATTTTTTAAAATCCGCAAATTTGATCGAAAAAATCCTCATTTTATATCAAAAATCCGCAAAAAATTAGCAAACACAAAAATGGAATTAAAATCACTTTATGCGTTAATTTTTTGACTCCAACAATTGAATTGAGCAATTTTTTCATTACTAATGACTATCTTATTAAAATCCGAATAATTAAATGAAAAATTACAGCTGACTTGAGCCAATGATTTCACCATCCATAGTTATAGTGAATTGTTTACTCGAAAAATCTTGTTTTTCAGCGCCGCAGGCGAAAATTTTGCGGATTTTGGGATGCCAAGAAGCCAAAAATGTTATTTTAATAAAAAACTACAAGAAAATACAAAAAATCCTCATAATCTTCAAAAGACCACAAAAATCCGCAAATCCGCATTTTTAAAAATAATCCTCATCGCCCTATCAAAAAACCACAAAATGAGGAAAAATCCGCAGAAATCGAAGCCCTGAATTAACATTTTGTTATTTACAGGGTACCAGAAAGTAATTGACACTTTTCATTTCATCATAACTTTTTTATAATCTACATTTTTAAATATTTTTATGCTCATTTTGTGGCCCAAATATTTCTCTTCCAGGTCCTATAAGCCAGGTTCTATTAGCAAACTTTTTCCAAAGAATTCAGCCTTCACTCAATTTCAACTCCTCCAAATGTTCAAAAACACTGTCCAAAAAACTTTTAAAAATTCCAGTATTAAATGTTCTGGGAAAATATTTTCCTTATGGTTAAGGAAGTAGTAAGACATTTGACTTAAAGAAAATTGACAAACCTTGATCAGTAAACACACCAGGGAACGTGAACATGGTCAAATACCGAGTACACTCTCAATCCCTGGTTTTCGATGAGAAAAAGTGCCATGGAAGTGTCGATGAGAAAAAGTGCCATCTACGTACTAACAAGAATAACATGATACATAAGACAGTACTTAACAACTGTGCTTTATTTGCAATAATATATTCTCAAAAAGTACAAATTTTTTTAAAAGAAATGAAAAGAGTTGGGACCCAGCCAGATATGTAAGTACCCTCTGAGGCAGTTAAGTGACACTTTTTTATTCAGTCGTAATTATTTGCTTTCCGGTGACCCTTTAATAATTGTTTAAAAGAACATTTTTATTTAATTTAATATAGACAAGAATAACAATAAAATAATATTTCTTTGTTTAAATTAATATACCGTATTTCCTATATTAGAGCCCCATGGGGCTCTATTTTTCAACTATCCTCCAAGGTGGGGCTGTATTAAAGGGTGGGGCTCTAATTGAGGGTGGGGCTCTATTTTTCAACCCTATTTTGAGATAAAATCCCATTTATTAAATATCCATTGTAACTAGAGTTAGGCCGGAGGGGTGGTCGATAAAACCGAAAAATATAGGAAAGAATCAAAATTTTCGATTTTTTACAAAAAATTAAAATTTTATAAGCATTGAATAACAAAATAGTCGCAATAGTTCAATGAGAGTAAAACCATTTATGAAATTTTGGTAGATTTGGCCGGATTACGGGAAATATTAGGGGTTTAGTATTTGACATCGATGGATCAGAGGTATAATAGTGGATTTTAATTGATTATGGGGAATATAATAGGATTAAGTTTATATTGAAAGATTTAGCGGGAATAAGAGGGATATTCTGGATTAGGGGTATTAGGAGGCATATGAAGCGATTTTGTTTGATGAGCTTTGGAACAGGTTCCAGAACTGGAACCGGTTCCAGAGAAATTTTGGAACTTCTCCATCACGGATTATAAGTCCCTAATAGATCTCTAATAATTTCGAGAATTATCGTCAATTTCCTAACACGACTGCAACCCTTCATACAATGATTAGATTTTGGAGGTAATAGGAGGGATTTGGAGGATATCGGGGATCCCTCCTCCTCCATGATCACAATATTATCAATATCACCCTTTACTTCCTTAGCTCTCGAAATACATCTAAAAATTTATTGGGATATTTTTTTCCTCCGATATTTTTAAGTGGGGCTGTATTTGGGGTGGGGCTCTAATTGAGGGTGGGGCTCTATTTTTCAACTATCCTCCAAAGTGGGGCTGTATTAGAGGGTGGGGCTCTAACAGAGGGTGGGGCTCTAATATAGGAAATACGGTATGTACATATTAAATTAACATATTAGGTATCTTGTTTTTTTAATATTTTTTTAAATGCGAACAAAATAAAAGTTCATTTTCATATGTTTTGGTTTTTCTTTTAATGTTTGAATACTTTTAATTTTTAGTTTTAACATATCTCAGCCTACATTCAAGTCAACTTACTACACGTCCAGTATAATTTTAGTCACTTTCCACCTAAAATCCCCCTAACATCTTGACACAATAAAAGTTCTCAAAAAATGGCAACCCTACAAAATCTATATTTAAATTCATAATTAAATGAACTAAAAATGTTTGTATTTTATTTTTCTACAAGACTTACTTTTTTTGAAAAATTTATTTCCTTCTTTTTTTGTAGTTCTAATTTATATTAAAGAATTTTCTGAATTTTTAAATAATTATTTTTAAATTTATTTGTTCATTTTTAATTATTAAAATTATTTAAATTTTTAGAAATTTTAATTTTTTGCAAATTATTCAATTAAATAAAAATTAATTTGTGAATGGATATGATTAAAAACGGTTGGATACCTTTATCCCAATATATTTTTATATTTGTTGTTTCAACAATTTCTTTTTTAATTATTTGTTTTGCTTTGTGGATGATACGTTATTTAACAAAGAAAAATAATTTTGAGTGTGCCCCAACACTTTTAGGTGGTTTTTTTAAATTTAAATTTAAAAATTTATTTTAATTTTAATTTTTTAAAGTTTATTTATATTCTCTCCTTTTTTCTTCTTTTTGCCTTTCAATTCAATATTTTTTACTTTTGGTTTTTACTTTTTTCTTCAAAACAACTACAAAAATTATATTTTGGACTGGTTTATTCCCAGGCTCTTTATTGCCGGCAGCTCCCGTTTCTGTCCTTTTTCTTTCTTTGGATCGTCTTTTAATTGTTTTAACTCCACATATTTATTTCAAAAAAGCACCAAAATTTATTTTGGCTTTGGCTAGTTTAACAACAATTTTTATATTATTTTTTATTAATTTAATTGTTAATTATGTTGAAAGACCTTTAAATGAAATTTCAGGTAGAGGATGTTTATAAAATATAAAAAAAAGAAAGAAAAAGTTAGACAAAATTTAATATTTTGTATATGTTTATATTAAAGTTTCCCCATGGAAATTAAATTAATTTTAAAAAAGTTACTTGCACTTTTTACTAGGGCTGTTCCCCGTCCCCGAAATTCGGAGAATTTTAGAGTTTTTTTTTTTAATTTCCCGTCCCCCACTCCCCGAAAATTTATCCACATGCCCACCCCCTCCCCTATCGGGGAACAACCCCTCCTTTTTACAGAAAAAATAGTAGTTTTACACATATCTTTTATTTAAATAAATATATATTTTTTATTTAAAAAGACTGTATTTCTTTTGGTTGTTTAACTTCTGATGCTTCTCGTTTAATTTATGCGATTAATCGTTTAGTTGTAGCTTTACCTAATTTTATATCGGGAAGTATATTTTTGGTTATTTTATTTGCCCATCGTCGACGTTTAGAAAAACAATTTGGAAATAATAAACAAAAAATTAAAGAAAATATTTTTTTAAATAAATCAAAAAGAATGGTAATTAGACGAATAAATAAATATTTTTTAATTTTTATTTTATTTAAGGGAAATCGTTTAGCTTTGTGGGTTGTTATATTCGAATTTTTATTAGATTTATTGCCAAATACAATTAATTTTTTATTGACGGCTTTTTTTGATATAAATATTTCTGTTTATGTTGGGGCTTTTCGTTCATTAACTTTTTGTTTAAATTCTTTATTTGCTTCCACAACACACACAAAAATTCTTTGGCATATATTTTCTTCTTCAAGTTTTAAATAAAAAATTAATTTTTAAATAATTTTTTTAATTTAGAAATTATTCCTTCAAGTAAAACAATTAATGGAAGGCCAACAATTCAACAAAATAATTTATTTAAAAGTAATTCAAATAATAATAATTTACCTGGAATTATAAATCCAGAAATTGCGAATAATTAAAGAGAATTTTTGAATTATAAAAAAGAGAAGTTGGGAAAGAAAGAAAGAAAGAAAAAATTTTTTTAAAAATACTTTTTACTTTAAATTTCATTCTTACTATACATAAATACTACTACAATAATCCATTTTCGATATACTAATTAACCTCAATATAAACGAATTTCGCTACGGTCTCTTTATTTCATTAAACTGTAATTGTATTTTAAATTAAAACTTTAAAATCTCATTAACACATTTCCTCGGAAACTTTCATTCCAAGTCAGCCCTTGTTGAATTCATTATTATTTCCGTTTAAATTTGTCATTAATTTTTTAAATTCTTTTCCGATTTTTTTGTCTATTTTTTATTAAAATTATAAAATGAACTAATATGTATGTGTATTTTAATTTTCAAAAAGTATTTAATAAAAGAATAATACATTTTTTGTTTTTTAATCCAATTTTAAATAATTTATACAAATGTTTAAATAAATGTTTGGGGAGGGAAGGAGGGGGGGGGGGGGTGTTTAAATATACAATTTAACAAAATATATGTATGTACATATTTAATATCACAAAAAAGTTTTTTAATCAAAACATTTCTTTCCTTCTTTTCACTTTTTCTTCCAATTTCTTCTTTCCTCTTCAAAAACCTCCATTCTTCTAAGCTAATTGACTTTGTCGATTATCAACTAAATTAATCCATTTTTTATTTTTTTGAGAATTTTGTTTCGTAAAATCTGTGGAGATTTGTGGAGGAATTAAAATAATTTTATCTTCATTCATATAATCTAAATAAATAAATTTTTAAATTTAAATTAAAAAAACAAAACTGTAAGCATTAGACACAATTGAATAACACCAAAATAAAATAAATTCAATTAAAAGAAAAATAATAAAAATTAAAAAAGTAATTGAACGGAGGGAGTCTGTAAAAAAATTAATTTTTTAAATTATTTTCATTTAAATTAACTGTTATTTTTTATACAAATGTCGAGAGATAATTCCAAATGTTCTTTCCAAAAGTTAGGCATCCAAATCATCATTGTTCCAATAAATAAAATATATAGAGAATTGAAACAAATTAAAATTGCCTTTTTTAAATTTAAATTAAATTAAGGGGGAATTTTTGGGGTTTTTTAAAAGTCTTCTCCCCTTTCTTTATTTAAAAATATTTTTTTATGATTTTAAACAAAAATTAAAATATAAAACACTCCTTCCTTTAAAATTTAATTAAAATATAAAATTCTTTTAAACAAACATTTAATAACAAAAAAGGCAAATAAAGTTTAGAGCATCGTTGACGATCAGCAAAAAGTAACAAAACAAAGGGAATACAAAACATAATAAATACCTTTTTAAATAAAAATAAATTTAAAAAAATTAAAAACATATTTACATACAAAAATTCCACAAAAAGATTGTTCTGACATTAAAAATGAAATTAAAAATGAACATGCCAAAGAACCAATTGCTCCAATTAAACGAGCACCAGTCTTTAAATTAAAATAATTAATATTATAGATAATGAAAAATAAAATTTTATATTTAAAAGTTTAATCAGAATTTTATTCAAGGAAATAATTAAAAGAAATTTATTTTTTATAAGCAAACCAAAACATGAACATTTCCACAAAAACAATAAAAGTTTGGCGTGTCCATTCTACGGCCAAAAAATGAAATTAGATAGTAATGAATGTTTTTAAGATTTTTCTAAATTAAAATAATAAATCTTTTAAATAAAAATAAATCTCTTAATGTAAAATGATTTGTGTAAGCAACATTAATATTTAATATTTTTTTCAATTTAAAACTTTTAAAAACTTAGGTTTTTAATAAATAAAATAAAAATTTTAAAAGTCAATCATACATTTAATTTTAAAATAAAAATGCCACGAGATTAATAAATTTAATTGATTTATCCCCCCCCCCTACTCCCCTCTATCTTCTTCCCTTAAATTTATTGACATTTATCCTTTCTTTCTCTTAATCAGAATGCCCTTTTGTTGTGTAATGCCGAGAAAAAAATTCGAAAGTGCAAGTGAAAATAAAATTTAAAAAAATTTATAAAGTAATAAATAAATAAAGTTTTAAAATAATTTAGGTATCGTTTAGGGGTGAGGGTAAAACACTGTCCGATCAAAATCCGTCTGGAATTAAGAATAAAAACACCATCCAAAATTCAATTGGCGATATTATGTTATCTTAATATTTTTAGCCCCTATAGCTATTGGATCTTGGATTGTACGACATATAACTCCTATATCTAAAATAATTTTAGCTTTAAAATCTTTACTCTAAGCGAAATGGGCGGTACTATGTTTTGATAGAACGTTGCTTTGTTTTAACAATCGTAGGCATCTTCTCCTACCCATTAACCAACCAAAATTTTAAAAACTTATCTAAAATTTATGTATTATTTGATTAAAGATATATGTACTTAATTTTTATAAAATAAATACCTTAAAATTATACAATTGTTTGCGGTAAATAGATATCTTTCATTATAACCCACTCTCTAATATTTAAAGAATTATGGATAAAATTTAAAAATTATAGCTCATTCTTGTAGAGTTTCTGAAATATCAGCTGAGTTTGAATCAACAAGTTGCTATACCAGTTTTTCTTGATTTAATTCTTCAATTATATATTGATAATTATTCTCATTATGATGCGTTATTTGATTAAATATATTAAATAAAATATATCCAATTGAGGTAATAATCTCAATTGGTCATCATTGCCTACACTAGTTAATCCTACCAATTAATTAATTATGTGGGTGTGGCATAAAGGTAAAGTACCGGAAACGTGAATATAATGAAAGTTAACAAATATTTTTTAATCCAAAAAGTGATTGACTGACAGTTTTAACTTCCGGTTTTTATTAAGTTAATTCTTTATTTAATAATTCTTTGTTGTTAGTGACTTGAGGCAAGAAACACACAAAAATTATTTAATAATGATTAAATAAATGGAGAAGGCATTTCTCCTAATTTTAATATGTATAAATAAGGAAAAAATATTTTTAATTCCACTATTTACCTAATAAGTATTAATTTTTTATTTAAGAAAGGTAACAAATTTAAAAAAATCCTTAATTAATATTTATTTCTAAAAATATAAAAAAAATTATTTTTAAAAATATATAAAATTCAGAAAATTTTCAAAAGTTTTTTTAATTTACAAAACTTGTCCCCAAATAAATTGCAAAAGTCCTCCCTCTTTAAACCTAACAGTAATTTGTTTTCATTAAAAAACTTTTTTCTTGGCAGACGTATTTAATACTGTAAATATATTCTTTAGAATAAAGTGGTTATTTTTGGATACAAAAACAGAAAAAAAACACAAACACATAAAAATGACCAAAAAAGAAAGAAGAAGACGTTACTTTTTTACCCCAAAAATTTTTTAGGATTGAGGACTTTTGTTTTATTTTTTTCTTTTCGGGTTTATATTTCACCATTAACCTATTTATTGCCTTTTGCCAATCCATGGATACACAAATAAATAATTAGAAAATTAAAAAAAATATATTTCTTTTTGTACTTGAAAAAACTTAATTTTAGCTTTAGGAAAAATATGAAACAAAAACAATTCTTGAACTTTGCGTAAAAGAAAAAAGTTATGGTGGTCCTCTTTAAAAAAGAATAATTTGGAAGTACATAGTAAATACCTATAATAAATTGTTTTTTTTAATTAATTAATTTTTTGTTTATCATTTAAAATTTAAACTCCAAACAAATGTTTCCTACAAAAAACAACAGCAACAATTTATTTTTAAATAATCACCAATCAACCTCCTCCACCTCCCCCATTTCCTATAATTTACCTTCAAATCAATTTAATAATTTAACAAATAATCAAATACCCCAACAAAATTTAAATTATTCATTTTGTATTTATCCTTATTTTAATTATAATAATTATTATTATCATAATTATTATTCTTCAAACAATTCACAACAACAATTAAATAATAATAATTTATTATTTAATAATCAGTCTTCTAAAATTAATTATAATCTTTCTAATTCTTTGGCTATTAAAAATGAAATGAATCCAAGTTTTTTTTTAAATTATAATCTCCTCTAATTATTTTTATTTTAAAGTTTTCTTTGATATTAAATTTAAAAATAAAAATTAATTTATTTTTTAGTTCCCAATTTATTACCCCAAATTGCTGAATCGACTACTAATAATTTAAATAACAACAATTTTATTTCAAATAATTATTTTGAAAATAAAATATTTTTTAAAAAAGAAGATGAAAATTTAAAGAAAGGAAAGAAAAGAATTCTTTTTAGTCAACAACAAATTCAAATACTTGAAGAAGCTTATAGAGGTAATTAATAATTACATATAAAATAAATTTATTTTTAAATTATAATTAATATTTGGAAAAACTTGAAAGTTTTTAAATAAATAGCTAAAATATTTTTTGAAATAATTTTTGAAATTTGCTGCTACTGATAGGCCAAACATGGTCTTCAATACGTGAAGATATGTTTCGCTGCGATCACACTCGCTTTACTCGTTTCAGCCGTAGCGAATCGGTGACTCTCTTTTAGTTTTATACATGCCTGGCTTCCTCCGCAGCGGCAGAAACTCTTCCGCGAAGTTTCTGATCCAAGCAAGTCAATTGTGTTGATTTTCATTAGTTAGCTCAAAGAGTTACGTCGAATGAGCTTTAATTTGTGTACCAGGGGAGGTGAATGGATAACCAACAAATACCAATAAAAGTTTAAAAATATTCATAACATTATTTAAAAAGGAGAAAACTTCATTAATCAATCAAAACGTAATGAGTTAGCTAAACGTTGTGGACTTAGAGCAGATCAGGTAGTATATTTGAATCTCGTTATAGTCTCAATACTAAGGGGAAACTACCTATACAACCGTGATTATAATATATCCGTGGATTATAAATATTAGAAATATTTTTTGTTTTATTTTCATATTACGTGCGTGACCAAAAGTTACGTCGAACCAAAAGTTACGTATTATGAAATAGCGAGTTTGTTTAAAATTATTAATGGGTTTGATTAAAAAGTAAAATGATAATATTTAATAATAATACAAACGCCCATTTCCAAAAATAAATATGAAATCAAAAGTCTAGCACTTTTTTCTCCCATTTTTAAGAAAAGCGGGACTATTTTTTCTTGTTTGGGATTTGAGTGGAATAAAACCTCGTTTTGAAATTCGTTGGGACCGGGCAATAGGTGGAAGGAAGATAATTGAGAGTGGATGGTATCTAGTTGGTGCTATAACGAGATTAAATATATTTTATATATAAATAACGAAATTTAGGTTAAAATTTGGTTTCAAAATAGAAGATATAAACAGGTATATTTTAAATTAATAATAAAAATACAAAATGCTCTAATAGATACATATTAGCTTTTAATTTTTGAATTTAAAAATATTGGGAGAGAGATTCTAAATTAATTGAGAGATAATTTTGAAAATAAATTCTATTTTAAAATAATTTTTAGAGAAAGAAGAAAAAAGATAAAGATTTTTTGGAAAACCAACAAAAACAAAATTCTAATTTCAAAACTGAATTAAATAATGAAAATAAAGAATTGTTATTACCTCCAACAACATATTGTTTTAATAATTATTATTCTAATTTAAATGAAGAGGAACAATTACCCTTTTAATATTTTAATTATTTAAATATATCTTGATACATTTTAAATATTTTTTTCTGTAATTTATTAATTAATATATTTAAATCAAACAAAAAACTTTTCTAAACTTTTCTATTTTTTTAATATTTAAAAACAAAAATTCAACTTTTATTTTCTCTTTTTTTTCTCAATTTTTTATCTAAAATAATTTAATGAGAGGATTAGTATAATATAAAATGACCTAAATAATTCTTCCAAAAATCTCCAATACATTTATATTTTGTTATTAAATTTGTTTTCGTTTTCGTTGATAATAAAAGAAAATAAATAAATAATTGATATTTTAATTAAATGTTTTTAAAATTATTATTATTATTTATTTTGTTATTTTCTGTTAATGCTAGACGTAAATGTTTTCGGCAGGCTTGTTTTATATTTGAATTTTTCATTTTCACATTTTAGGATAATTATTAAACCAAAAATTTTAATTAAGGTTTTTCCTTCCCTGTTTTTTTCACATGGAAACGGGAAGAAAAAACCCTTAAAATTCTCCCAAATAGTCATATACCTCTTTAGTGTGACCATTATTTAGAATTTTTTACCTGTATTTTATCTGTCATTTGTGGATATTTTATATCCCTCTCTCTTCCAAATTAATTTAAATATTATATAAAATCGAATTAAAGATGAGAGGTACAAAAACATTTGTTGCAGTAAATAGCCATGATGAAGATATAACACAATTAATTGAATTTCAACCAATTGAAGGTGACACAGAAGAAGAAAATATTAATGAAGAAGAAATAAAAACAACAACAAATTTAATTAATTCTTCTCCAGAATTACAACAATTACTTGAAGACACTAACAATAATCAACAAAAATTAAAAAGACAACAAAATCCCTCCCTTCCAAATATTGGGACTTCAATTAGGTAGGTTGTGTTAATTCTCTTTAAATTAAATAACAATAAAGGCCTGCAAGTCATGATGTTTATTTATGGCCTAGCATGACAGAACACGAAAAAACAGTAATTAGAGATGCTGTTAAGTTCTCCTTTTTTTATATTTAAATTTAATTTTAATTTAAAGTTTATCCAAATTCATCGCCGAACATGTATTAGATTTAGTGAATTAGATTATAAAGTTTTCTTTTAAATCAATTTTAAAAATATTTTCTTTTAAAAAAGCCTTGGTATCATGCAGAACGTTGGGCAGAAGGAAAGCCTTATATTGTTATTAGAAAAAGCAAAAAATTTTCTGGTAAAAAATAAATTAAAAGAAAAAAATTAAAATTTAATTAAAAAGGTTATTCTGATAATAATATTGAAGATGTGAATAGACGGTCTTTAATTTATTTATCAGAACAGTCATTGAATAGTCAAAATGTTAATAATTCTAGAGGAATGGTTAATTAATTAATTTTAAAAGAAAATTTTAATATAAAATTTTTTAAGGTAATGGAACAATTATTAAAATTTATGGGTATTTTTTAAATATAAAATTAATTTTATTTTTTTTAATTTAAAAAAGGCTATAGAGAAGAATTTCTTAGACCAGATGCCCCATCATATATTCAATTAATTACTGATAATAATTCAAAAAATACACAACAATTACTTAAAAATACACCAAAATTTTCAAATGAACAATTAATGTATTTAATGAAAATAAAATTTTTTTAAATTATATTTAAGGTGGCCCTTTGATCCAGAATCAATAACAATTCCTTCAACAGCTAGGTTATTTTTAAATATAAATTAATTTAAAAATTATACTATATTATTTTAAGAGAATGGTTTCAATTAACAATTTACTGTCAGGCAAGAAGAAATTCTGATATTGGGGCTGGGCAAAGGGCTGGATTATTAACTAGGTAGTAAATGATGGTAAATTAATATTCTAATTCAATTAATATTTTTTAGATGGGATGCTGTAAAACTTAATTCAATGTATTGCCCTCAGTCTGTTGGGTATGCTGATCCAAGAATGGGACCTTGTGTTGTACCCAGAAAACCAAAAATTTAAATTTTTAATTAATTATAAAATGATTTTTGAAATAAAATATTAAAAAAAATAATTTTCATTTATATATAAAAACCGAGAAAATAAGGAAAATGAAATTAAAACAATGTTAATTATGCTAAAAACAAATGATTTACTCATTTTGGATTTAAAAATACAGTTAGACCTCGATTTTAATTATTTCGTTGCCCAACCAAATTCTTAAAAAAGTAATAATGAGGCTACCTGAATACGAGGTCCGATGTATTTACTATTTTATATAAATTTCAAAATAGATATTCACCTGACTCTAGTTACAAAAAAATTCGGAAATGCAAAAAATCCTCATTATAACCGAGTATATGTATTATATTGAGGATTTATTGTATTTTCTGAAATTAAACATTTTAAAATATTGAGATTAAAAAATGTATTATACTTATTTTAAAATAATTTTAATATTATGCAATATAGTAACAATAAATTTCACAAAAGCTCCTTGTGATTTTTAAATTGCAAAAAAAAACTCCTCAATTTATTCAATTCTGTTTCTTTTCTTCATTTTCTTCTTTATCATTTCCATTATTCACATCATCAATACTATTAATACCAGCATCTAAACAAAGAGCCCGAAACAAAGAATCTTGTCTAGCAAATAAATTAATTGGAGTATCAAATTCAGCAACCCGGCCTTCACTAAAAACTAAAATTCTTGTAGAATCAATTACAGAATGAAGTCTGTGAGCAATTGTGAGAACTGTACAATCAACAAATTGACGACGAATTGTTTGTTGAATTAAATGATCCGTCTAAATAATTTTTAATTAAAAATATAAATTAATCCGAGAAAATTACTTCAAGATCTACAGAGGCAGCTGCCTCATCTAAAACAAGAATTTTTGATCGGCGAAGAACAGCACGAGCTAAACAAATTAATTGACGTTGACCTACACTAAAAAATATATTTAATTAATGTTTTATTAGATTCAAAAACCTTAAATTTGTACCCCCTTCACTAATTTTATAATCCAATTTATTCGGTAATGTATTAACAAATTCATCCAAATGTGTAAGTTTTAATGCTGTCCAAATACCATCGTCAGAATGATGACCAAACGGGTCTAAATTTTCACGAAAAGTTCCAGAAAAAAGTACCGGATCCTTAAAAATATTTTTTAATCATAAGTAATTTTTATTAAATATACTTGTGGGACTATTGTAAGACGAGAACGTAATTGCTTAAGACCAAGTTTTGATATATCAATTCCATCAATAATAATTTTACCAGAAGCTGGTTCTACCAAACGAAATAAAGCAAGAACGAGAGAACTTTTACCTTAAAAATGTATAGTACTTTTTATTTAAATATTTATTATTAATTTACCAGCTCCAGTCCTTCCAACAATTCCAATTTTTTCATGAGGCAAAATATGTGCATTAACATCTTTTAATACCAAATCCAAATTTTGCCGATATCGAATAGCTAAATTATCAATTAAAATTTCCCCATTTTCTGGCCAAAATTCTTCTTTCTTATCTTTAAAAACTTCTGATGGAGTTTCCAAAGCTGCCTTGAAAATTTATAAAAATAATTAAAATATTAAAAAATCTTTTTACTTCAGTTGGTGTTTCTTTATATTCCTTGATTCTTTCAACTGAAACAATATTTGTTTCCAATTCAGAGGCCATTCTAACAGCCCAATTTAATACTTGAGTAACCTAAATAAATGAAAAAAATTTTTTAACGGTTATAATTAAATCCTTACAGAAAGAGCATAAGAAACAGAAAGTCCAACTAATCCAGCAGTTACATGATCAGTATGGCGGAATAGAACAGCTGAAAATGCAGAGAAAAACACAATAAAATTGCCAACTAATTCTAGACGAACTGCCAACCATCTGAAAAACAAAATGTTTAATTTAGGTGAATATATAAATACAAGTTTATGTACTCAATATGTTAAAATATAGCTTTACCTATTTGCCACAATAGAAGAGAAATAAATGACCATATTATTATCCACACGCTTTTGAGATTCAATCGAAAATCGTTCAACGCAATTGTAAGCACGTATTGAGCTAGCACCTTGTACAGACTCCTAAAATTAATTTTAATATTTTTAATTAGTCAAGTTTCTTGCCTGGAAATGCGAATAAATTGGTGATCGAGTTGTTGATTCTAGACGTTTTAATTGACGCGAGGTACTTACATAATAACGCTGAAAATGAAATAATTATTCTAAACCTAAAGAAACAAATAATTTAAAAAGCCAAAATAAAATAAAAAAAAACAAACAAGCACTAATCCATAAAAGATGGCAAGGGGAGCAACACACAAAATAAATTGAGGAGTCGCATAAGAAATCATTGCTAGCGTTTCAGCTGATGCAAGTAAAGTTCTGAGAAATGAAGTAAACGAACGAGGAATTTCGCTATCCAAACTGTCAACATCCTGGGGAAATTAAAAATATTTTTAAGTAAAAATTAAAATTGTCTCCTTATTTTTAATTGAATATTTAGGTAATACATTAAATTAATTATTATGACAGTCCCTTCGAGTTGGAAATGAAAAGTTAGAGAGATCAAACGAAACATGACAATTATGAAGGGGCTAATTGATATAGTTTACTAAAAGAATCGAATATTCATGAATAAAAGAAAAGTTATAAGCATTTTTAAATGAGATTGGCAAGAAGGTAATGAATAAATACAAGATATAGAAATAAGGAAAAGCAGGCAATAAAGCAAGCAAGAGCTAACAAAGAAGGAAGACCATAATACGAATGTAGAAGAGAAGGATGACTCCAAAGAAAGGAAGAGTCCAATAAATTAGAAAGATTGGCATCAAAAGGGTCAAAAATGTTTGAAATATACAGGCAACAAACATACAAAACGACAAAGGAATTCGGGAATCAATAACATCAATGTCCTTCAAATTTTGAAAAATATTTTCTTCTTTATAGGTTTTTTGTAAATTTAGAGTAAAATATTAAAAAAACCTTTCCAAATCGATTCATTATTCGACCAAGCGGAGTGATGTCGAACCAAGACATTGGAGAACGAAGTACACTCTTCAACATTGTTTGATGTAATTTTCGGCTTGCTTTTATCCTATTAATTTAAAAAATTAGAAAATCAAATAAAAATACAAACATTCCAATGGACATAATAACTGAGCCAAATGCAACTGTGAATGCTGAAAAGTTTTTAGTTATTTCAAATAAATTTATTTTCCGTTACCTTGTGCTATTCCAAGCGAAGTGTAAATGAGTAAATTTGATTTTGTCTCAGTAGAAAAAGAAGAAGTTCCTTTTTGGATCTAAAAAAAGAAATTTAAAAAAATTATATTTTTAAAATTAACCTTTTCTGCTTGATCAGACCATTTAGCAAGCCAAAGATTGGTAGCAATACCAAGTAAACTTGACAACAAATAAATACAAAGAAAGAAAGTCAAAGATATCAATCCAACTGCTCGCAAATATTCCAAATAGACTCCGAATTTAACTTTGCCAGTAAATACTTCCTCTTTTTCAATTATTTTTGTTATTAACTTCTTTTGAGGAATTGTTGTAGTTGACTCTTTTTGTTGAGGCTATTTTTTGGTTTTTAATAAGTAAATTGCAAAAGAAAAATTACCATTACTGCTTTACCAGAAGTTTCACTTTCTGAAGTTACTCTTCTAGCAGACAATCTTGGAAGTGATTTTTCAGGATGGATTTTTTCCAATTCATCTAAAACATCCATTATTTCATCGTCTGGCTCTTCGTTTACATCAGTGGCAGATTGCTGCTTCAATACATATTCCTCAATAATTTCAGAAAGTTCGCCAGAGGATTTGAGTAAATCGTGATAAGACCCCGATTCTGTGACTTGTCCATCTTTATTTAAAAATAATTAGAAAAACCCCAAATATTTAAAATACCTTTAACAACAATAATTTGATCACAATATTTAAGAAAAGAAAGACCATGTGTTACAAGAACACGAGTTTTTGTTTTCAATAAACCGTTTTTAGATCCTTTAAAATTTAAAAGAAAATCACAAATAATTAAATTATTTTTACCTATTAATTTATCAAAAATATGTTTGCCAACATGAGAATCAACAGCAGATAAAGGGTCGTCTAAAAAATAAATATCACGATCCAAATAAGCAGCCCTTGCAAGACTAATTCTTTGCTTTTGACCGCCACTTAAATTAATTCCCTTAAAAATCAATTAAAAATTAAATATTTAATTAAAAACTTTTTCTCCAATTTCTATAGAATCACCCCCAGGAAGAGAATCCAAATCTTGTTGTAAAGAACATGCGTCGATAACAACGTCATATAATTGTTTATTCAAAGTATTTCCAAAAAGAATATTTTCTCTGAGAGACATGTTTTGTATCCAAGCCTTAAAAGTTAATTTTTCGAATTAATAAAAGATTTGCAATTAAATTAGTAAAAGTTTAAAATAAAGAAAATATAAAGACTTTCTGTTTATTTTAGATTATGTCAAGTGTTCTAATATCTCCAAAAAATAATTATTTTACTTGTTGAGGAACATAAGCAATTTGTCCATCAATTTCAACAGTTCCAGATTTACAATACATTTCACCTTTAAAAACAAACTTTAAATTGTTTAAAATATTCTATTAAAAACCAAGAATTGCTGACAACAAACTACTTTTGCCTGATCCAATTCTTCCAACGACTGCAACCAGAGAACCTCGTTTAATTTCAATATTAAGATTTTTTAAAAATAAAGGTTCTTCTTCACTCCAAGAAAAACTGGCATTTCGCAAAGAAATTGAAAGAGCTAAAAATTATTATTTTTAAATAAAATTCCCAATATTCAAAAAAATTACAAGAATCTCCGAAAGAATTGTTTGAAGGTAAAGGTTCAAGTTCATCTTCAGCCAAAAATGTTTTCAATCGTTTATTGCTAACATTACATTGAACTGCTTGAGAACCAATCATTGGAAACATTGCAAGTGGAAAACGAAGAATATTAAAATAAGATAAAGCAACAAAAGTAATTCTCGGAGTTAAAACATTATTGGCTGGATCTAACAGTAAATAAGCAAAAAATGTTGAAACAGCAACCAAAAATGGAGCACAAGACCAGGTTATTGAAGAAATTGCATTTACGTAAGCAATACGACGAAGAAGTTGTAATTCTTTTTTACGGATTCCAAGAATCTTTAAAAGGTTTTTATAAAAGAATTTTCAAAAAAATTTTTTACCCTATCCTCAATACTCTCTTCCCAAGCATAAAGTTTAAATACTTTTATTCCATTCAATATTTCATTCATTAATTTCAATCTTTCATCTTTTAATGTCATTTGTTTTTGCTAAAAAATAAATTAAAAGTATTTCTTAAAAATTTAAAAAAACTTGATATTTTCTCATGGCTAATGATAATTTTGCATTTATTGGAATAAAAGTAATTAAACAAATAAGTCCAGCCAATACAGAAATACCCAAAAGTTGAAAGAGAAAATAAAGAGATAACAAAACTTGAAAGGGGGCTGACCACATAAAATTAATCCACGAAGCCTAAAATTAAAAATTTAAAAAAATTTTAAATTAATTTTTAAATTAACCATATCTTGAAATCTTTGAATGTCAACAGTCATTAAATTAACAATTTCACCAATTGTTCGTTTAGTACGTGCATTACTAGAAAGTAGAAGAGCCTAAAAATTAAAAAAATAAAGAAAATTTTTAAACATTTTATAAAACTTTTTTATAAATTGCGGAAGTAAGTATTGAACGAACATTCATACCAATACGAAACATTATATGGAAATATTGATGAATAAACTGTAAAAATATTTTATATTTTATTCTTGAAAAAAAAAGAATTTTTTAAAAGAACTTAAAAAACTTTAAATAATTACTCTTTATAAATTTTTAGAATCAAAAAATAATTTTATAATTTTTAACAACTCTATTAAAAAATCCAAACCATCGATTGAATAAAATTTAACAAAAACATGCAAACAGCAATTCCAATTCCATTCCAAATATTAGCTTCGGGCGTTTCAATAAATTGTAAAAGTAAATCCAATAATTTTGGAGGTGCAAATTGCAATAAATCGTGAATTATTTTGTAAAATATTGCACCGAACAAAGAAAATTTAAAAGTTAGGAATAAAGCCCAAATTAACGATGGAGGGGAAGAGTTCTCTTTAAATTCATTTTTATTTGTAGAATATTCAGGTTTATATCCATTTGTCTTAAAATTAAAAATTTTTTTAAATTTTAATTTAAAAAAAAACCTCCAATAATTCAGTCTCTTCAATTCCGTTTTGATTTTTCTTTAAAAGAGGAGTTTTTACTTTTTTGATTTTTTGTTGATTATATGCTTAAAAAGTATTTATTATTTTCTTAAATAAAAAAATACATTTAAATTGTTTTTCTCGAATCCTTTCAAATTTTTTGGTCAAATGTTTTGATTTATCACGCTCAGGAAGATTCCATAAATCATCAATAACTAAAGCTCTCATATTTCCAAGCCGAGCAATACCATCAAACCAAATAAAAAGAATTCTATTTAAAAAAGAAACGGAAGGTTCTGGACAAGTTTTTGACTAAAAATTATTTTAAAAAAATTTTTAAATAAAAAAAATTAAAATTTACATTAATTTCATCAGTTCTAGAATGGTCCGCAAAGCAAGAAATAAACAATATTTTTACAACAACAACATAATAAAGAATAAAAAGTAAAGCGGCAAAATAATCCTTAAAATAATTTAATTATACATATTCCCAAAAATTCCCCCAAACCTTATTATCCCTTCCATTTTCTCCAAACCACAATTCAACAGATTCTCGAAATCGAGGAATTCCACAAACAGCCAATAAAAGCCAATAATTAAATAATACACCAGAAGTTGCTAGTCCAAAACGGCGACATCCCAACAACAAAATAAGAGCCAAAAATAAAGAAATATCCAACAAAAGAAGCGCTAAAAATTTAGCAATTGGCAATGCTCCATTTGAAGTCGAAGAAGAATTTAAGTTTTGATTCCAAGTAAATGTGGCAGAGAAATAAACAATTTGTATGAGAACATTAATAAGAAGAAATCCACATAAAAACTAAAAACAAATTAATTTTTTTGTGACCTTCGCGTCATTTGTCGTAAATAAATAAATTAAAAAAATAATTTTAAAAGAAACAAACAATTCTTAAAGTTGTCGGTGTTCTTCTTAACAACGGCCCTTTTGTACTTTTTTTAAAATCATAAATAACGAGAGGTGAAAAAATTAGCAAGAAAAAAGCAGGGAGAGCATAAAGGGTAGTTTGTTGATAACATTCAGAAACTCTCGGTATTGTACTTGAATTTCCATTTTTAAGACTTTCGGTATCAAATAACTTTTTTTAGAAAAAAAAATATTTTTTTAATTAAATTAAACTTACAGGAGTATTTTCATTAACACAAAATGCTTCCATATTTTAAAAAATTGAGTAAAATAAAATATTTTGTTGTTTAAATGCTGAAGATTTAATAATTTAAAAAAACTTTAAAAACTTTCCTAAAATTGAAAAATTATTCCGTCAACTACAAACTACAAAGACTACAATAAATGTATAAGAGAGAAACTAGCCTAAAATAAAAAATACGCCTACTACAAACTACGAAAAATGGGACTACAATAAATGTATAGAATAAGTAGACAATAAAAAATTGAAACAAAAACAGAAATTTAAGTGGCGTAAGATTCGAAATATTTGGATATGTATTTTCGATCTCGATTAGATAAAAAAATTAAAATTATAAACAAAATTGAAAATTATTCATAAATTTTAAACGTTATAAGCGAATAACTAGACCAATCAACTTTGTAAGGGGAATGTTTAATTATTTGAGTTGAGAATGTTTCTAATATATGTATTTCAAGCAAATAACGCGTCATAATGTGAATGTACATATACGTATATATTTGTACTATACTATATTCTTGAATTCAATCAAGACCAACTGCCACCTGTCCGAATCTAGCAAGGTAACTTTGATTGATCCTAACTGAAACGAATTAAATGAGATACATATCAGGTGTATTCTCAATTAAATAGTAGTGGGAGGGTGGTACAAGTATCAGGACCTTTTAATTCTTAAAATAAAGCATTTATTTAAAGAATAGATACATAAGTGCGTATATGGGCACTTTTTAACAGTGTGTGTAACTTAATGTTTTATTCGAATATATGTATGTACAATATATAGAAGTGTCAGTTAATTGTCATGGGAACAATAAATAAAAGGGCAATAGACATCTTAAGTTGAACAAATTTACACCTGAAAATGTAATTATCAAGTAACATATACACCTCCTATTCGTTTTTTTAGTTTTGTAAAGTCTTAAAACATGAAGGTAGAATAAAGAAATCTAAACAAGAAAAGATCCGCAGGTATTTCCGTAAGTAGGGAGGACTCTGCCCATCGAGCCAAATCTAATGGTATCACTTTTCAGATCATCGAATCAATCTAATTTAGTGTTAAAAATACAAGTGAAAATATAAAATAAATGAAGAAAAGTATTTTCTTCTAAAACTCATATTTAGGACTGAGTCATTTTGATCAATTTAAAAGAGCAAATAAGTAAATATTTTAAGTAATGCATGTTTCCATTTGTTCAATTTTCAATCAATTGTGAATTCGATAAATCACAAAATAAAAAGAAAACGGATATTTTGTTAAATTTATAAATTTCTCAATCATAAAATATTTTTATTTTAATATTAAAAAAACAATTTATATTTTATAATTATTTAAACAAATAAAATTAATTAATTAGAAAGAGCTTTCCAAAATAATTGATATATTAAACGACGTCCTCCAAATGAAATAATTTTCGAATCGCTAACAAAATTGATCACATCGGAGAAAAGACAACGATTTTCGAATATCTCTGGCTGTTCTTTGTAAATTCTAAAAAAAATTTTTTTAATTTTTAAATTCTAAAAATAAAAATTACCGAAGAAGTTTAATAGTTATTTCTGTATTTGAAAATTGAGTAGCCAACTGGTAAATTAATTGCCTTATTTCTTTTTCTGTTTCGTCCTTTTCCTCATTTTTTTCTTCTTCTTTTTCTTCAATATTTTTTAATTTTTTTGGAGATGAACAAAAAATACATAAAAATTTACAATGTTTTTTATTTATTGAAAATTTTAAATATTTTTTATTTTCAAGACAAGAAGACTGTTCTTCTTTGTTTTTACTTTCATTAAAGATATTCTAAATAAAATTAAATTAAAAAAAATTTTTTTAATTAAAATTTTACCCCAAAAATTGTTGAAATATTTTTTGGCAAAATTACATGTCCAAAATTATTAAAATTATTTATTTGTTTATAATATTCATTTTGTCTATCCAAATTATCAATTTTTGCTAAAAACTTTCTATAAACAATGAGATCATTATTCTTTAAAAATATTTTAAAAAATATTCTTTATTAAATATTAACTATTTTAAACCTCCTTTTCGGTAATTTTGTGTTTTTCCTTTTCTTCTTTTAATATATTAACAGCACCTCTTTCACAAAATTCTGCAGAATAATCTTGTTTTGCATAAAAATAATTTGATTTAAAATTATAATTATTAAAAAAGCTATCCAAAGAATTAGAACGAGAAATATTTCTAAATTAATTTAAATTTTTTTAAATTAAAAAAAATTAATTAAAATACATTAAATTCCTTTCATTAATTAATTCACTTTGTATTCTTTTCCTTCTTTCAATTATTCTTCTTTTTTGTTTTTTGTCATTATTTTGGAGATAATTGGAAATAAATTTATTTTTTGAAGAAAGAAAATTTTTATTAATTTTTAATTCAAAATTATCATTAAAAGCTTCTCCAAATTCCCAGCCAAATTCAAAAAGTGTTTTAATTACTAATTTAATTTAATTTAAAAAAGAATTTATTTTATAATATTTTACCAAGTTGATTTTTCGAAGTTGCTGCAATATTTATTGCCCAAATTGCACATCCCCTAATAGAAAGCCAAGGTAAATTATTAGAATTATTCCTTTGTTGTAAAAAACATTCCAATAATAATTGTGTATATTTACTAAATGGGAAAATTACATAAGATGGTAAATTTGCAAGAATTTGAGCCAAAGCAAAAAGGGAACCTAAAAAATATATTAATTGGTTAAAGAAAATTTTCCACCTTTAACTTGATCAAGCTGATCAACACAAATCCCTTTCTGTAGAAAATTGCAGATTATACCCTCCAATTTCCCAATAATATTTCGATTTTTCAAAAGATTTTGACCAACTTTCGAGCGTGCCAAATGTCCGTAAAGATGAGGTGGAGGGAAGACCCTTTGCTTTTTATGGGTTGGTACAGATGTAGGTCTTTAAATAAAAAGTAAAATTTTTAAATATTTTTTTGTTTAAAAACAATTGTCCCGAAGCACGCGCAAACTCCCCATTCTTTGAACGTTTAAAGCAGAAAAAATTAGTTCCATCATTATTAATCAACGCTCTTCGAATTTGCTCAGCAATAATTTCATTGTAATGAATGTAAAAATACTAAAAGGAATATTTTAAATCATTTTTTTAAATTTTATTTGAATACATCATCCCATTTGTTTAAAGAATTTGAAGCAATTTCTAACAACAATTTAGATTTATCAACTTCCATAGTGTCCAAATCAGCATCGAACAGAAATACTTCCAAAAGAATTCCAGCATCACCAAGAGTTTCTAACTTAGCCCGCAAAAGTTGTTCCCTCATTTCAATAAGAACATCAATCGGACACAACTACAAAATTTTTTGAAGAAAGTATAAAGTTAAAGATCTTTAAAGCTCGGTCAGCCAAAAATTAAAAAAACTTACAGAAAGCCATCTCAACAAAATACGCGCTGTTAAGTTAACAATTTTAGGAGAAGTATCAGAAAGTTTAAGAAAAAGCAGATTTAAAGGCCATTTCCAAGAGAAGTTGATTTGAAATGAAGCATAATGTTGATTAAGAGTAAAAAAGCTTCCCACAAATTTAGTACACCATTTTCGGATGGCCTTTTAGTTTGTTAAATTTTATTTAAAAAACATCCTTACAATATTTTTAGAAGAAATAAGAACATTTTCAAGCAAAGACCACGAAAAATATCCATCTTCAGCATCGAGTCGTGGCAATGAGGGGAAATAATCAAGAGAAACAACAATCAATTTAATCAGCTCTGGCGAAGTACATTCTTCAAGTAATTTGTCCAAAAATCTGAAAAATAAATTGAAAAAAATATTTTTATTAATTTTCATAATTATTTTGCAGTTATTATTTTAAAATAAATACAAATTTCCACAATTTATTCAATAATTTCCCTAAATTTCCTTTCGCATATATTGAAAATGAAAGCTTTCAGTAAATTTAGCATTCTACAAATATCCCCAGGAATATTACATGTTTATTTCATCTTCATTTGCCTCGCGGCTAAAAATCTCGTATATACTCTACTCAACATTTAAGTGTTGAGCAGGCAGATTTGTCCGTTTAAAGCGCTGATGGTGAATTTAGTCGATTGAAAAATTCTCGTTTCCAGCAGTCGTTTTTAATCTAAAACAAAATTCTCTCGTCCAATCTGCTTGCCGACATTCTTTCAAAAAACTTTAAATTTCTTTTTCTCACAGGATCATTTAGTATTCGAATATTATAAGAAAATTTGACATTTAACGAGAGAAACAATTAAGACTGGCTTAAATCAATTTTTCTAAAAACAAAAATGGTAAAATTACAAATCCTTAAAGATTTACCCAAAATCGACAGAAATCAAGAAGAGACAAAAACCGACTACCCGCTGACAGTTAATTTTTCAATCTTATAGCTGAAAACCCAATCCAATTCCCTTTCGTTGAATTAAAAGTGAATCCTCCTAGCTAGCCCAATTCACTTTCGTTCCCTCTTCAAATGGACATCTCTTATGGTCATTGTTCTATACTACTTTAAAAATTTCCAGATTCATTCAAATCAGATAGCTAATATGCGCAAGTCAAAGCAACTTAAGCCCACTAACAAAGAAACATTAGCATCTCTCAAATTCCTTAATTCATTCAATTCTCTAATTTTTTGTTAAGATGATGAGAAAAATAAAAGCCCATTATAAATTTGAAAGAATTTTTACGAAAAATAGGCGTGCGATTTGAAAACAGTTTCTTAAAAATGTCTGAAAGATCAAAAATTTATTTATGCACGTCGAAATAATCTTAACAATAACTTGATTTTTCTTTCAACGTAATTTTTAGTAAATGCAGCCAAAACTTATTATTTATTTAATTATTTTAATGCCCATTGTTAGATCATCATTAAGTGATTTACCCAGCTGTAGCCGCGCAAAATGTGTACATTGTAAAGTATATTTTATTTTACAAATGTGCCCTATTGCCTGCAGTAATTGCCCAACAACAACAGAAGAACCGATAAGACAACAAAACAAACATTTCTTGACAGCGGTGAGATTTTTTCTGATAACCTTTAAAAATTTGAATAAAGCTTAAACCTGTAATAGACAACGAAGTAAACAACAAAGCATTCTCTCAGCCTACAATAACAGTACCATATGCACAACAAATCCCGACAAATTTAAATAGAAACAAGCAACGCACAAATAATTTACAAAGACCGTCAAATTTATTCTCACAACAAAAACAATTTCAAGGAAATAGAGATCAGCAACATGGAACAATTTTAAGAAAAAACCCAAATTTTCAAAATTTGCAATACATACAAGAACAACCACAATATACTTTTGTCCAACCTTTTCAACAGCAACAACAAACACAAAATTATATTGGAGGAGGTGGTTTTTATGGAGGACCTATTCCTCAACAGCAGCAATATCCTATCCCTCCTCCTCCACCCCCAACAAATTTCCAACCATTAGAAATTCAAAAAGAGCAGCAACAACAATTCAGCAATCCGTTCCAACAACAATCTTACCAATCGGTTCCAATGCAACAATTCTCTCCTTCAATATCCCCACAACAAAATATCCAACAAACTTTTGAACAAAATTTCCAAGGTGGTCAACTTCATTCAATTCAATCTCCAAATAATCAACCAATACAAATTCCACAATTTGTCCAAAATAATGCACCTCAACAAACACAGTTACCTTCCATATTTTCCCATCAGATTTACAATCAGCCGATGATGAGTATAGACGAAAGACCAGCTAACATTATACATACAGTACCAAACGTAGCAGTACCACAACAAAATTTCCAAAAATTTTATAATATCCCACAACTACAGCCGATTGATGGAAAAGTAGGAAATGGATGGGCAGACGAAAAAAGTAGGTTAAGATCAATTAAGATGAATAAAACTTAAAAAATATAAGAAAAATAGCAGAAAAGTCTTATTAAGGTTTATCAACAATTAACAACAAAATTAGAGAACCTGGAGCAGATATAATAGGCAATAGCATATTATCTGGAGGAGAGAGCGAAGAAAAGGTATTGATAAATTGGATTTATATAAAATTATATTTTAGTGTCCAAAACAAAATTGGGAGCCTTGTGTACCAAAAGAATTAGCAAATAAACGATTTCAAAATTGTTGCTCACAGTTAGGAGAAGGGTGCTCTCAATTATGTAGTTATGACCAAAACCTTACTAACGTACGTTTTAATTTAAAAATATTAAATGTTAAGGCTAGGAATTAAATCAAAGAATTTAATTTTCAGATTCAACTTGCAGTGCTAACTGGTCGTTGTCCCATAAATAAAGTCGCTGATATGATGCTTTGTGGTAGAAATCCTTACAAAAATATTATTTAAAAAATTGTTTTCATCGATAGCAAGCGGATATGAGGACGCAACTCCTTGTTGTCAAGAATTTAATGTTTTCGAGGCTGGCTTTGAACACTGCCGTCCCTATTGCAACCCAACTGGTGGACTTCCAAATGACGGAATGTTAGTAGAAAAATATAAATGCCTTCAGAAATTGCAGCAAATACAAAAATGTTTTTATCTAAGTCAACGTCCATAGGGTTCTTAAAGTTGCTTTTTTCTCATTTGTAAAATATTTTAATTAAATTAATTATAATTTTGTTTGAGAATTTAATTTTTAAAAAATTCTACTCACATTTTCCCAAGTCCCGTTTGGTCAAATAATTTCTGTCCAAAAGGCTGAGATAAAAGTGCACGAAGTAAGGCAAAATAAACCGATGAGCCTCCAAACGATAAATTCTTTGAACTAAAAACAGCTTCAGATTTGTCCTATAACGATATGTAATAGAAGTCTTCGAAAACCATTTAAAGTTAATTCTCACCATATTAATTTGATTGCAAAAGTCGTTTATAAAGTTGGACAACTAAATAAACATTAAAAATTAAGCTAATTATTATTAATAAGAGGACTTCTCAAATTTTTAAAAATTAAACTGACCATAGTTAATGCCCATTGGCTAGTATCATTTCCAACAAATGTTGACGAATTGAATGCACAAAGTAACTGAATAAAATATTGGCCACATTTAATTAATTGAATTGATGGTTTGGTTTGTATAAAAAATTGATTTGAAGGTAAAAATAAATACAAAATCTTTTTAAATAAAAATTTAGCTAAAAAATATATTAAAAATACTTGATTAAAAATTGGAATACATTTGTCAATTGTTAATTTAATAAATGTTGACTTGTTTTGAATAGAGATTATTTTATCATCAATAAAAGATAAAATTCTCCAAAAAATATTCCAATCAATATTTTCAATTAAATATTCATTTGAATCCTCTAATAAATCATTTTTCTTTAATTTTTGTTGGCCAATTTCTGGAACATTAATGTTTTTATAAATTTTTGTTTTTTTAGTCGGTTGAGAAATAAATACATTTGAAATTAATTTATCAATATTTAAATCAAAATAATCTGAAAAATATTTATTTTAAATAAATTTTTAATAAACAAAAATTATTTTACCTGATGGAGGTTCTTCAGAAAAAGTTTCAATAACCCCACTAACATTATTATTACAATCATCAAAATTGGCTGTAGTTGATGAATGTCTACTATTATTTAATATTGAAACAGATCGACTTCTTCTAAATTCTTCTAAATTTACAATTAAAAATGTATTAATTAAAGTTAAAAATTCTAATTTTGTTGGTGGTTTATTTAAAAAATTATTGACTTCATTAAGACGATCAATTAAAAGAAAAGAATTCCTAAATTAATACAAATTTATTAAAAAATTAAGCGGGTTTTTACCTCTTTTTTTCGTCTTTATTAGAAATATTTTCATTTAAATTAAATGATTCAACAACAGAATTAATTAAATTATTATTGTTTATTGCTTCAATTCTAACAGATTTTGGAAGTATTTTAGACATCTAAAAATTCAAAATTAAATTTTTAAATAAAAATAAATAACTACATAAAGTATATCTGCAAGTAAAAATGTTGCTTTGATTGAAATAGAGCAGTCTGGATTTTGGAGAATTAAACGAATAAGAGCCTTAAATTAAAAAAAAAGAATTTTAATAATTTAAATTTAAAAAAACCTCAGGAAATTTTTCAGAAACAATTTTAAAAAGAACAACAGATCTGTATATTTCTAATAAATCTATAAAGGAATCGTCTTTCTGATTATCCAAATAAGAAATTTCTGCAAGCAAAAAATCATCCCGAAGAGAAATACTGAACAAATCAGGAAGTCGAATTTGTTCTGATTTAAAGTTTTTAAGTATTATTTTTACAAATTTTTACTATAAAAACAGAAAGCCTTTTCCCAATGATTATCAGGAAATTCATGTCTTGCATAGGGAACATTTAGCAAATCAGAGAATAGCTCTATTGTGCAACTTTTTATTTTATCAGAGTTCAAATTTTCAATTTGGCAACCAATATTAGCAAATAAACTAGAAAAAATTTAAATAATTATGTTATAATTGTAAAAAACCCAAACTGCCGATTAGAGGAATTATTTGAGAAAAAAGTAAATAAACCAGGCCAAGTAATTAATAAATTGAAAAGAGAATTTTTGCATCTTTCAATTAAAGTAGTTGAATGTGAATAACTAAATTTAATAATTGTTTTTAAATTTTATTGAAAAAATAATGTAGATGTCCTATTTAAATACTCAAACAATTTTTAATGACATGACTTACTCAATTTTGGCAGAAGGATCATGTATTGAATCAAAGGAAATAAACGGACAAAATAATTGCTAACCAAAATTTTAATTAATTAGAAAAATTAAAAAAACCTCAACAATAAATTTTAATTCACATTTTTCTCTTATAATTGGAGAATCAAGCCATTTAGACAAAATATTTATTAAAACTGTTCCCAAAGCTGATTGATTAATTGTAGGTACAAACCAATTTAAACCAATATTCATTTCAAAAAGTAATTCAGGACGTTGTACAAGCAATTCAAGTAAAATTCCGATAGAAGAAATTTGAAGATTTTTAGGTAATCTTTATTTAAAAAGCAATTTTGACGAGAATAATTAAAATTAATTTACCCCTTTGACGCAGATAAAATTTGAATAACACAATCTTTAACCGAATCAGAATTATTTTGGGTTTTCTGTTCATTCGATAAATAAAATGGAGAATTTTGTCCAAAAGCAATATCCATTAGACAATTTATTGAATTTTGAAGAAAAAATCGAAAACGCCACCAATTAATTAATAAAGGATCAAATAAATTAGTTTTAAGTAAAACAGAAAAGGAGATGGAGAGAAAGTGCAAAGCTTGAGTTTCTCCATTGAATTGTGATGGATTCTGAGTATAAATATATCTACAAATTAAAGTGAATATTTTAATTTTGAAAAAATAAAATGATCTAATATAAATACATACCTAAACAAAAAAATGTCAAAATTAAACTGTATTGCTTGTATAATTCTAACTGTGGTGTTACAAATTTTTGAAACAATTAAAAAAGAAATTTCACAAATTTTAGGATCAATGTGGAATTTTATTGAGTTGAAAGATCTAAATAAAATTCAATAAATAAAAAAAATTTAATTAAAAACCTTTTGAACAAAGCTTCATAAAGTTGGCTATTTGCAATAAATATATTCTGATTTTCTAATGTAGACAAAATCCTCAATAAAAAAATTAATAAATCATCACAATCTGAAATATTCTCCCAATTATTAATAAATTCAAGAAAATTTTCCGTTGAGGTAAAACTTTCATAAACTTTTTCCTTGACATTTTCATGAGTGCCTAAATTACCTAAATGATTAAATAAAATTAGGATAATTTAAACTAACATTTTACTGCATTTCTCTTAATCTGTTTTAATTTTTGTAAATCTTCTTTCTCTAATCTGCCAGCCTTCATCTCCCATAATTTTACAAAATAAATGCTATGTGATGTTAATTAGTGCCCGGCAAAAAATAATGTTGTCCATATTTTTAGTTTAAGTGGGACTAAATGAGTATTTTTAAACTATTAGGCATTTCGAGCTGGGCCGAATTGGGGATATTTTTGGATTTGGCGTGTCCCATTTTGCTAAAATTTAGATTTTAAAAAATACAAGATCGAACTCAGTAAGATCGAATTTACAGAATTCAGAGACTGAGCCTAACCGGTATAATTTTTATTAATTTTTATAATTGTATAATTTTTATTCTTCATTCACATTTTAGCATTAAAAGTTTTTGTTGTTTTTAATATTACAATTCTTTCAATAAAATCTACAATGGAATTTCTTGAGGATGAAGATACGAAGGCATTTTTTGCGGTTTTAGAAGGAAATTGTCCCGATGAGGTAAATTAATTTAAAAAATATCAATTAAATAGTTTTATAGGAGGTAAGTAATCCCTGTAGTAATGATTTTATTAATGATACTGCCGAATTTTTTGATCAATTGGAATTGGTCCATCTCGACAACAAAAGTGTTTGCGAGAATGAAGTTGAAGAAGTTAACGAAAATGTTGGTCAGGAAGTTGAAGAATTTGTTAGTGAAGAAAAAGAAAACGAAGGTGGATGTGAAGAAGTTGACGGGGATATTTGTGACGAAAAGTTTGATGACTTTCTGCATACGGAGATAGATGTACTTTTAGATGAATTTATGTTAAAGTGGCGGAAGTTACAGGATAAAAAAAGGTTTGTCCTTATTTTTAATTTTTTTCAACTTATTCCATATTATTTTACGTTGATTCTATTAAGAATTTTAGGGAATTCTTTACAAATGAGGCCAAGAAAATGGAAGTGGACAATGCCTTATCTGGTCGAGTGAAAAAATTTGTTTACAACTGGAACGAATATGAAAATGGGACAACATTCGAATTCCGTACTGCCTTGGAAGAATTAAGAATGTCATTAAAAACAAATTAGAAATATTAGCTTGTAAGGTTTTTGTTGTCGCCTCTCCTTATTTCCTGTTCAAAAACAATTTATTTAAAATTCAACAAAATATAAAATTAAGGGGGATAATGTATATATGTATTTCTAGTTTTCTTTCCAATATTATATAGAATATTTCCAAGTTGTTTACCTGGCCCAACTTCAATATAGGAGGGAAAATTCTCATCCTAGAGATTTATTAATTTAAAACAAAAATCCAAAAACCTGTCTCTTTTGAAAAAGAAGTTGTGCAATCTGTTCCCATTTAATTGGATTTGTAATTTGTCTGACAACATCACGTTTTATTCTTTTTATTTGGAATAAGTGAGGTCTTCCCGTGTAGTTTGAGTAAACATTTATACAAGGAATATTTATTTCATTAATTCCTTCCAAGTATTCCCTAACATCATTTGCAGCTTCGTTCATCTACGTATAAAAATACTGATTTTAAATTAGAGAGATTTACTAGTGTCGTGTGAAAGGCACCATAAATTGGCAAACGTTTGAGTATCTAAAATAATAAAAAAATATTAATGTTAAAATTAAATAAACCTGAAATTTAAAATGGCTAGCATGTTGATTAAGGAATTCTAGACTTTTCATTGTCCCAGCAATTATCTTCACATGGCAAAATAAATAACCTGCCAATTCGCAAAGAGGAAGCTCTCCTTTTGATCTTTTAAAAATTTTAAAAATTATTTTAAAAAATTTACTCCGAGTATTCTTTCGCTTCTGATAAAGCCCTCAATAGTTGAGACTCAGCACATGTCCGAATTGTTATCATACCAGAATATGATAATTTTGAACACCTTTCAATAGCATCTGCATAAATCTTCATTATTTTTAAGGCTTAAAAATATTTTATTAATTCCCCTTTTAAACAATAATTAAAAACCATCATCAAAATTGATAACATTTGCAGCTACTAATGCACAGAATTCACCCTGTCCAAAACCAGCAACATCTTTAAAAAATAAAATAATAAATTAAACCACAAATTACCAGTAAGACGGTCCATTATATCTGGCTGTTCTGTTTTCAATTTTTCAAAAGCTGCGAGGGAAGAAACAAAAATTGCCAGTTGAGAATAAATTATTTGATCAAGTTTAGTCTTTGGACCATTTTGGCAAAGATCAAATAAATCAAATTTCAAAAATTCTGTAAAATTTAATAAATATTCAATGAAAAATATTTTTGAATACCGTTTGCCTGATCAAAAAGCCTTTTACTATTTGGATTGTCAATCACCTGAAAATTAATGGTGATATTATTGAGAATTTATTTTTCACTTACATTACGTCCCATAGTTAAATATTGAGTACCATAACCAGGAAACATAACTACAACTTGATCCTCAAAAAAGAAATTAAATTTCTCGATAATTTTATTTAAAACCTTTATAGGTATATGATCAAATTTTAATTTAAGTAAACGCTTTTCTGGTCTTCTTAATTGTAGAGAATTCTTTCCAGAATCCATTTTAGCTACACTCCTCATTGTTCGGATATTAAATATTCTACAAAAAATAGAAAATTCATTAATTAAAATTTCCAAACCTTTTATCAATAATTTGAAAATGTAATTGTTTTAAAACATTCATATTTTTGTTTTAAACCTAAAATAAATTTAAACGATTTAAAAATTAAAATTGTCTAAATAATTTAAATTTATTCCAAAAATAAATATTTATTTTTATTATTATTTTTTATTATTTTTATTATTATTTTTTATTATTATTTTTATTATTTTTATTATTATTTTTATTAGTATTTATTTTTATTATTTAAAAAATAAAATATAAATAAAACAATAAAAATAGAACCATTTTATTTAGAAAAATTCAAAATAAAATAATTATTTAAAGTCAAATATACCTAATTAATGAGCAAAAATATTTTAAAGTAAATTTTACCCGGTTTAATCATAATTTCTTTAATTTAGATTTCTAACTTTATTACCAATTTTTCCTCTCTAATTTAAAAAATTGTGAATAAAGAAGGGCAGAAGCAGCAATTGCATCATCTACTCCAACTTTGAAAATAAATTTTTTTAAATTAACAAAATTAAAATTTTATACCAGTATGTTGAGGAAATTTACAAACAAAAACAGGAGTGTAAATAAATACAAGGTCACCGCGCATCCACGAGGCAAGTGGACTAAAATTTAAAAAATAATTTAAAAAATAATTTTTAAAAACCTGTGCGGATTAAATTTAAATACTTTATTGACTTGTTTGTCTAATAAAACAGTTTGACTTGAACGAATTTCTAATTTATCAAAATCAGTTGCTCTACCAGAAGACAATGCCAAATTACAAGATTGACGACCAGCTAATCGAGCACCTGCAGCTAAACCTGCTGCCAAATTCGACCAATCTGGGCCTTTACTAACCTTTTAAATTAAAAAAATATTAAATTTTGAATAAATTCCATTAACCATAATGTGATAAGTGAGGGAATAGAAATGGATTCGTTGAAGACGTTGATTATAATTTTTACTTTCTGGATTATTTCTATCATGTCCATAATTTGAAAGTAACCAATAAAGCATTTCTACTGCCTAAATAAAAAATAATTTATTTAAAAATTATTAAACAAACTTTATAAGCATGTAAAGTCCCTGCACTTATTGGATATTGTTCTTTAAAAGGTCCTCCACCAACTCTTGAAAGAAAAGTTAATTCTTGTTCATTAATACCCAGGGAATCAACATTTGGAATTATCTAAAAATTAATTTTAAAGAAAATATTTTTTTCAAACTCTTTTCAAAATATCATCGGCAATATTAGCATCAGGCATACTTCCCAATTGTAAATGTATTGGAATGAGAGGATTTATTTGGAGAAGCGAACGTTTAATAAGGCGTAGTTTTTCCAGACGAGCTTCTTGATTCTTTAAATTTTTAAAAATTAAATTAAAAATAAAATTATTCAAAATAAACCTGTGCTTCCATACTATGAATACCAGAAAATATAATTAAATCAGGTCTAAATTGCATTATTGCTTTAAAAAACATTTCAATTACCATAGCGCTTCCACTAAAAAATTAAAAAATTAAACAAAAAATTTAATTTTTAACCTAAATTGGTCATGTGAAATAATAAATCTAGAACTTGCTGGGGCAACATATTCTCCAAGTATTTCTCCCTGTTTATATTCCAAAATAACGTGCATTTCATCTTGAACAATTCTTGTAAAATTATTACGAACAATTGAAGGATGAAGAAGTGCTTGACTACGAGGGCCTAAAAAATATTTTTTAATTTTTTTATAAATATATTTATCAAAATTCACCTATAGGTCCAACTAAATAAGGCTATAAAAATGCAAGAAAATTAAAAAAATATTTTTATTAAAATCACCGTTGCATGTGGAAAAGCTGAAGCAATTTTTTGAGCCATAAGTGCAGCATTTCCCCCAATATAATGCTACAAAATAATTTTTAAAAATAATTTTTAAATTAAAAAAAACTTGTGCATGTAATTGATTATCTTCTATTGCAGAAACAATTTTGTCAAAAGTTAAGTCATTAGCCATAAAACGCTCAGCAGGGGCTCCGCGTGTAAAGAAATGAACAAAAACTTCATAAAGGTCCTAAACAAAAATATTTTTTTAATAAAAAACAAAATAAATACCTCAAATCCTCCAAGCATTTCTTTATCACCAATAGGATTAGGTGAAGAAATATTTAAATTATTTATGACAGATACTCCCGAAACAATAACGTCAACATTACAATTTATACTTTAAAAAAATAATTTAAAAATTAAAATTTAATATACATACCCAACAATAACTTTACGAAATTTAATTGAAGGTTGGGAAATAAAATTCTCCCAGGCTTTCAACATTGCCTAAATTATTTTTTTAAATTAAAATATTTTAAATAAGAAATCTTCCCAAACCTGTTCAACAGGCATTGTAGTCAATCTGTGTTGCTCATTAAAATAGCTATAAAGCCATGGAATAGCAAAACAAACAAATGCCCAATTTAATAAATAATTATAAGGAGTATTAAAAGGAAACATCATCCTTAAAAAATAATAATAGAAAAATTTTTTTGAAAGAAAAAATAAATACATATTTAAATAATTTAATAAAATTTGAAATTAAAAAGAAAAGAAAAATTCAAAATAAATTTATTTAAATTAAAGCCAAAAAAAATATCTAAGTGAAATTCGGAAAGAAAAATACACTTAAGTGAATGTATAGTTGAAAAATAAAAGGAGGTATTTAAAATAAAAAAACAAACTCAAAAACAAAAATTATTTTTTAATATAAGTAATTGCTTTCCAACACAATCCTTTCTCTTCAACAATTTCCCCATTTTCTTCTTCAATAAATTGATTCCAATTAATTTCAGGAAATTTAACGTCACAATCAAAATTTTTGTCAATTTTAGTTAAAACAATTTTATTTAAATTTTGATGGTCAATTCCTAAGGAATAAATTTGTTTTCCACCAATATTCCTTTAAAAAAAGACGAGAATATTTAAAAATTATTGGTAAAATTCAAGTTCGTTCCCACCTCCTTTTTCTTTCCTTAAAGTATTAAAAAATGATCAGTCAGTCTTAGTTTATAGAAATCATCGAGCTGCGTAGAAAGACACCAAAATCAACCCCCGGTCTTAACAACGAGGGGGAACGATCTTGAATTTTACCAAATTATTTAAAAACAAACCAAATTGTTTCAATTAAATTTTCATAAGGTTTTGATTCCAAAATTAAATTTAAAGACTCCAAACTATTTATAAATATCAAATTTTCGCCAAACTAGAAAACAAAAATTTTAGAAAAAAAAATAAAAAAAAAATTACAAATTCATTTTTCACCCAAGTTTTAGTCATTACAATATTTAAACGATTCTTTAATGGACGATATTTTTCAGGAATACTTTCCCAACATTTTCTGCCCATCAAAACAGCGTTTATTTTATTTGGATTTTTAGTTGTTGTTGTTAAATTAATAAAATGTTTATATTCTTTGGGTAATCTCCACGGCAAAGAATTATTCTTTCCAATCCCAAAATTTTCGTCCACAGCAGCAATTATATTCATTGGAATTTTTGAAGACATTTTTAAAAAATATTTTTGGATTTTAATTAAAAATAAAAAATTGTTTTTTTTTGGTTATTTATTTTTTTATAATAAAATGTTTACTCAAAAATTGCTAGAGATAATGGTAATCTTACTAACATTGGCCCCGATAAAAAATGATTAAAAGTGCTTTTTCGGTATTTTTGAGGGTTGCCAGTAGGTAATCGAGTTGATTTAAAAATTTAATTTAAAAAAACAAATTTCTCGATTTTATATTTTATTTTACATTCTATACATTTGAATATAATCAACAGAAACATATTTGTGAATATTAAACACGATTTAACAAATGAACTTTCAAGACAAAAATGGGTAAAAGAATTAGATTATTATGGTACATATGCAGATAAATTAAGTCAGGTGAAAGAACATTGTGGGAATACAATAACCCTATTTATAGAAGATTATGAAAATTTTTATTTCTCTTCCTATTGTTTGTTCGTTTCTTTATCATCTTCCTCATCGTTGTTGACACCTCCAGTACCGTGCTCGAAGAGACAACGAGTTCGATCGAAGCGCTCAGATTGTGAAGGAAATTGCATTTTGAGAGCCAGTTGCTGCGTCGAGACGAAATTGTCACCATCGTTGGTCTTAGTCATCTGCTCACAAGGTTGCAGTGCCACAGTTTCATGCTGTATATCCTCATTAGCATTTTTGCCGTTCTCATCCTTGATGGAAACCTCCTCAGCTGTTGTTGTTTCCTTCACTCCGTGTTGACCAACAATGCGCATTTGATCAAGCGCCAATTGAACAATGTGTTCCTATAGAAAAATTACATATAGATAATTTTTTTCTAACTAATTATCACCTTTCTGCGTTCCTCAATTCCCTCTGTGTCCCTCACATCATTCCGGTCGTTGCAACCAATTTTAGGAATATCGTCTTGCTTCAATTCAGAAGTTTCATCTTCTTCCACTGGATCTTCATTCTCTGGTGCCTCGAAGATAGTGTTCAGGTCTGAGAAGGTGACACGACGTCGCAATGAACCAGAGCTTATGACGGCAGTTTCAGGTATGTAGTCTTCTTGCTGTTGCTCTTTGTTCTCTGAAGGGAAGTTCAACAACAGCGCCTTTTCAAGCGGAAAAGCGATTTTCTCCTCATTCTCATCATGATCGGCATCTTCCTTGTTTTCAACAGAATGTGGTTGCATCTCTTGTTCTTTAGCGGTGTCATCCGAACGATAAGCTTAAAAAATAAAATGATTAAACTTTATTTAACGATATCAACTCACCAAAGGAATCATCAGGATCAAGAAGTTGGAATATTCCATCGTCGGACTTAGGCGCACGCACAGAAGGAACTGGAGCAATATCGCCAACATTTCCATCGAAGGTGACAGTCTGAAATATAATTCATAAACATGTTTAGAAAGGAATACTTGCCTGCTCCTCAAACACAGAATCTGTCTGAGTGCTGTTTTCGAAGAGAATTGGAGTAGTGGGTCGATAATGAACAGTCGGTGAACAATGATGAGATTCGTAAGAAGCCTCAGCCCTGCCACGTACAGCTTCAAGTATCGCGCGTCCCCAATCTAAGACTAGCAACTCTGGAAGACGGATTTTTACCGAGCCAAAGTTCCATTTCACACGAACATTGCAGATTCTTTGCGTTGTTGTTGATAGAAACACCTGTTAATTAAAGGAAATCTTACTTTTAAGTGTATTTACTTTTCTTATTTTTACCTTCTGAGTTTTGCATTTGAATTCCGCTCTTGCAGCCTTGCTCAGATTAACGGTGAAGCCCTCGTGCTTCCAATTGTCCGTATAGATGACCAGATGACCTTGCTTGCTCAGAACACATGTATGTATACCATAGGACACCGCACGTTCAATCCCGAACAGCCCACGACGCTTGATGGTCACATCCAACGAGGCAAACCGGAATGAGCCACGATCCAAGACACGTTTCCACACATCCAATGGAGGCAAAACAGCTTTCTGTAAAAATATTTTATCAATCGAATTATTTAGTCTAAAAAAGGGCAATCCCGGAGAATTGGGGTCCCTGCGAAAAAAAAGTTTAAAAATAAGAAAAAGGTATTTTCTAGGATAAAAAAATATGCTGATTACGAATCCGAGCTCAGATTTTGAAAAAGTCGAATCCCGAACCCGAACCAAATTTCGAACCCTGAACCCGAATTTCGAATATGCAAATGATAGCTCGTTCGAAAGAGCTCGTCGAGCTGCATCGAATGACACCAAAATCAACGTGATTGGACAAGTTTAGACAAAGTTATGACATAAAGTATACCTATGGGAGTACTGTAGGAGTCGGCGACTTATGTCATAACTTTGTCAAAACTTGATCAATCACTGTAATTTTGGCGTCATTCGATTCAGCTCGACGAGCTCTTTCGAATGAGCTATCATTTGTAAAAACTTTTTTTTTACTCCAAAAAATCACCCATGTGGTTTTTCAATATTTAGGGGTCTGTATCTCGGTTCAATCCGGTCGGATTTCATTGATTTTGGTGTCATTCGACACAGCTCGATGAGTTCTATGATTCTATTGAAAGACTGGCCATTTTGTACAATGTCTGTAATGTTAGGGGTCAAAAATCCTGTTCGGGATCAAAAGTCCGAATTCGGGTTCGGGATTCGACTTTTTCAAAATCTGAGCTCGGATTCGTAATCAGCATATTTTTTTACCCTAGAAAAATCCTTTTTCTTATTTTTAAGATTTTTTTCCGCAGGGACCCCAATTCTCCGGGATTGCCTAAAAAAGTATAGTAAACTTACTTTGGTGAACTCATGTTGAACCCGAATGACGAACAGTTCAACTTCGCATTGACGAGTTTCTGAAGCCTGAGCAGGACTACCGCTTACCATCTTTAGGGGCGAAGGAACCAGTTGACGTTCGCAGGTATATTGCCTATCCAACAAGGATACTCCAGCCATGTGAGAGTGCAGCTCGCCAGCCATGTGAGATTGCTGTGCCAATGATGTCGTTTTAGGCGCTAATGACAAATTGAAGTTTAGATTTGTTCACTCCCTCTTGCTTTTATATGAAAAAATATTACTTCGCTGCGAAACAACTAAGCAATTCTCCTCCAAATGCTCTCCGTCGTCTGCAACAGGAGCTTGTTGATGTGACTGATAATCCAATCGAGGGTATCAAAGTTCATTCTGCTGCCGAAAATATTTTCATATGGAAGGTTGCCATATTTGGTGCGCCTGGAACGATCTATCAGGTCCTTTTACATTACTCGTTTTTGAAAGTATATTGAAATTTTTAATTTTACAGGGAGGCTACTTCAAGGCGGTTGGTTACCTTTGTCGCTTCTACATAATTCAATAACATTTATTTTTGCAGACGCTCAAGTTCCCGCCCAGATATCCATTCGAGCCTCCTTCCATGCGCTTCGATAATCCACTCTTTCATCCTAATGTGTATAAGGACGGAAGAGTATGCATAAGCATCTTGCACCCGCCTGGACAGGATAAGCTGAGTGGAGAAGTAATATAACATGAATTTTACTAAAATCTCGTTTGTTTTTTTAGTCGGCCGCCGAACGTTTGAACCCTGCTCATGGCGTCCGCAGTATTCTATGTACTTTCCGTGATCTCGATGCTGAATGAGCCTAACATTTCTTCACCGGCAAATGTGGATGCTTCTGTGAGCTACCGCAAGTATAAGGGTAATAAAAACATTAAAAATTTCCTCCAACAATAAATAATTTTTTCAGAGAATGGCAACAAAGAGTTCCCAGATATAATAAAGTATGAAAATAGTGTGAAGACGATTAGTATGTGATATTTTTGTTTCAGGAAGATGGTTGAAAAGTCGAAGGCGGAGGCAGCTAAGGACGGGGTGAAGGTACCTGAAACTGAGGAGGAGTACGTAATCAGAGCTAGAGTAAGGCGTCAGCAAGCGGAGAACGAAGGCGGCACTGATAATGGCGATGTTGGCCTAGAGGGTAATTATTAATAACTGGAATACTTTTAAAAAGTTCGCATATTTAGAAGAGTTCTATGATGCTTGATTCTGTTGATGCACTAGCCTGATGTGTAGGAATTGATGTATGTACTATAATTAATAAATGAAAAATAGATGATTAGCATGTATAACAAACTATTGTATATAAGTCCCTATTTTTATCCCTATCTTTAAATGTGATTAGGTAATTATGTATTTATATTAGAATGTATATTCCTTTATTGTATATTCCTTTGTTAAACTCATCTCGAGTATAAAATTGGTAGAGTACTTGGATTAAGAATTTAAGGATAAAGCATAAAACAAAATTTTGAACCGAAACACGTATGTAAGAAATTAAAGACACAGAAAGTAAATGCACAGAAAGTATTTAAGATTACAGATTAATACATTTAGGGAAATATATATTTTGATGTAATTTAAATATATTTATTTCTACTAATTGTCTTTTAAAAAATTCGAAGCTAATTATTTAATCTTGAAATATGTCAATCAAATTAATTGTTTTGTTTAGTGAAAGAATTCAATTTATTTCTCTTTATTTTTAAGAGAACATTTTTTCTTTTTTTTTCTTTTAACTTTTTTCCGTTTAAAAATTTTTAAAAAATATTTAAAATGATTAATAATACTAATAAATTAATTAAAATAATTAATTTAATTATTTATTTAATTTTATCAAAGTCTATTAAAGTATTTAGTGTATCTTTAGACTTGTCAACAATGGGTTGTGATGGAAATTGTATTCAAGAAATGGGAAAAGTTTTAAATAAAATTTAGAAAAAATTATTTTTTATTTTTATTAAAAGTTAATTGAAGTAACCCCAACTTCTTCAATATTATATAGTAATGAACAAGCATTTATGAGCAAATTCTTTAAAAATGTTTGCAAGTAAATAAATTACCTTAGAAAATTATTTAAAATTAAAAAAACTTTCTCAGTTCATATCGTGAAGTAGATGAATGTTTATTACGTTGTGAGTCTAAAAGTAAACAAGTTGCTGATCTTAAAACAGCTTATGCTGGGTTACAATTTGTCTGTAAACAAAGAAAAGAAGGTAAAAAATAAAAGAATAAAAATAATTATTTTTAATTATTTTTTAAAGAGTTTTTCGGTTCATTGCCTTGCCTTTTTGAGTAAATTTAAATAAAATAAATTATGTAAATATTTATTTTAAAAGAAATGAGGTAAAAGGGGTTAAACATTGTTCTATTCAAATTAATCGTTCACAAGAAACAACAATTTTATTTACAAATGCAATTATTTCTCGTGAATTTCATTCAATGCAAATGCGTTTTAGTGCTCTCTGCAGGTAAATTGAGAGAGAAAATTGATTAAAAAACATTTTTAAAGGGATCTTTCTTCTGTCATTCGTTGCATGTAAATAATTAAAAATAATTTAAAGTTAAGATCTAATGTTGTGGACCCAAATCCAGAATAATGGAATAAGGGAAGGGATATGTCCGGAGCTTCCCAAGAGGAACCTAAGAGCTGATCAGGCCCCCGGTTGATCTCACGGACACACACAATTGAACATTATTTATATTAATCCGGGAGAGATTAAGGGGGTTTATCCGGGGAGGAGTGGGGGATGAAAAATGCAAAACGGATATAACCTGTAGGAAACAAACTCCGGGACATATTTCTGTTTTACAATGTTAGAAAGTGGAAATTAAAAAAACCAAAAAATTTTTTGGAATTAATTTTTGTAATTAATTGTGTGTAGATTTTATCAAAAAGGATAATTTTTTTAAAGGTTGCCGATAATTAATTCAAGCTGTGGAGACAAACCGGCTTCTTTATTACTTAATTTTATTGGACTTGAATTTTCAAGTTTTGATACTTTATATCAACAATTAGGCTTTGATTCTCCTTTACCCATTTCTTGTAGATCTTTAATTAAATATTCATTAAATAATTTAAACAAAAAAGATGAATTATTTAATAAAAATAAATTAATTTTGAAAACATCAGCAGAAAAATCTTCAAAATTTTTAATTAATTCTGGAATTTGTAGAAGAAAAAAACAAAATATTTTTATTATTTTATTTTTATTTATTTTAAAATATTTCTTTTTTAAATAAATTTAAAATTTTCTTTTTTATTTAAAAATATAGGTATATTTAAAAACATTTATTTCCTTTTAACTTATACAAAAATTATTTAATTAAACATGAATTTAATTTACATACATCATAAAAATAATTATGACAAAAAGGAAAGAATGAGTCGAGATTAACAGTTAATATGAATACAATTTATATGACAATACAATATCACTTATTAATCAAAGTTTATTGCCCCTCATCTCCTTCTACCTCCTCTACTACTCCTCCTTCTCCCTCTACTCCTTCTTCTCCCTGTACTGCTCCACCTTCTTCTTCTTCTCCTTGTTCATTACGGTGAGAAGCCAACTTCTTGTCCAATAATTCCAATGTTGCATTCATCGAACGGTGTAGACGAACATAATGTTCACGTAATCCTTGGGCAAATAAATTAGCACCACGAGCGAATTCCTTCTGTCGATCAGGAAAACTCCGAACATATTGATCCATCTTAAAAAGAAATTTTAAAAAAGTATCTCTTCCTTAGTAAATACCTTCACTAATGCAAAGCTAAAATTGCTTTCAGCTTTGGAAAGGTATTCTTTGTTAATCGGAGTTGGCTTTAATTCAACAACTTCAATTGCTCGACCTAAAGCAATAGCTGCCTCATTTGTTGATTTAATATTCCTTTCAATTCCTGGCACTTCATTAACTAAATAGCCTTTGAAGATTTTCTCAATAACAGTTTTGTAGAGCTTTAAATAAAAATAATTTCTTCATTCTCTCCCTTCCCCTTCCCTTTCCCCTACCTTAACCAAATGTTCTCTCTCTAAAGTTGCCAAATCAGAATAAGCTACTTGTGTCGCAATTAATACTTCATTTACTTCATCAATATCGTCAGTGAATGGCAACTTTTGTATTTTCCCTAATTGTTCAGCACATTTATGTGGATATGTCAGTCTTGCATCTAATGAAGGGGCAGCACTTGCTGGACGAATTTTTACATCCCATTTCTCAAGTACTTGCTCCATTGATTTACAAATCTAAATTTAAATTTAAAAAAATAATTTTTTTCTATTTTAAATTTACCTGTTCGAGTTTAATTTTATTTTTATGAAATTCTTCAATGAAATCGTGAGTCTCCTTTGGGATACTTCAAATAAAAAATTTAAATTTAAAAAAATAAAATTATTTTCCCTTTTTAAACTCACATAATGTCCATATCCAGTGGAGAAGGAGAAGGCTCGTCCAACAGCATTGCCTGAATGATCCTCTCTGCAATCTCGTTATTGAGGCTAACCATGACAAGTGTTCGGCAAAAAGAGGTGACAAAGCTCTAACAAGTTGGATGTGTTAATTGTTGAGAATGGAGATTAAATTAATTGTTGCCACCCTTTTTATATTAAAAGGATTTTGAAATAATTGAAGAAATAATTGGAAATCATCAACTTTTTGGATTTCAGTAATATTTTAATTTATAAAACAAAAACAAATTTTTAGCTTACAATACAAGTAGATATTTAAATAAAAACTAAATTTGTTAGTTGAAATAATTTAAAAATTCTAATTTTTATTTAATTTTGCTTTATCTGCAATTATTTAATATTATTTTATTACTGCTAAAATTCATCTTCTAAACTTATTCTTAATTTTATCAGCTTTTCCTTTCTTTCTTCACGTGAATATTTTTAATGGCCTGACGTTTAATTATTTATTTTAATGATAACAAAAACATGTGTAACTAATATTTTTTTATTTATTGTATATTTTTATAGCAGGTATTTGTTATAATTATTTATTTATAAAAAGTTCACTCACTCACATAAATACAAACAAAACATCCCAATTAAAAGTTTTTCTTTTAATAAAAATAAATTATCAACCAAAATTTTGATATTTTTTTATAACAATGATAAGGAAAATCACACAACATTTTTTACCCGCCAATCAACTAAAAATCATCCAAGAAGCACGCCATCCATGCCATAATGATATGAAGGAGGAGGACTATTTAAAATAAATGGAAAGATGGCCATAACTATCATTATTTTTAAAAATCATTCCATACACATTTTATATTGAAATAAATATAAGAGGGAAATTTACTCAATTTAAACAGCATTCTACTAGACCTTAATTAAAATAAAATATTATCGAGCCTTTAAGCTTTTCTTAATTCGATAATAATTTTGCAAAAAAAAAATATTCTCTCCTTTATAACTTTTTAATTTTAGACTGTCTCAAATAACTTGGCAAAATATTTCTAAAAATTAAAAAAATGTTGGAAACTATAACAGCAGTACAACAACCAAAAGTTTTTTCTTTTGAAAAAATAGTAATTATTGGGACTGGACTAATGGGGACTGGAATTGCCCAAGTAAATAAAATAAATAAATTTAAATATTAAAAATCCCCATTTAAAGGTAGCATTAGAATCGGGTATTCAACAAGTTACCGTTGTTGGCCGAAGTTTAGATAAATGTGAAGAGGCTAAGAAAAAAGTTTTATTAGGAATACAAAAATCAACAAAAAGAAGAATGTCTAATGAAAGTTTAGAGCTTCAACAAAAATATATTGAATCTGTTATTAAAAATTTAAAATTTGTTTGTGATTTAGAGGAAGCTAATTTGTTAAATGTTGATATGGTTATTGAAGCTGTTGTTGAAAATTTAAAGGTATTTTAAGGGAATTGGATTGTTAGTGTTAATTGTTGGATATTAAAAGAAATATTTTTTAATAAAAATTATTTTTTTTTAAATTTACTCAAAATAATTTTATTTATTTTTCAAAAAAAAAGGTAAAACAAAAATTATTTGTTGATCTAGAATCCCGTGTATCAGAAAATTGTTTATTAGTTACAAATACTTCTTCGTTCCTTTTGGAAGATGTTTCTTGTAAAATGAATGAAGATCGACTTAAAAACTTTGGAGGACTTCATTTCTTTAATCCTGTAAATATATTTTTGGTAAATGTCCAGCTCACTACGCAGGAGAATTAAGGAAGTGAAGGAGATGAGTGCAGAAAAAAAACATTTTTGCAGAATGCCTTTTGTGGACATGTGGGACACGAGCTGGATATTTACCCATATTTTTTAAATATTAAAACAAAAATTTATTTAAAAGGTTCCAGCAATGAAGTTAGTTGAAGTTGTTAAAGGAAATAAAACTTGTGATGAAGTAAATGAAGCACTTTTTCGTTTTTGTCAAAAAATAGGGAAAAGTCCAGTTAAATGTTCGGATTCCCCTGGATTTATTGTTAATAGACTTTTAATTCCTTATTTGGCTGATTCTATGCGTTTAGCAGAAAGTGGAAATGCCTCACATAGAGATATTGATGCTGCTATGAGATTGGGAACTGGTAATTAATTAAATAAAAAATATATGTGATAATTTATAAAAGTTTAGTGGGGGAAAGAAAAATAAAAGAAAATAGAATAATCTAAGGGGAAATTAATTTTTAAAAATAAATTTATTTATTTAATAAAAAGGTCATCCAATGGGTCCATTTGAATTAATGGATTATATTGGTTTGGATACAATGAAATTTATAATGGATGGTTGGCATCAACGTTGCCCGGATGATCATCGTTATACTCCTTGTGAAAGTCTTGAGCGTTTAGTTACTTCGGGGAAAGTTGGAAGAAAATGTGGGGAAGGATTTTATCGTTACACTGCAGCAAATAAACAATAAAAAAGAAAAAAATAATTGATGAAAGGGAAAATAAAATAAAAATATTTAAAAAGAATTATTAAATTTATATTTTTAAATTAAAAATAACAAATAATAAATTTGTAAAAAATTTTCAATAATTATTGTAATAAATTTCATTTTCTTCTTTTCTTCCTCAAAACCCTCCTCCTCCACCCGTATAACGTCTAGGTTTTGGTAAAGGACTTTGACCAAAACTAGATGGAAATCCACACATTTCAACTGGAAATGAAGGTGTTCTGAATGATTTTAACATTTTAATTTTTTTGTTTAAAAAATAATATTCAATAAATAAAGCAATTAAAAGTAGGGGAATTAAGGCTGAAAATTAAGAAAAATTTAAATTTAAAAATAAAAAGAATATTTTTACAAAGAATTGTCCACATCCAAAAAGGAATTTCTGCAAACAAAAAAGGACATTGACTCTGTTTTCCTTCTTCTTCCTTTATTGGAAGAGAACTTTGCTTTAATTGAACAAGTAATCTATTTCGTTCTTCTAAATTAGGCCCTTCATCTCTGGCAAATATAACTAATCCATCAGCAACGACATCTATTGTTATTAAATTTTTTTGTTTATTTTCTAATGAATTGGTGGTTGTGGTGTTGTTATTTAAATCTGAAAAAAAAATAAAAATATTTTATTGTAAATTTTAAACTAAATATAGTTTCATTTTTGAGATAACAATCAAAATTCCTTTAAAATATTATCACATCAAAACTGCAAATGCTGAGTTTATTATTAAACACAAGTTCAAATCTCTTTGAACTTGTGAGTTTATCCTTGGTGGTACTTTGTTAGCTTTAAAATATCTTTCCTAATTTAGGTATAACTAACCAATTTTCTGTTTATTATTTTCTCTTTTATTTTCTTTTTCTAAATTTCTTTTATTCCTTTCTTTCCTTCCATTTCCAAAATTAATTAAAGGAATCCATAAACCATTTTCTTCATTTAATTTACAACATTTAATTAATGGTAATATTTTGTTATTTTCTCTATTTTGTTGATTTTTGTATTTAATTAAAATATTTTGATTTTGTTGAGTATCACGAGAAGATTGAATAATTGGAAGAGGAGGGCCTCCATTTGAAGGTAAAGGAATAAATTGACAGGAAGGAGGCTTTAAAATAAATTTTATTTATTTTTAAATTATTAATTAAAGAACAGTAATTCCTTCACATCCATTTTGTCTTTTATCACATAAAGTTATTTGGCAACGAAAAAATATAGACATTTGATCAGCAAATTTAAAAGCATTAATTAAAGCAAAAGAAGAATTTAATTGAGAAGAATAAATTAATGGAGGCATTAATGAATTATCTGTTACACAACCACGTTGGTCTATTAATTGAAAACTATGCCCATTTCCATCTCTAACTGTACAAGAATGGACTAACATACCCAATTCGTCTAAATTTTAAAAAGAATTTTTTTTTAATTTATTTTTTCTTTTTTTAAATCTCTCTACCACTTTCACAACTCCATTTATGTGTTAATTGTTCTCCAATATTTGCAAACCGAACAGATTCTTCTTTATTTAAAGATTCATTATTTCTATTTAATAATCTAAGTACTTCATATTGACATAAAGGGGCGTCTACTTGAGAAGAAATTTTTGAAGAGGAAATATCACTTTAAATTAATTAAAAAGGAATTAATTTAAAGGAAAATGATATTACTTTATATCTAATTTCCTTTCAAGTTCTCTAAATAAATCTCTATAAAAACAAGTAACACTATATGCTTTATCTCGATTAGTTACAAAAAGATGGTGATGCTGAACTATTACCTTTAAAATAATTTTTAATCCAAAAAATATTTTTAAAAAATTCACTAACAACAGTACTATAGGTAATTCCAGAATTATTTTCTTCATTTTCTCGAGTATTATTTAATAATAATTTTCTTTCTCTTTTAATTTGGCAATCACTTTTATATGGAATATGTAAATAAAATGGTTGATTAATTGGTTGTTTACTATAATCAACATGGCAATGACTTGAAAAGAAAAATCCTCTTAAATAAACATGTCCACTAAAAGGTAATGAAGATTCCCCTCCTTCCCTTCCTTCCTCGAAATTTGGAATAAAATGGAGTCTCATTCCATTTTCCAAACATTCCTTTAATTTTTAATAAAAAAATTATTATTTTAAATATTTCCAACCAATTCTGGTGGAGTATTTATATCTGATGAAACAAAAAATAAAAATTGAATAATTAAATAATAAATAAATAAATATATTTTATTTAATTTTAATAATAACATTTTTAATTTTTAAATTAAATAAACAAGTTTTGGTTATATATTAGTTAAAGTTTCAAAAATAAAAACTACTTTTTAGACTAGAATTTTAAATATAATAATAGGCTTAGCGCTTATTTTTAAAAATAAGTAGATTATTTAATTTTGTTCTGTTTAATTTATTTAAAATTATAATTTTATTTATTTTTTTTTAAATTAAGAAAATTAAAAATTAAAATATTTATTTACAAAAAGAAATAAAAAATTTCAATTTTTGTTATGTAAATTCAGCAGGTGGATTATATATAGTTTTTTCTTTATAATAAACTTCTTCATGTTCTTTGTCACAAATTAATAAAAGTAAAGCACCAAAAATAAATCTTTTTTTGAAATAAAAATATATTTAAATAATTAATTAATTTACAATAAAGCCCCCCAAGCAACCCCATAAGACCAATCAAATTCCCAATTTCTAAGTCCATAAGAATTTATTGACAAATAAAAGCATATTGGGAAACCAACAAGTGTTGACAATTCAGAGAAAACTTTTTTTAAAATTAAATTAATTTATTTATTTAAAATTATTTAATTGTTTTTTTTAAATAAAATGAAACTTGATACAATATAAATAGAGTTAATATTTTTTAAAAAAATTTTGAATTTAAATACTTTTTGTAGCAATCAAATGTTTAAATTTAATTTTAAAATTACTAATTACCAGCAATAAATGAAAGCCAAGTTGCTGATTTATAAAAAATATATTTTCTGTGTAAATCATTACTTCTTAAAGCTGCTGTATTTACAAAAATTGCGAATAAATTACAAGCAGCAGAAATAATTAACAAAACTGAAGCTATTCGAACAAATACTTAAAAAATAATTTTAAAAACAATTAATCTTATTTATTCAATTAATTATTACCCTTCCCCTCAGATAACTAATGCCCTCCCCCTAGTTTATTTATTTTACTCCCTACAATAAATTTCTTTATGAATCTAATTATTTAAGGTAAAAAATTAAATTTAAAAATTTATTTTTAATTTAATCAGCCCTCTATAAAAGTTAAATCAATTCCAATTTCTACTTTAAATTTTTTTACATTTCTTATCGTGGGATTAAGTGAATAAGAAGGAGATATTGGGGGAATTGAAGGAGATATCTGCTCTTATTTGTAATTTTAAAATTATTTTTATTTTTTGCCTGTATTTCTTGCCGGCGATTGGCATTGCCCTTCTGGCGGGGCATTAGGTACTGGATTTGTAGGTGTAGATGCTGTCCTTTCTGTACATTCTTGAAATAGTCCAGTATGGAAAGAATATGTTTTTAGCCAATAATTACTTAACAAAGATACACACAATAAAAATAAAGAAAGGCACAAACAAACAAGGGAAATGACCTTTTTTTGTTAAATTGAAATTAAATTTAAATTAATTTACTTTTAAAGGTCTAACAACAGTAACTGTTTCAACTGTTGTTGTTTGAGCTGGCATTTGAATTTAAATAATTAAATAATTAGATAATTATCTCTTTAATATTTTTAATAAAATTTAAAAGAAATTTATTTTAATTTTTAAAACTAAAAATATTTATTAAATTAAAGTCAAAATATAATAAATAAATAAAATTTATTTATAAACCCTTTCCTTCTTTCCAAAATCGATTTGTCAAAACACGGGAAAGATTTGTATTTAGTATAAGAAAATATTTGGTGAAAAGAAGGAAAATACACGCGCGCAAATCCCCGGAAAGATGAAGGAGGGATTGAATAAATAGAAGTTTTGGAAATGGTGTTGGCATAAATAAATAAATAAATTGAGTTTAATTAAAGAAAATTAATTTTTAATTAAATTTATTTAATTATTTTAAAAAATATTTTTTAGTTAAAGTAATGGGGGTATTTTAAATAATTTATTTTTAAAAGAGAACACAAATTAGTTAGAGTAATTTAAAATAATAAGAATTTAAATAATTATATAAATGGAAAACATTATTTTAAAATAACAACAAAAACTTAGTGAAATTTAAAGAAAGTTAAAGGAATTATGAAAAAAATGTTTTTAAATTAATCCAGATATTATAACTTTTAAATGTTATTATTTCAATTTTTGTTATAAAAAATAATGTAATTTTAAAAAATATAAAAAAATAACTTAGTCTTTAAAAAAATTCAAATCAAAATTTATTTTGTATTTTGCGGAATGTAAACATACATGCCAAAAAAATGATTTTTTAAATAATTTAAGATGTATGTACTTACTTACTTTTATTGTAGTAAATCAAAAACCTAAGTAAATCAAAAAAAAATTACAAAAGGAAGGTAACAATACGGGAAGGGTAAAAAAATTTAAAAAAAGATAAAAAAATAATAATTTATTTTTAAGTGTCAAAAACATTTTTTACAATGAATTTATTTAAAAAAAAGGTTTAATTTACAATATTTAGTAATTTTTTGATTAGAAAGCTCCTTTTAAAATTCACTTTATTTCCTATAAAGGTTGATTTCTCCTCGAGAATTTATTTATAAGAGAGACATTTTTATTGATTTAAAATTGGTTTTTGCCAAAAAAGGTGTGAAAAGACTAAAAATAAATATAGCCAACCAATACTTATACAAATAAATAAAATAAGAGAATTGCAAATACCTTCACAAACACTTCAAAATAAGTAAAAGATGGGAAAAATAGAATTTTTTAAAGTAAAAATATTTAAAATTTTTAGAGAAATACATAAATACTTTTAAAAATAGATACTTATTTTAAATTAATTTTAAAAATAATTTTAAAAAAAAGTATGACTTAAACTGACGTTGAAATATATATTTATTTGTTACACTTTTCAATTCATCAACAACTGATGAAAAAGGGAGTATATATTTGTAGGTATATGTACTATTTGTTGTTTGCTTTTAAATGATGGATGAATCAATTTTTGGGTGAAAGAAAGGAAATAAAATACACTAAATTGAAATTAAAAATATTTTAGTAAAATAAATTAAAAATTAAATAAATTTATAAAAATTTGAAAAAATAATTAAATAAAATAATTTTTTACATTTTTCAAAAATAAAATAAAAAGGCTCTTGTCCAGTTTATGCGTCCCATGAAAGTATATGCGTCCCATCAAAAAAAAATTGGATATTTCTTGGTGTTGCAAAGTAGGGGTATGGTTCCAAAGCATTTCTTCATGTTCGGGATCTAGGTCCACTGGGTCTGGGACCGTTCCTTACCCTATCCTTTGAAATTTCTGAAAGTTATAGCCAATTTTTAAAAATTTCAGAAAAACGATTTTAACTTTCAGAAATTTCAAAGGATAGGGTAAGGAACGGTCCCAGACCCAGTGGACGTAGATCCCGAACATGAAGAAATACTTTGGAACCATACCCCTACTTTGCAACACCAAGAAATATTCAATTTTTTATTGATGGGACGCATATACTTTCATGGGACGCATAAACTGGACAAGAGCCAATAAAAAATCCATTTGACAAATAAAAAGTAAAGTAAAAGAATTTTTTGAGGGATTTAAAAGTAAATTGTGCCAGCCGTGAAAAAAATAAACAAAACAAAAATATATAAACAATATTCACAAGTATGTAGTTGGTCTCTCGAGAGAGAATGGCGGCTTTTTTCTTTTTAATGGCAAAAAATAAAGAAATAATGAAAAGAATTAAAATTATTTTTGATAGAGAAATTGTATAAAGTAATTTTAATTTAAAAATATTTATTGTTTTTTTAATTTTAAAATTAATTTTAATATAAAAATACTTTTTTGTTGTTCTAAATTTGAGGCATTCCTTACTTTAATATTAATTTATTATTTATTCTTTTAAGAGAAAATAAAAATTTGCATTTTAGTGACATGAGAAGCATTTTTAAAATAAATGACAAGAAAATATTATTACAAATTTTTTACTATTTTTTAAAGAAAAATATATTTATTTATTTGTACATACACAAAATATTTATTTATTTTAAAGATTATGACAAAGCAAAAATTGTAAAATAGCGGCAATCAAAAAAGACGGTATTTTTCTTTTACGGGAAGTTTAAATAAAAATATTTATTTTTATTTTAAGTCAATCCTTAGTACAATTTTTAATGTATAAATGTTGCTTTTCTAATTGTTGAGACGATCTTTTAAGGATTAAAAAAGGAAATAAATGATTAGAAAAAAACAGGATTTTTAAAAGTAAAGAATTTTGTTGTTTGTTATAATAATGTGTGTATATTCTTTTAATTAAAGGTATTTTCAAAAATTTTGATTTTTAAAATTTAAAGTTTTTAATTTTCTAAATCAATTTATATTTAAATTTAAATAAACATATTTTGCAAAGAATTTTAAATAATCTAAATAAATGTCAGACACATTATTTTTGTACTATCCATTTCAAGCATCTGCTGGCTTTGGAACTTGTGGCTCTGGTTTTGTTCTAAAAATTAATTAAATTTATTTTTGATATCAAATTGGTAAAGTTATTTTTCGATTTAAAAGTGAAAATAAAAAGAAAAATTAAAAGAATACTGCAAGACACAAAACGAAGAGGAAAATAGACAGAGCGGTTTAATTAACAATTATTAAATTAAAATATATTTTTAATTAATTTTTTACCGAATTCCAGTCAACATTGATTTAATTTCTCCAATAGCCTTTGCAGGATTTAAATGCTAAAAAATATATTCTTTTATTTAAAAAAATAAAAAAACCTTTGGACATGTTTTTGTGCAATTAAGAATTGTATGACATTTAAAAGCAGAAAATGGATCAGTTAAACGAGAAAGTCTTTCCTTTGCTTTATCATCACGAGAATCAATTATCCATCGAAAAAAGAAGAAATTCTCAAATAATTATTCTTTCTTTACCTATATGATTGAAGAAGCGCTGCAGGCCCCAAATATTTATCGGGATTCCACCAATAAGAAGGACACGAAGTACTGCAACAGGCACACAAAATACATTCATAAAGACCGTCCTAAATTAAATTTTAAATAAAAAATAATTTTCAAAAAATATTTACAAGACTAGCTCTCTCTTCGATTGTTTGATACATTTCCTTTTCTCCCAAATTTAGAGGTTTGTTCTTTTGTAGCCAAGGCTGTACTGAACCATATTGTTGATAGAAAAGTGTCATATCGGGAACTAAATCCTTAACAACATACCTAGAAAACAAATTAATTATTTCAAAAAAATATTTTATATAAATTTGCTGAAAATTTTAGTAAAAAAAGTACTAAATTATAGGACCTCAAGTTTGAGGTTAAAATTTTGTCATTTAAAAATTAAGAAGACATACATATGAGGAAGTGGATAAATCTTTGTAGATTTATTCGAATTTTTATCAATATGACAAATACAGGCAAGTGTATTTTCTCCATTTATATTCATAGAGCAAGAACCACAAATCCCTTTAAATAAAAATTCTTAATTGAATTAAAAAATAAAAAAGAAAACCTTCACGGCATGAACGACGAAATGTCAAAGTTGGATCTATTTCATTTTTAATTTTAATCAAAACATCCAAAACCATAGGTCCACATTTATTTAAATCAATATCATATTTCTTAAAAAAACTTTTTGATAAAAATTAAATTTGTTTCCCCTTTTCTTATTTTTCTGTAATTCCCCTCCATTTATGGTAGAGGGGAATTAAACAATTAAAAACGAATTAAATCTGCATAAATTTAAAACAACTACTTAAGAGCTCCGTTTAATTTTTGTTTTTTACCTTCCGAAAATATTGAATGAAATTTAATTCGTTTTTGATTGATAAGATTCCACAGACAAATAGGAATTTTGAAACAAAAACTTAACTTTTTTAAATAAAATTTTTAAAAACCTGTAAATGAGGTTTAACTTCTGGAGTTTCTGGATTATAACGATAAACTTCAAATGCCTTAATATTTGGGCCTTGAACAGAAGCAGCAGAAACAGCAGTTCTAAAACTAAATAACGAAGGGTAATGACGAGAATTGATTAACAAAATATTACGCATTTTATCAAAACTTTTATCTAAAATTTTCTAATTAAAAAAGAATCCAAAACGAAGTAGAAAAAATTATAAAAAAAATGAATTTATTAAATTTTAATCATTCTTTTTCCTTGACAATAAAATTTTAACGTTCTGTGCAAAATGTTTTTGAGGCATTTTGTCATAGCCATTTTTTCGTAAGGACTTTCTGATTTTTGATAAAATAGGTAATACCTAGAAGCTTGTTTACACATTTTGCCAATACTATATTTTGTCGGCTCCATGACGGCGCGCCCCGAAATGTTCTACCACGAAAATGTCCTCTCCGAAAATGTCCTAAAGAACAAAACCACGAAAATGTCCCACTGAACAAAAACTTGGGCAATCCCGGAGAGAAAGGGTTTCTTCGAAAAAAATTTAAAAATAAGAAAAAGGAATTTTCTAGGTCTGCTCCCAATTTTTAAATTAGAAAAAGGAAAAAAATATTCGTCTTAATCAAAAACAAATTACAAACATTATATTTATGGATGGGCAAATACATACAATTAATACGTACAAAAAATCAGAGAAAGAAGATCCAATATACACACAAGATTTTTATCTTGACATCGTTCTGCTATGATGAGTGTTCTTCTTTTGCCAATCATAAGGCTCCCTCAAATTGCAATTCCGTCGTTTCGCCACACGCTTGACCATTTCGCGAATCCAATGGTAGTCTATCTTGTCCACATAGTGCAGTCCATTCAAGTATGTGATCACCTCACAGAACTCGCTCTCCTGTAAAAATTAAACGAGATTATATTGCCTTAAAAGAAGTCCATTAGGGGTGCGCCGAACAGATTTTAAAAGCGAAAAACGAAAGCCAAAAGGCGAAACGGCACACCCCTGTTTCCCAACAACTACCTCGGAGCTCTTGAACAATGTTCGTGGCTCAGCAATCGCCTTCCTCTTCATTCGCTCAACTTCGTCCACGTCGGTAACCATGTGCCACGGAAGTCGATTTTCATTGACCATGTCCACAACCATATAGATCCAACTCTCGCAGTCGTCTTTACGTCCAAGCTCCTCCATCTTGTGCATGGTCACTGGGGCGAAGCGGACGGTGCCTTTGAACTTTATCTGAAAATTTTGAAAAAGATAACCAACTCCGTTATGATTTTATCTTTCTTTACCTTTCTTCGTGGTGTCAGCATACTCCCCTTCGCGTCAAGAATCTTCCGTGCAATCCCGTAATCGACAACGTAAACAGTGTTTGCGTCTTTGGTCCCTGGCGCTCCGATCACGAAATTTGCCGGTTTGATGTCGCGGTGAAGAAAGCCAAGATCGTGCATTTCTTTGATCGCATCAATCGACTGGATGGCACAATAGTAGGCAGTGTTAGGGCTAAAAATATTAAAAAGAAGAAATTAAAGAATAGACCTCTTCAGGTAACAAACCTGAAGATCCTCTTTCTGTACGCTCGCTTTATGTCTCCCAGCGACTTGCCCAAAAGCGTCATGACAATGAACATACTCTTGGTTGAACTGTGCGGTTCACTATGGTCAATGAGCGTGGGCAAGTGTTGTCTCTCTTCCGGCTTTGCCAAGGCAGCTGCCTGCAACACCCGCACCTCCATCTGCAGCTTGTAGTGGTCACGCTTTGGAGCACGCTTCTCAAGTTTTAGAGCAAAGACGCCTCCTTTAGAGCCTCGAACTTTGTGGACAGCGCCGTATCCGCCAGAAGCGATGTCGGAAACTACAATGAACTCCTGTGTGGCGCTAAAAAAGGAGAAAAGATGAGAACGGATTTATAAAATTGTGAAATGAAAACTGACCCTTGGTACGTTTTGACGCTGGCCTCCGAGCTTATTGACGCAGTGTGCATGGTAGTTGACGTTGGACGATTAGTGGTCGAGAAAGGAGGAAGAGAAGCAGTGGAGTAGTTATGGGTGGTAAGGAACAAAGATTTTGAGGCTTTTATAATGCTTATCATCGAAGTATAATCAAAGTCGATTTACTCAAAAAAACTTCAAATATAAAAACCGTCAGAGAAGCGCCAATTAAATCCAGTTACTCATTTCTAGTTTCTAGCTAGCCGGTTTCGTCAATTCGCCCCTTCCAGCCGCACTTGTGCGCTATGGCCAACATGGACATCGACAGATTACTGACGTATCTTATTGATAAGCAAGGCCCTGACCTCGCCGCAGCTGTGAGTTTGCTTATATTTTGTTTAATAAATAATTCCTTATGTAATTTTATTTTAAGGTTGACGCGTCTGTGCTTTTTGAAGTTTGCCGTCAGGCCCAACAAGTTTTCGAGTCGCAACCCGTCCTTCTGGAACTCAACCCGCCTGTGGTCGTTTGCGGTGACATTCATGGACAATATGTGGACCTATTGCGGATTTTTCATCAGCTAGGCTACCCACCAACGGCAAACTACCTTTTCCTAGGAGGTTTGGATAGCTGTGTTTCCCTTTAAAGAAATAAAATTTAACTTTTCATAGATTACGTCGACCGTGGAACCAAAAACCTGGAGACGATCGCTCTGCTCTTCTGCTACAAAATCAAGTACCCGCGCAACTTCTTTTTGCTTCGAGGAAACCATGAAACGGCTGCAGTGAATGCTGTGTACGGCTTCCGGCAAGAGATTCAAAGGAGATTTGGTCGGAATGAGCATGGACCGTTGTGGCGTATGTTCAACGAGGCATTTTCGCAAATGCCTGTCACGGCAATTATTGGGGGTGAGGAAATAAATTTTCAGACGTGTCAAAAAAAATTCTCTTTTTTTAGGACGTATCCTTTGTATGCACGGAGGCCTTTCGCCACACTTAGAGACCAGAAAGCAGCTACGCAAAATACCTCGAGGATGGCATGACCCTGGAGAAAACCGACTAGCATTGGACCTGCTGTGGTATTGAGACTGGGTTTGAGTCAAATGACATTTTTTCTCTTTTAATGTAGGTCCGATCCCGACCCAACCATAAGAGGCTGGAGACCAAGTCCCCGCGGATGCAGCTACTTATTTGGTAATGACGTTCTGCTAGATTCTTGCCGTCAACTCGACATTGATCTGATTGTGCGCGCGCACCAAGTGGTCCAGGATGGATATGAAATCAATCCAACTCAACGACTCATTACAGTGTTTTCAGCACCGAATTACTGTGGAGAAGTGAGTTAGGAAGAGAGACGTCTATACTTTAAAAATTTCCTCCTTTTTTCAGTTCGACAACGCCGGCGCAGTGATGTACGTCGACCAGAGGCTTGGATGCTCTTTCGTTCAATTTCGACCCAAAGTGTGAAAATGAAAACAGAACGGTCAGAACTAAATTATAAATATTGATTGTATTGTTTATCCTAAAGTTTTTTGTTTAACCCTTACTGTTCATTTTCGTTGTAGCTATGATATTTTTGTTTTGTATGTGCTATTGTAGTATATTCAATCTATTAGCATTAATAAAAATTAGCGTGTATTCAGGGTTATATATTTCTTAATTTTTAAGCCAAACTTTCGAGTGTCGGCATTTCGGATGCGACAATTGTCAAATGGTGTCGTACACATATGTCGTCAGAATCGTCGTCCGGATTTGTCGCATTCACAATTGTCGTAAACCCCTCTCCTGTCTTAATGACAGATGGACACTTGGGCGCGAGCCACATACGCAAGGCAACTTTCTTAAGCGCAGTCTTAAAATTTTTAGAAAACGTCAAATTCTTATTTTTCGCCTAAAAATTTTTTATCGTTTTGTTCATTCTGTTGTTTTTCCTTTAATTCTTCAACTAATTTTTCTAATTAGATAATTGAGTACTCAAACAAGAATATAATTACTAGAAACATACATAAATGGATTAACATTACTTCAACTTTAATTTAAAAATATTGTTTAAACCTTTCCACCAGGTGAATCATTTATTCTCCCAAATATTTTTATAATAAAACTTTTTCTGGCCAAAAATATTTTTATTATTCATTAAAATATTATCCTCAAAACTAGTTTTATATTCACCCTTTTTCTCTGTTGTTTGGTCGTGCGCGTACGCCACACTTCTCTTTAAGAGCTGTGCTAGCAATGCGAATTTCACATATGATTTTTGGGAAGAGGACCGGCTTAGTAAGTTTTCCTCGGCTACATCCCACCTTTCATTTATTCTTTCCCCTATATTTTTTCATTAACTTTATTTTAAATTAATTTATTTTATTGATTTTTTAAAATTAATTTTATTTAGAAATGACTACTGAAGAACCTTCACCTCATTCCCACGATCATATCGAGCATAATCATTCCAAAGAAAATCCAAATAAAATAACTACTATGCTTCATTCTATGGCCATGTATTTTCATTTTGGGTCAAAGGAATCTATCCTTTTTAGTTTTTGGAATACGGAATCTGCCTTAGGTTAAAATAATTTTTAAATATTCCTTTCATCTTTTCAGGTATTTTTGGCTCTTGTCTAATTATTTTTATTTTTTGTCTTTGTTTGGAATTTACTCGTTTATTTCGCATTTATCGAAAAAAGAAATTATTTAATAGACAAGATGGAAATTTATCTACAACTGATTCAACTATTGGTTTTACTACTATGAGAAGGTTTTTAATTTTAAGAGATTCAAAATTCTTTTTTAAGGCCAAATTTGGGCAATTTAATTGATATGTGTCTTCATGCAATTCAATTAACTCTCAGTTATATGCTTATGTTAATTTTTATGACATTCAATATTTGGTTATGTGTTTCTGTTGTTTTGGGCGAAGTTTTGGCAAGAATGATTTTAAGTTTATTTTTTCCAACGATGGATTTATTTGTAACTTTCTTTGGTGCTTCGGTTGAACCATGTTGTGGATAAATGAATTGAGATTAAAATTAAATACCAATTTTCTTTCATTTTCTGCCTTCCTTTTTTCCCCACTACCAATTTTTCTTTTAAATTAAATTTTGGTTGTCATAATTTCTGTGCCCTTTTATTTAGCTTTTAAAAAATTAGGGGTCACTTTAGTACGTGGGTGCAGGCTTTAAATTACAAATGTTATATCATTTGAGAGAGCTCGTCGAGCTGAGTCGAATGCCACCAGTTTTAGCCCGAGGAAAAATTTTTGGACCGAGATACAGGCGATTGAAAATCGAAAAACCATAGGGGGGACCAAGCACTTTTTTGGAGTGAAAAATTCGAAAATGCGAATAATACCTCATTCGAAAGAGCTCGTCGAGCTGAGTCGAATGACACCAAAATCACCATGATTGAACAAGATTAGACAAAGTTATGACACAAAAAACAAAAAACCTAAACCTATGGAGCGTCGGCGAGGCGCTTGTGCAAAACCCAGCGCTTCGCGCTGGGTTTTGCGGCACGCGCCTCGCGGGGAGTCTACGGGCGCTGGGTCTGGGCTCGTAACATAAACCTATTCCTATCTCACTTGCTCTGGACATATTTGGGGCCTCCGTAGGGGCAAAAATCTCCACAGATGCCATAGGTAAGGAGCTAAAAGAAAAGATCATAACTTTGTCCAATCAAGTCGGATTTCATTGATTTTGGTGTCATTCGACTCAGCTCGACGAGCTCTTTCGAATGAGGTATAATTTGCATTTTCGAATTTTTCACCCCAAAAAAGTGCTTGGTCCCCCCTTTGGTTTTTCGATTTTCAATCGCCTGTATCTCGGTCCAAAAATTTTTCCTCGGGCTAAAACTGGTGGCATTCGACTCAGCTCGACGAGCTCTTTCAAATGATATAACATTTGTAATTTAAAGCCTGCACCCACGTACTAAAGTACAGCCAAAAATTATTTAAGAACAAAAAAATCATCTTTTCAAAATTTTTCAGGCTTTTTATAATCTTTTAAAACATTTAAACTATTCTATATTTTGATTTATGTGAAATGTTTTCTTTTAATTTTCGATAAAATTTTTTAATTTATATTAATTTTGATTATTTATTTTTAATATTAATTTTATTTACTTAATTTAGACTATTTAAGCTAAAATTAAAAATAATTTTCAGATTATTGGAATATTTCTAATTTAATATTGAATAATATAATGTTATTTTTGTTTTATTAATTTAATCCTCTAAAAAATAAATTCACGCTAAAATAAATTTTTTTCTAATGAATCCAGATTTGGTAAATGTAGATTTTTTATTTTATTAAAATTACATTTTAGGGTGTTAACCTTTCTCCGTCTTTCGCTGTGAAATTTTGTAATATTGATGAAAATATTGGAGAGATTTGTGATTCAAAGCTTTGTACAGCTACATTTATAGAGCAAGGGAAAATTCTTGTTTTAAAAGGTTTGAAATTTTTATTTAAATTTTTTAAAATAAATTTTAGGCGGTGTAAATTTACAAAAACATTTACATTTTTATCAATGGTTTCGTTTTGCCAAACAATTTTTATCATTCCGGCCCATTAGCAAACAAGTTCTTGTTTGTGGATTAATGGTTTTAGAACCTTTTCTTTTACGTTTTGAGTCAAATAAAGGTTTTAATTTATTTTTTAAACATTCCTCTCTTTAGATCTTCAAAATTTTTGCTCTTTGTTACCTCCGTCTGAGTCAATAGATAATGAGGAATTATCAAGTTCTACACAAAATTCTTCAAGAAAACGAAAATGTTTATCAAATAATGAAATGAATTCTGAATTTAATTCTAGAACGGAGGAAGGTTTGATTTTAGGATGTAAATTGTTTTTTATGATTATTTTTGTTCTATTTCAAATTTTTTTTAATATGATTAATTTTAAAAATTTTGAACACTTTTTTCAAAAAAAATTAATTTCAGGGTCAGCCACCCAATATTTTCAATTTTATGGATCTCTTTTTCAACAGCAAAATATGATGCAAGATTATACAAGGACAGCAACATATCAACGCGCAATACATGAAAATTATTTAGATTTTCGTGATAAAGTAAAATTAAATAAAAATATTTTTTTAATTAAATTTAGGTTATTCTCGATGTTGGCGCTGGTAGTGGAATTCTTTCATTTTTTGCTGCTCAGGTCGGTGCAAAGAGGGTTTATGCCGTTGAGGCTTCTTCTATGGCTGATAGCTGCAAAGTAGAAAAAATTTTTAAATTAATTTATAAATAATTTACAAAAAAGTCTCTTGTCTCTGCGAATGGTTTAAATGATGTAATTAAAGTTATAACTGGAAAGATTGAGGAAATTGAGTTGCCTGAATCCGTTGATGTTATTATTTCTGAGCCTATGGGTTATATGTTGGTAAATGAGAGAATGTTGGAAAGCTATTTATTTGCTAGGAAATTTCTTAAAGAAGGAGGTTTGAATTTATTTTTTTATTCATGTACTAAACTAATTGTTAAAATGATTAATTTTGCAATCTAATTATATAATTGAGAAGGGTGTGTGTGTCTGTTTGTCCTTTTATAGACAAGTTGCTTTTATAGTAAAATGATTGGGGGAGTGAGGAAATGGGGGCTTTTATAGTAAAGCGTTGCCTGTTGAAAAAAGTTGTGAGGGTAAGCAGATAGTATAAAAGCAGGGTATTTTGGTCAGTCCTCAACTGCTACCAAAACATTTTCAACTCTCTGTGCTCTGTTCTACGTTGCTGGAGTCCTGTGTCCTCTGAGTGCTAGGCGTCAACGTTCATTTGTTAAGTGCTAGACGTCAACGTTCGTGTGTCAAGTGCTAGACGTCAACGTTCATTTGAATTGTGCTAGACGTCAACGTTCATATGTCAAGTGCTAGACGTCAACGTTCGTGTGTCAAGTGCTAGACGTCAACGTTCATTTGAATTGTGCTAGACGTCAACGTTCATGTGTCAAGTGCTAGACGTCAACGTTCATTTGAATTGTGCTAGACGTCAACGTTCATATGTCAAGTGCTAGACGTCAACGTTCATGTGTCAAGTTCTAGACGTCAACGTTCATTTGAAGTGTGCTAGACGTCAACGTTCATGTGTCAAGTGCTAGACGTCAACGTTCATTTGAATTGTGCTAGACGTCAACGTTCATATGTCAAGTGCTAGACGTCAACGTTCGTGTGTCAAGTGCTAGACGTCAACGTTCATTTGAATTGTGCTAGACGTCAACGTTCATATGTCAAGTGCTAGACGTCAACGTTCGTGTGTCAAGTGCTAGACGTCAACGTTCATTTGAATTGTGCTAGACGTCAACGTTCATATGTCAAGTGCTAGACGTCAACGTTCGTGTGTCAAGTGCTAGACGTCAACGTTCATATGTCAAGTGCTAGACGTCAACGTTCATGTGTCAAGTTCTAGACGTCAACGTTCATTTGAAGTGTGCTAGACGTCAACGTTCATTTGAAGTGTGCTAGACGTCAACGTTCATGTGTCAAGTTCTAGACGTCAACGTTCATTTGAAGTGTGCTAGACGTCAACGTTCATATGTCAAGTGCTAGACGTCAACGTTCATGTGTCAAAGACGTCAACGTTTATGTGTCAAGTGCTAGACGTCAAATTTCAGGCGAATATTGAAGGGGGAATTGTGAAACAGGCGGAATATTGAAACAGAGGAAATAGTGAAGCAGGCGGAATATTTAAACAGGGAAATAGTGAAGCAGGCAGAATATTTAAACAGGTGGATTGTGAAGCAGGCGGAATATTGAAACAGTGAGAATAGTGAAGCAGGCGGAATATTCAAACAAGGGGGATTGTGAAGCAGGCTGAATATTTAAACAGGGAAATTGTGAAGCATGCGTAATATTAAAACAGGGGGAATGAAGGGGGATTGTCAAGCAGACGGAATATCGAAACAGGAAGGATTGTGAACAAGGTTAATTGAAACAAGGTTAATTGTGAAGCAGGTGGAATTGTGAGGAGAAAAATGGGTAAGCGAGATGGGTCGGCCGAAGGCTTTTGAATCGGATCTTGAGTTGAATAGTTTTGTTATGCTAGCGGAAAGGGAAATTTTGAGGTAGTGATAAGTTGATTTTGAGTTTGTTTTTTGGTTTTGTTTTGTTTTTGCTAGCGGGGTGGGGCGGCCGAAGGCCGACCAACTCCGCTAGTTATAATTCGAATTGGTGTAATAAAAGCATTTGGAGTAATAAAAAGTTATTCCAAATATGCTGAAATACTTGTGTTATATTTTTAATTCAAAATTGTTCAATTTTCATATTTTTAGGGAGAATGTTTCCAACACAAGCAAATCTTCAAATTGCATTATTTAGTGATGAACAAGTTTATTTAGAACAAACAGCTCGTTCCTCTTTTTGGACCCAAGAGTCCTTTCACGGTTATTTTTAGTTAAAATAATATTTCTACTTTTTCATTTAAGGTATAAATTTAAGTTCACTTAAAAGTGCAGCCTTAGAAGAAGTTTTCCGGCAACCAATTGTGGTAAACATTTAAATAAATTTAAAATAAAAGTTTAAAAAAGGATACTTGGCACATTGGGATTTTAATGTCGACATGTATTTCTTGGAATTTTAATTTTGAAAATGATGAGACTAAAGGACTTCAAAGGATTGAAATTCCTTTCGAATTTAATGCTTTAAGAACTGGTTATATACATGGATTGGCTACTTGGTTTGATGTTGGATTTATGGGACAGACGTTTTTTTGATTATTTTTTGAATTATAATTTTAAAATTTTTAAAGAAAAACAGTTTATCTTTCAACAGCTCCAACAGAGCCTTTAACTCATTGGTATCAAGTTAGATTATTAATTAAAAATCCTCTATTTGTTACTATTGGTCAATTGGTTAGTGGGAAGTTGTTAATGTTGGCTAATGACAAGTAAATTTTTACTTTTTTTTAATGTTATTTTTTCCTCTAAAGACAAAGCTATGATTTGGATTTGGAAATTGAAGTAGGAGATAAGCGCCAACAAAACAAACTTGATCTAAAAATGCCTCATTTTCGATATAATGGCCAACCAGTTTCACAACCACCACCCGGAAATTCAACAGAAAATCCTTTAGAGCAATTAAATCAACATTTGGCAATTGCAGTAGCAACAGCACAACAACAACAATTAAATAATAATATTGGGAATAATAATTTAAATTTTTCGCCTGCATATTCTACATGTTTATATACAAATTCTTTGACTAATTCAGGAGGAAAAGGTGAATTACACAATTAGGTATTTATTCTTTTTAAATTATTTTTTTAAAGATTATTCAACAACAACAACTTCTGCAGACATTTTAGTACAAAATGGTACTTTAAATGAATAATTTTGAACAAGAATTTTATTTTTGTGTAATTCTAAAATATAAAAATTGACCAACCCCTAATTTTTTTTTGAAAAGCTAAAATTGTTGCCAAAATGAATATATAATATATGGATTTCTTTTTATATAAAGAAATATATTTCATTAATTATTTATACCTTTAATTTTTTTTTATATTTTATTGCCATTTTATCTTTGTTATTTGTTTGTTTACTTTTTCATATTATAACGATTTCTCATATTTTTTTATTTAAACATTTTTTCTTTTACAATTTTGATTTTTAAAGTCAATTATTGTGAGAGAAAAATTTTATTTTTAATTTCTTATTTAATTGTATGTATTTTGTAAGTAGCTTAGTTTTGTTTAAAATATTGTTTTAATTTTTAAAAATATAATTTAAAATTGTTAATTTGTTTTTATCAATTAATGAATATATCTACTATTTAATATATTTATTTTTAATTAATAATATTTATTTTCGTGCTCAACATGGTTGCAGATTTAAATGATAACCCAGATTCTGACACGTATTTTTTCTATTTTTCTTATGGAAGTAATTTGTTAAAAGAGAGAATTCATGTCGGGGTAAAATACATTATATTTTAAAATATCTTTAAAACCCAAAAAATATTTTTAGGTGCCTGGAGCCGATTTTATTTCAGTTGGAGTATTGAACAACTTCGATCTGTTCTTTTTTGACGATTCTAAACGATGGAAGGGAGCACTCGCTTCAATTGAGCCAAAAGATGGAAGTCGAGTTTTTGGATGTATCTGGCGCGTGCCTTATTCTCTTTTGAATGCTTTAGACAGGTTAAAATTTGGAAAAAAATAAATTGTCAAATTTTCAAAATTCAGGCAAGAGATTGGATATCACCGTTTAGAAAGTAAAAATAATAGAAAAATTGAAAGTTTTTTTAAATATTTCAGTTCATGTTTTATCGCACTCCTCCTTGGATCGGGGCTTCAATTGCCTCACATATCAATATTCAAACACCAATAAAGTTTTGGCTGCGCCTTCACCTCATTACAAAGAAGTAATTGTTGCTGGGGCTGTTGAGCACGAATTGCCTACCGAATATGTTGAAAGACTGCGTGCGATTCCAACAAATGGATTTAATGGGACTGTCGACCTTGACTTGAAGGCAATAAAACATTTGAATGGAAATGAGAAAAATTAAAAACCCAAATTTTAATTGTATACGTCGCAACAGGCTTCCAACACCAAATCAATTTTAACTACACTTTTAATTAGGTAGATGACCATAATAAGTTGTTTAATGTGATTATTAAATATTTAATTTATTTAAATATACATATCAAAAATAAACACTCAATGAGCGAAAATTAGATAAATTATTATTGGCACTTTTTATTTAAATAATTTATGTCCTAATATCTTATATATTCTTGTGATCCAGGAAATCACAGATGGGGCCGCTCCTTATTAGCACTCAATTCTTTCTGGATCATTTTCCCAAGTTCTTCGTTCACTAAATTTTTTAAAGAATATTTACTTAAATATTCAATTAATTACCTTTACTAAATTCCTGAATTACACGCTCCTGGGTTTTAAGCGACGTCTGACCCAACGAAGCGGCAATATTACGTGTCAAGCGTTTACGATGTTCCTCATCCAAAACCTTTATTTGAATAATTTAGAGAAAATAATTTCGCATTTTTACCTTTTCCCAAAAAGAAGCAGGCTGGTCATAATTAGAATCATCCTTTGTATTATAACGATTTACTTCTCCCGTCGTCGACCAAATACTTTCCTGTGCAGTTGCTAATTCGGTCGGTCCATTGAATGAGGTTGGGTGATATACAGGTGCCCCATCTGCGAAAAGGAAAATGGATATTCGTAGATTTAGTGATAGAAATACTTCGGTTCTCATCAGAGCAATGCCATCCGTCGATTTGAGTATTTCGAACACGCGTTCTGAACGGGCAATTAATAGGTAGTTTCATAAAATTTGGTCCGAGACGGTGAAATTGAGTATCCGGATAGGAGAAGAGACGACCTTTAAATTCAGTTCCACGAAAATTTTTAATTTCAAAGGGAACCTTGAAGCATTTTGTCTGGGGAAAACTCAATTCCAGGCACAATGCGTGAAGGTGCAAAGGCCGCCTGTTCTACTTCAGCAAAATAATTCTTCGGATTTCTAAAAATTTTATAGTATTTAAATAATTAATGAGTTAGGACCGGTTAAGCACAATACGACCAACAGGAATAAGAGGAAATTCTTTATGGGGCCAAATTTTTGTCAAATCAAAAGGATTCCATTTAAAATTTTCAGCCTCGTCAAATGTCATTATTTGAACAAAGAAATCCCATTGAGGAAATTGTCCGTTTTCAATGCTATTGTAGAGATCACGCAATCCATAATCCTAAAAAATTATCAATCATAAATAACTTTTGTTTTAACATTAAAAAAACTCACAGGATCCTCAGAAGCCAATTGTTGAGCCTTCTCGACCGAAAGATTTTTAATACCTTGAGAAGTCTATAAAAAATCAAAAGAAAATATTTTTTAATAGATATTGAAACCTTTGCATGAAATTTACAATAAACAGCTTTCCCTTCCTTGTTAACCAATTTAAAAGTGTGCGAACCATAACCTGTAAAAAAATTTCTTTTTATAAATTTAGTTGAAATATTTTTAACTTAATCATGATATAAAAATTAAAAACCATTCATATGTCGAAACCCATCAGGAATACCTCGATCAGAAAAGAGAAACATAACTTGATGAAGAGATTCAGGACGAAGTGACCAAAAGTCCCATACCTAAAAAATAATTTTTTTATATTTATTCGAGTAAACTACACGACTAATTACCATTTCAGGATCCTTCAAGTGAGTAACAGGATTCCTTTTTTGTGTATGAATAAAATTTGGAAAGAGGAACGGATCACGGATGAAGAATATCTTTAAAAAAACTTTTAATTATTCAATTATAATTTAAAATACCGGAGTATTATTTCCAACCAAATCCCAATTCCCTTCTTCAGTGTAAAATTTAATTGCAAATCCTCTCGGATCTCGAACAGTGTCAGCACTTCCCCTTTCCCCGCCTTAATATAATTTTATATTTAGAGATATTAATAATAAAATAATTACCGACGCTTGAGAATCTGATAAAAAGAGGTGTTCGCTTTCCAATTTGATTAAAAATAGCGGCCTTACAATATTTACTAATATCATTAGTTGTTTCAAAATATCCATGAGCACCCGCCCCCTTTGCATGAACCACTCGTTCGGGAATACGTTCCCGATCAAAATGAGCCTAAAATAAATTCAAAATATTTTTTTTGTAATTAAAAACCATTTCATCCATATAAACAACATCCTGCATTAATAATGGGCCTCTCTGTCCAACAGTCAAAACAGCATTTTTGTTGAATATCGGAGCACCATTAGACATGGTGAGAATATTGTTTTCATCCTTCACTTGTTTGCTGTAGTCAACAAGTTGACTTGAAGCACGATCCGTTAAAGACATAATAATACGTTAACTAAATATTTAAACAAAATCTAAAAAAAGTATTTGTAAAAACTGAAAATTATTATTAATAGTTTAGATTGGACCCGTTACTGATAAAAAAAGCTTTAAAAATGATTTCATTGATAAGCAATTATAAAAAATATTTACATTTCGCCGTCTTGACTTTTTAAAATTTTATACATTATGTAATAAATCTAGCTCAAATATAGCAGAATCCCAAAAGATTTTAACGGCAAGAAAAGAATGCGCCTAGGTGGCTCACAATCAGCTTGTCTTGTGCTTTTTTCTTTTATTTTAACACGTGAAATTCAGATTTTCAGGAAAATTTCTGTTTAATTTCTACTATGTATCATTATCAATACCGAATTATTGTTGTTGGGGATTCTACAGTTGGAAAAAGTTCTCTTCTTCGTTACTTCACAGAAGGAAAAAATGCCGAAAGTAATGAACCAACCGTAGGAGTAGATTTCAACTTCCGTTTGGTAGAAATCAAACCAAATTATCGAATAAAGCTTCAACTATGGTAAATTAATTCCTTAAAAATTTAATTAATTTAACTACTTTAAGGGATACTGCTGGGCAGGAGAAATTTCGATCCATTACAAGGTAGGTATTTATAAAAAATTTCTTTTCTTATCAATTTCCTCATAGATCGTATTACCGAAATACTGTGGGGATTATCATCGTTTATGACATCACAAAGCGTCACACATTTGACAGTTTACCCGATTGGATTGCTGAAGCAGAAGCGCATTTAGGAGGCCCAGATCCTTCAAAAACTGTCTTTTTACTCGTTGGACACAAGGCTGATTTAGAAGAACAAAGGGAAGTTCTTTTTGAGGAAGGTGAATATTTTGCTAAACATAAGGGAATGAAGTTCATTGAGACATCTGCAATCACTGGCGCTAATGTGAATGTAAGTTATTGTATTTTTAGTTATTCTCATTCTTAATTATAAGGATGCATTTGCACTTATTGCACGGGAAATAAATACTCGATTTGAGACAGGGGCAATTCGTATAATTGAAGGTTGGGATGGAATTAAGTGTGGGTTAATGCGAAGTCAATCGTTCACACTCTCTGACATACAAGAAGAGCCAAATTCTCAATGTGCTTGTTAAAAAGTAATTTACAAAAATAATTAAACGGTTCGTAAAATTCAAGTCAAATCTCTTCAAGATAATTATTCAATTAAATTTAGTCTACCCTTTTTTATTATCTATAGAGGTTTTTATTTGGATTTAAAAATTAAAAATATTTTTGATTTGTAACGAGTAACAATAAAAACCTCTATCGTCGCCTCAAGCCTTTTAATCCTCTCACTTTACCGCTGCCTTTAATTTATGATGGAATTTTTTAATTTAAAAATTAAAAAGGATTTTAAAAGCAGCTTGTCTTTAAAGTTCCATCACCTTAAAAAAGTCGCATTTTTATATTGGCTCGAATCAACTCCAATTTTAATATTTTAAAAGAGAATTTATCTAGAATTGATTCGAGCCTTAATATTTAATATTCCCCTCACGACATATTCCAGCCACATTTTTTCTTAAAATCCATCCACAAATTTTTTGGTAAAATAATTAGCAGAATGTAAATATATGTTTTAATATAAATAAATTTAACCATATTGTTTTAAATTTTTTGATAAATTCAAAAACAAATGTTTTTACTCCAAAAATATTTGTGGTTATTTTTATTGCTTAAAATATAAATAATTTCTTTAAAATATTTTTTAATTAAAATATATATTAAAATCACATTTTTCTTTCTTTAATTAGAGAGCATATTACTTACATCCCAAATCATTATAACTCGGTCAAATCCAGCGGAGACTAATTTCTTTTGTTGCTCATCTAATGTCATTTGAGCAATTCCTTGGCGCAAATCATTTGTCACGGCCAACGGTGTTAAGCTTTAAAAAATTTTTTTAAATGTTTAAAGAAACCCTAAAAATTACTCAAATTGATCGGGATAACTCTGCATTTTTCCATTACAAGTTTTGCATATTCTTGCAGGTTTTTCAAATCCCATAGCAGGAAATATAGTTGTATTGTTACAACAATCTAGTAAATATAGATGTTTAATTTATTTTTGAGAAAAAAAAGAATACTTGAACAAACAGATTGCCCACAAGTTCTACAATGATGTCGACGTACTCCTACTATCTTAATTATAAAAATGTTTTTTAAAAAAATAATTTAGTATATTTAAATACCTTTCTGTCCCACATGACTTTTAAATTCCAGAAGAAGGGAGAGTCACAAATCTCACAATGGTCAGTATCTCGCCATGCGGGTGCCATAATACGTTTTGCTCGCATATCCCAGCAGATTAGACGGCCACTTTCATCAGCAGAAAATAGACGGCGAGATTTAGTTCCTAGCGCTAGAGAAGTCAACTTTGTATTGTGGCCACTTAAAAATTTTCAAAAATTATTCAAAATTTTTAACAAACTCTTCAAACCTTAATTCATAACAATTTCCACGTTTACCACCAATATCCCAAACAATTACAAGTGAGTCAGCACTAGCAGAATAAAGTAACTGATTGATCGAGTCCCTCAAATTTATATTTTTAAATTAAAAAGCAATGACTTTTAAGGGGACAAACATTACTTTTTTAATTATACACAAAAATAACTTGTATCGATTTAAAAATTAAATTTTAACCCTAAAACCAATTTTTATTTTGTTGATATAAAAATTAACAACTATTCAAATATTTAAATTTAAAAAAATTATATACCAAGCCAATGCAGTAATTGCACCTTTAAAAGTCAAAAATAATTTCAAAAATAAAAGAAAATTAATTTAACCTGTATGTGCACTTAATTTGCTAATTAATTGTGCTATTGGACTTCCTTCACTTAAACGCAAAATATAAACATTACTAGAATAATCGCCAACAAAGACAAAAGAAGAATCCTCATCAAATTCCATGGTAGTACATGGAGATTGAGCACAATAGCTACCTTTTAAAATAAATGAATGAATAATAAGAGGTTTAAGTGTAAGTATTATATTATATTTTTAAATTCAGGAATAATTTAAAAATGTTTGAATGTTTTTTTCACATGTACTTGGAAAACTACATATTCTTATAAAATCATAAAATAATTAAGATTAAATACTAAACCAATTTTATTTGTAGAAGTAGTTGAATGCCAAACAACAGTCTTATCTCTGGAACAACTTACAATGAAGGCAAGTTTATTGGAAAGAGCAATTCCCGTCACTGAGCTTGTATGTGAAGGCCAAACACGTTTAAATGAAATACTTAAAATTTATAAAAAAATAATTTAATTGAAAAAAAACCTGTTAAAATCATTTTCAACAGAATATTCATGTACAAGTCCATTAACCAATCCAACAAAAATACTAAAAATTTAAAAATAAAAAAAATTCAAATAAAATTTCAAACAGATTTTTTGCTTCAACGAAATATAATTTTGTAGGAATGTGTGGAAGGTCCTGAATAATTGATGGCCAATATTGCCCAGAATCACGTTTAAGCAAAACTCGAAGTGTACGGTCCTCATTTGTTGTCAAAATAGCATCATCCTTTGTACATAAATTAATTCCAGTTATCCGGCCTCCAAGTTGGCCTTCAACTTTTTGTAATAATTCTTTTAAAAAAATAAATCTTTTAATATATTATACAAAAAAATACCTAATCTTGCATTTTCTCCAAGACTGCTTGTTGTAACAGAAGGATGTTGATTTATTACCGCTGCCATTTTTGAAAAATTTTCTTATTAAAAAATAAAATAATAATCTGACAATAAAATATATTAGTAAATTAACCAACAAATAAAAAATTTTTTGTTAAAATTCTTGGTCACTATTTCAACAGGGACACTGTTGTGGTGTCAACACTATTGTATTTCTATTGTGTGATAAACACATTATTGTATTGCTTATTTATTGTTGTGCAAGACACAATAGACACACCCAAAACACAGAAACGTCGTTCCTCTGTTTGCGCCGTTTTGGCCTGCGACGTTTCTGTCGCGACTTTTTGGCACGCGCCGTTTTGGGCTGTACCCATTTCAACAAAAAAATAATTTGGCATAATATTTTAGCGCGTCTTTAATGATTAAATTTTTAAATTAATTAATTAGACAAAGCTAATTAAATTTAAAAATAATTTAAATTAAATTGTTAATTTTACAGAAATAATAAATGGATCTACCAGATAATATTAAAGAAGATAACTGTACTAGCAATGATTATGATATGTTAAATAATTCAACAAATTGTAATGAATCTGTGGAATTTAGAGTAAATAAATATTTTAATAATTAAAAATGCTTCTTTTTAGGGAGATATGGATGCCTCTTTTAATTCTGATAATTTTTCAATTTCGTTTCAAGAGATTTCAATGGTATTGCGTGCTAGGCCGGACATTAATGTTTTTTATAGAACACCTTGTTCTGGCTCTAATCGATTTACAAGGCGTAGTTCTTCTGTCAGAATGGCTGTTGGTTTGGAATTTTTAATTTAATTTTTATTTTTAAAAAATTTTATTTAAAGATTATTTTAGCAAATTGCCTGACTTTTTGCTTTTACAAATTTTTAAACATTTAAATAAACATGATTTGGTTAGAATTATGAGAACATGTCGAGTTTTTAGTCAATTGGGGTAAATTTAAAAAAATTTTTTTTATTTTTTAAAATTTTTTTCAGTAAAAATCCTCATTTTTGGAAATTTATGAATTTAAGTAAAAGGCTAATTGATGAATTATCTTTACATTCTTTACTTGATCGAAAAATGGAAATTTTACGTTTAACAGAGGCTGAGGTTTTTTTTAAATAATTTTTTAAATTAATTTTTCTTTTAAAGTTGACAGAATCTCCACAATTTATTTCTTCCTACGAAATTAACATTCAAAATATTGAATTAACAAAACTTACACATTTGGATCTTAGCCATGCAACTTATGAAAATTCTGAAATTTTACTACGAATTTTTGAACGTTGTCGGAATTTAGAAGCTTTGAGTTTGGAAAGTTGTCATATTTTGAATGATGCTATTTGTAATGAAATTGGGAAAAATTTGGATCTTCGATTTTTGGATTTGGTTTATGTTAATGGTTTAAGTGAAAATGGAATTTACAATATTTTATCAAATTGTAGAAGGTTTCTTTTAATTTAAATTAATTTTTTTAAATTTTGTTTTTTAGTTTAGAAGAAGTTAATTTTGGTTGGGCAAATGTCGGAAATGGAGCAATAACAACAATTTGTAAATTGGCATCTCCTTCAATGATTAGACTTAATTTATCTGGTTTTAGGTCGAATGAAGAATTAAATGATGGAAGTAAAGCTTTTTTTAATAATTTCAATGTTTTTTGTGTAAAAAAGGGACAGAAAATCCAAAAATTAATCGGGAAACTTTTCTTTTAAAAGCTGTTTCTTTATACGGAAAAATAAGAAGTTTTGGAAAATAAACATTTTAAAATAATTTTGCAGATGTTAAACTTCTCTGTTTATCTTGTCCACGTTTGGAAGAATTGGATTTAAGCGATAATGAATTAATAACTGAACGGGCATTAGAAGCTATTTCTTCTGGACTTCGAAATTTGAAACGATTAACTTTATCTCGTTGTTACGCAATTGAACCAATGGCTTTTGTGTCATTACAAAATTTGGAGGTTTTTTTTATTTTAATTTTTTTAAATTTATTTATCAAAAAAAAGATATTAAATATATTTGGATGTATAACAAATGAAGGAGTTGAACTTTTGAGAGAACGCTTACATCCAACATTAATTGATCATTCTCCAATTTGTACAATAGCTAAACCAACTGTCGGGCTTTCTGTTGCAAGTATTTGGGGAAAACGAACACGTGACCGTTATTAAATTAAAATTAAAAAGAAAATTTTGTGGCCTTAAAAATTTTTGTTGAATATTTAAAACAATATTTAAGAATTTTTTGGTTATCTCTAATAATTTTAATTTTTAACAAAAAAAAGATTGAGGCAATTTTAATATCTCTAAATTTTGCATTTTCTGTTGTGTTTTTTCAATTTTATTCCATCCATATTTTTAAATTTATTTTAGCTTTATTCATGGTAAAATCAATCACTTTCTCTCTAAAAATCTTTCAAAAAAACATTTAATTTTAACTTTTTTTTTGTTATTTAAAATTTGATAAACAAAAATAAAATGCATTTAACTTAAAAAAACAATTTTTTATTATCAAACAAAAAATGATAAATGAATTTTTAAATAAAATAAAGTCAATCCAACAAAAAGTCCTCCCTCTCTTTTTGCTGTTTTTTATTTATTAATTTTGTCTTTCTTTCTCTAATAGGTAGAAGGGGGGAAGTGCCAGATGGGAATACCAGACAGATGAATCAATTTAGACCCAAAATAAATAAAAAGAAATAAAAAAAAGAAAATAGTTTAGAGAAATGTGAAAAGAAAGAAAAATAAAAATAATTTTTTAACATTTTTGTGAAGAAAAAATTGGTAAAGTTAGGAATATCAAGTTGTTCTTATGTAAATACTCCTTTTTTAATTGAGAAAAAAATTAAATTAATTTTCTTTTATTTAATTTTAAAATTTTAGTTATTAAATTTAATAATAATTAATTGATTTAAGTAATTCTTTTTGTACATAAATCATTAAAATGAACTTTGGATATTTAAACAAACAGAAATAAAACAAGCACGCGGTTGGACTCTTTTAATTTTATCTTTTTCATTTACCTAATTACATATTTCTAAATATTCCCAAAATAAACTCGTTTATAGAGATGACGATTTTATGTACATTTTTTATGAAAATATTTTTACAAACTAAAATATTTAAAAACTATGTATAAATATATTCCAAAAAAATATAGTTTTTGGAATATTTTTAGATATTTTATAATAAATATTTTCAAAAAAATATTGTTTTTCTAACCCTAAAATAATGGATATACATAATTTATAATTTGTAACTATGAGAATCATAGGAATAAATGTTGAAAAAAGTAAAAAAAGGAGGAAACTCCTCAAAATATACAAATTTTGGAATACCTTTGAATAAATATATTTTTGTATCAATAATGTATGTATTTAAAAATATTTTTTAGTTAAATTATGTAATTTAAATTAATTAATATATTTATTTTACAACAAAATGACATTAATAAATGAAGAAAATAATTACAATGAAAATATTCAAAAAAATAAAATTATGGGAAGCCGAAAGGATGGACTTTCGTGAGTTTTAAAAAAATAAAATTTGTTTAAAAAATTTATTTTTTTTTTCAAGTTCTCATTTAACTTTAATTAATTTTATGAAAGGAATGATTGGTTCTGGTATTTTAACTTTGCCTATAGTTTTTAAACAGGCAGGGCTTTGGACTGGATTTTTTTTAGTTTTTATTTTTGGATTTTTAAATACATTAACGATGACATTATTAGTTAAAAGTGCACATTATTTGTCAAAAAGAAAAAATGAAAAACAAAAAGAAGAAAATTTAAATGTTGAAATTGAAAATGGGGAAAAAATTTTAAAAAATAAAAGGGAAAAATATTTAAATGAAAATAATGAACCAATGAATTATGGAGAAGTAATGGAAGCAGCTTTAATGGAAAGTGGATTTGAATGGAGTAAAAAATGGGCAAAACCGGCAAAGTTTGAAAGAAAAAATTTAAAAATTTCTAAAAATTATTTTTAAAGATTTTTTGTTAATGGGACAATAATTCTTTTATTAATGGGTATTGGGTGTATTAAATATGATTTTATTGTTGTACATTTACGTGAGGTTTTGGAAAGAATGTTTTTGTTTTTAAATTATTTTATTTAGTTATTCGGGCAATTTACAAATTTTCATGCATCTGCACTTGCTTGGGCTTTGATAATATTTCCTCCAATGGTTTTAGTTAATTTTACTCGAACATTACAAAGAATTGCTATTTTAAATACAGTTGGGAATGTTTTTATGTTTGGAGCTTATGGAATTATATTTTATGTATGTATGTTTTTGAGGGGTTTGGAAATTCTCTGAGGAAGTATGGTTTGATGGAGCGATAAGTTTTGAGGGGAGGGAAAGTGAAATTTTTCGTCGACTACGGGTTTGATGTAGATATTATGACAAATTTTTCTCCACTATAGTCCCGTCATTCTAACATTTCTTTAGCCAAAACCATTTTCTTTTTTCAGCATTTACTTCAATCTCCACACAAAACATCTCAACTTCCTTGGATTGGTTCTCCATCAGGTGTATTCACAGCTTGTGGTTCTATTCTTTACTGTTTTGAAGGACAAGCATTAGTATTACCTATGGAAAATAAAATGAAACATCCTTCAGAAATGTTGGGTCCTTTTGGTGTTTTGTCTACAGGAATGGCTTTAACAGAAATTTTTGATTCGGCTGTTGGATTTCTTGGTTATTCTAAATTTGGTGATGAAATTCAAGGATCTGTAACGTTAAATCTTCCTCCAACATCTTTACTTACTTTTGTAAAAATTGTTTTTACAATAATTTCTTTTCTCGATTTTTTACTTCAACAATATGTTACAATCCAAATGTTATGGCCCCCATTAAATAAATATTTATCTAATTTATTTCCTTCCTCAAAAATATTGACAGTTGGAGAATATACATTCCGTGCAAGTCTTGTAGCTTTAACTAGTAATTATTAAATTAATTTTTTTGTATTATTTTTAATTAATTTTAGTGTTAATTTCAATTTTTATACCTCATCTTGAGCATATCATGGTAAGGAATAAAATTAAAATTTTGAGTAATTTTAAAGTTTTCTCTAAATTTCAGCCGCTTGTTGGTTTTAGTGGAGGTGTTTTCCTTGCTTTTATTTTTCCTCCCATTATCGACACATTTACTTTTCTTTCAATTGGATTAACTGAATATTATGAAGAAAATAATAAAAAGAATTTAATTAGCATCTTCAAACGATTTGCTTTAAATTTTTTATTTGTCTCGATTGGCTTGTTTGGAAGTATTGTTGGATTAAAATCTTCATTAGAAGCAATTTTTGAATTAAATGGGAATTAAATTTTGTTTCTTATTTATGGCATAATATTAGAATTAGAGACCGAACTGGGAGTGTCATACAAGAATCGAGATTTATTTAGAAAAAAATTTTGTTTAAGATCCTCGTTTCGGGCTCTAAATTAGAATTAATTCATTTATTTTTTATTTCATTTCTTCAAGGCCTATCAAACATAAAATTTTACTTTTTATATAAAAATAATCTTGTTGTCCTATTCATGTTTTTTTCGATATTTTCACTTAATTTCTAATTAATTTTAATTATTTTTTGTCCATTCTTTCTTTAAATGTAGCGTTTTACCTGCCTCGTTTTTTTTTCACTTTTATTTTTTAAATTTATTTAAATGTACATATTTACAAATAAATTTTGAGCAATTTTGTTATAATTAAAATTTTATTCATTTGAAATCAATCTTTCTCCTTCCCCATCAAGTAGGCGAGTGCACAATTCAGAAAAGTCTTCCGGAAAACGATAGTGCTAAAAATAAAAATTTTTTAGTCGACAAAAAATGTAAAAAAAATTTTACCAAAGTATTACTTGGCCATCCACGTGGAATATGTTCTGGGCCTGTTCCACGCATCAAAAGTACTCGAAAACGTTTATTCTCCCCTCTATTATAAAGAACCTAAAAATTAAAAAAAATAATTTTTTAATTAAAAAAACTTCTTGAAAAGTCATTTGATGCAAAGAACGTTTTAATTGGATTTTTTGATCCAATTCTTGTATTTGTTCATTATCTGTACAAATTATTTCTGAATAATCGCTTGATAATGCCAAAAGAATTTGTGAAGCATTTTCAAAATACTTTTGAATTGAACCAAATAAATCTTCCCCAGAAAAGCAATTATCAACATCCAAAACCTTTAAACTTATAATTAATTTAAAAAATACTATATTTATCCTTTATATTAAACCCTCGACTATAATAAAATATGAGTTAAAATATACACAACTCGATGTGCCGAATTGGGGAAAGATAAAAATAATAGGGGGAGGAAGGGTAAAGGATAAAAAAAAAGAAAGTCTTATAAAAAGTCTTCCAGATTTTTGGAATCTCCAAATTTTAATATTTAAAATTTAAACAAAAAACCTTTTTTCCTCGTTCTGTTGCACATCTTTCCAAATTTTTAATAAACATTTTATGTAAACGTCTCAAATCTTTATTATTTTTATTTTCGTGATGCAAAATAAAAATAAATGGGCCTTGTAAAATTGATGAGGAATTATGCCCTTGAATATCTGATGAAAAAGTTAAAAGAGAAGAATCCCTCAAATTGATAGGGGGATTTATTTGTTGTTGTTTTTGGGTAATATTTTTATTTAATTTTCTAAAAGAAATTAAAAGGAAAAGAAAATATTAAAAGAAAAACCTTTCGTTTGAAATTTTTCCAATAAATGGTTCTAAAGCAAGTAAAACATCAACACGGCCAGATTGCCCAATAAGCTCTAATAATTTAAGAAAGTACTCATCAGAAAATTTTTGAAGTAAAATATTTATTGGATCTGAAAAATAAAAGGAATTTAGAAAAAAATAATGAACATTTTATTCTTCGAATTTAATATATTTAAAAATTAAATTAAAAAATATATGTATATATTTTAAAAAAAAATTAAAAAAAATTTTTTTTACTTTCATTTTTTCTCATCCCAACAATTTCATCAATACTTAACCCCATACAAGCAGCTAAAAATTCCCAATTTCGCATAGAACCACATGAAGAAGTACTTAACCGAATTTCCAAAATATTTTTTAATTCAAAAGAAATATCTTTAATTAAAATAGAAGAAAATAAAGAATTTTTTTGTTTAAAATTCGAAAGTAATTCTGAAGGAGAAATTGGTAAAGGGATTGAAAGAAAATTCAAAAATTCATCATCAACCTTAAATTTTAATTTTAAAAATTATATTTAAATTAAAAAGAAAACCTCAATATTATCAACAAAAGTTTCATTCCGTGTATTTTTTATATTTGAAGATTCTGGCAAATCTAAAGCAATTGTGACAGTTACACTTTCCCCTCCTCCTTCCTCAAAATTTTCTTCAACATTTGCCATCAAGAGATCATTTCCTTGAAAAATTTTTTGACAAAATTGATTGCAAAAAAATTGGAAATTATAAAAAATAAAAAAAAAATATCACATAAAATTGATATAGCGACAGAGAAAAAAAGAAAAATAAATGACAATTTATTTTTTATTTTAACATTTAGCCAATTTTAGCTTAATTTCAAAAAGTATTACAGTAATCAAATTTTAGCTCAAAGAATTTTTTTAATTTTGGATCTAAAAGAGGGAATTTAATTAACCTCGATATCAATTTATTTTTGAATTATAATTTGGGCAAACAAAAGATTAAACTTTAACTTTTATTTTATTTTTTTTCAATGTTAGATGATTTTTAAAAAATTGGTCTTTTGCATAAAAATTAATAAAAAATCAGACAGATTAAAATAAAAAAATGAAAGCAATTCAGACAAAAATCAGAAATGAAGCTATTCAGAAATAATTATTTGTTTTGTCCTCGAAATAAAAATAAATTACTAATATATTAAATTGTTCAAACTTTTCAAATCCTCGGGCCACGTTCCGGGGTTTTGTAACCTAACCAGGATCGGGCTTTGAGGGCTAAAATTCTGAAAACCACGAAAAATATGGTATTGTCAAAAATAGTAGGTACTTGGCCTTAAAATAACCTAATTAAGGCTCTGTTATTTGCTTTTGCCCGGTTATTTATTTTTGTTTTATTTTTTTTCTGACAAATTATTTTCCATTATTTATAATTAATTAATTTAATTAATTTTCTGCTTTGTTAACAACAAAATTTAAAGTTAAGTAAAACTTACAAAAATAATAATAGAAAAAAACAAAAGCAACAACAAATAAACAATAAAAATTGTTTAAATAAATTATATTTATTTTTTTTTGGAAAAGTGGAACAATTATTATATAAATAAATGAGAGAGAGTTTATAATATATTTAATTATTTTTTAAAAATGTATTTAATATTTTCAATTTTTTATTTAATTATTTTATTTAATAATAATTTATTATTTGCAAAAGAAGAGGAAGAAGATTTATTTAAAGAAGAATTATTAGAGGAAAAAATAGATGAAGAAAAATCAGTTTTTATTTCTTCTCGTTGTTGGAGTAATTCTAATGGGCAAAATGAACGTTGGATAAATGAAGGGGAAATTGTGGATAGAGGTACTTTTGGATAAAGGACATGGGGGAAACCTCGATAATCGAGTATTTTTTTAAAAAGAAATTTTGTTTCCTTTCCTATCTTTAATTTATCTAAATTTAAAATAAAAAATTTAATTTTTTAAATATTTTTTGAGGGAAATATTGGTATTTATGTTCTGGTGGAAAACTTGTCCCAGCTGGATGTATTGATGAAAAAGAGTTTTTTTAATTTAAAATTAACATTTTTAAATTTAAATAATTTTTTAAGAAAAAGAATTCCTTTAAACAAAACATTTATTAACGGCAATTTTCTTGTTGAATGTATTTTGTGGGCTAATTTAATTAAAATAAAAACTGTTGGATGTTTAGATAATGAAAATAATAAAACTTTTTTTGTTGGAGAAAATTGGATAAATGGGGAGGTAAATAAAGGAAAGGAATTTAATTTTTTAAATTTTTTAAAAAGTTTTTGTGGGAATGTGCTTGGGAAGGTATTTATTTAAAGAAAAGACAAAAAAGTTGTGTTTTTAATGAAACAAAAATATTAAATGTTGGAGAACAAAAAATTGAAGGAAAAACTGTTTATGAATGTCAACAAAATGAATATGGATTATTAAATTTAGTAGCTATTGAATGTATTTCTGATGATGGAAAAAGATATAAAATTGGAAAACAATGGACGGTTAGTTGAAAAAAAAATTTTTTTTTTAATTAAAAGTGTCCAAAATTATTTTATTTAATTTTATTATTGTGAGGATAATCCACCTAAAATTTAAAATGCTTAGGCGGGGGTTAAATGATCTAAAAGGATAAGAGAAAATTAGTCGAAGTCCCGGTAGCTCAGTAGTAGAGCATCTGCATTTGTGTGATTATTAAATTTAATAGATCACTAGATCACCGAGCGATCACTGTCAGCGTTGTCGCAGGTTCGAATCTTGCCCGATGTCTAAACTTTTGCTTAACTCTTTCTTTATTTTTGAAAAAAAATTATCCAAAATATTTTATTTTTAAGGAAGGCGATTTTATTTTTTATTGTAAAAAAAGACTTGATTCTTCAAATTGTGAAAAAACATGTATTGGGTAATTTAAATTAATTAAATTAATTTAAATAAAAATAGTTGTTTTCATAAAAATCAAAATTTATTTGATGGAGATCGTTTTCAATTAAATGAAACTGTTTTTCAATGTGAAATACGTTCAAAAAGGCATTTATTAAAGCCTGTTGGTTGTGTTTCTGAAGGGAGAATAGAAAGGGTTGTTAATTGTAAATGGTAGGGTGTTTGTTTGGATTTGTTTAGTGTATATTTAAAATTAAAAGGGAAGATAATCAACAACAACACCCCCAACAATCAACAGAATTAACACCAACAAATTATAGAGTACAACGTCAATGTATTATTAGAAAAGGTCGGGCTATTATAGAAAGTCTTGGATGTGTTTATGTTAAAGATGGAATTAAACGGTGTTATTTAATAGAGGGAAATTTAAAAAAAAAGTTTTTTAATTTAAAGTTTATTTCTTCGTCCAGAAACCTATACAATTTGGATAGAAGAAGAAAAAGAAAAACAAAAAAATAAAAATAAAATAGCAATTGCTTGTATTACAGAAAATAATCAACAAATTTTATATAAATTTAATTTGGAAGAAATTGAAAAGAAAATTAAATTATTTAAATTAAAATTTGATGAAAGAACCTGGTAAAATGTAAAAATAAAAAAAAATATTTTTTTAATTAGCTAAATATTTTGTAATTAATTGTTTTCTCTAAATATTTATTTTTTAAAAATTATTTCCAATAAAATTTTTTTGTAAAAAAATTATTTTTACGTTTGACCTTGTTTTTTTTCTTTATTTTTTCCGAATCTTTTATTATTTCAATATTCTTTTATATTTTGTTTATTGTATATAAATATTTCTTTTAAAATCCAATAAAAATTATTAAAAGTATTTTCAAATACTTGCAGACTACAAAAATAGAAAATCCCGAGAAGTGAGTAAAATTAACCGAGTAAATACTGTATTTATTTTTTAAAAATAATTTTTAATAATTTTTACACATTTCTCTTTTTTATTTTTCTTATTAAAAATCAAGTTTTTAATAAATAAATAAATAAATTTATTTATTTATTTAATTATTAACAACAACGGAGCACGTCATTCCTGTTTTTAATTTCCTCCTAAACAAATCAAAACATTTTTTCCCTTTTTTATAATTAAAAAAGTAGTCTCATTTAAGCAAACAAAACAAATAAATAAAGTTTTTGTTGACCATTTAAATATTAGTAAATAAATATTTATTTTTGTTAAAATTCAAATTCAAAATTTGTTAAAAGTTTTTTTAAATTTATTTCACTTATAATTTTTAAATGTATCTGTCTTCCTCTTCTCCCATCATTTATGAGTTATAAAAAAGTGAGGGAATTTATGTGTAAATTAGAAGAATTGAAACAATGAAAGATTTAAGGGAAAATAATTTTTGGTAATTTTTTTGATTTTCGGTAAAATTTAAAGTATCTAAAAATTTTTAATACTTCAATTAATTGAAGTATTTAATTTAAATTTAAATATAATTAATTTTTTTAAAATCTTCCTTTTAATGAAAAAAGTATTTACATAAATAAATATTTATTTATTTATTTATTTATTTATTTATTTAAAAATACAAATTAAAAATAGTAGACATAAATAACTGACCTAAATCCACTTGAAATTCGCGAAAACACGCGCAAATATAATCGATTTAGATATTCTCTACTACAAAATTAGCTAAGAAAGTAAAAATCCAATAAAAACTTTTAAAAGATTTTGTTTATTCCTTCAAATATTTTTAATTTTGCATGCAAAATAATTTAGGTAAACTTAGTGTTCTCCTTTTTTCTCCCCCAAGTTACATATTCTCAGCTTTTCTCGATTTCCCTTATTAATATTCAATTACATTAATAAAAGATTTATTTTAGGAAGGAAGAAAGTTTGTCCAGCCGGAGCAAAATAAGGATTGGAAAGAAAAAAGGGTAATCCTAAACTTTGGTTTACCCAAAAAATCCTTAGTTTACCACAAATATTTAAATAATTCAAAATGCAACAATATAGACAATTTATCCACTTTCCTTTAATTAAATATTTACTGTATTTTTTAAATTTAATAATTTTTTAAACAATTTTATTTTTGATTAAACAAAAATGATTGAATCACACTCTTTTGTTTACTAAAAAACTTTTTTTAATTTCTTATTTTAAAATTAGTTTTTAAATATTTCTTCTTTTTCGTTTATAACACTTTTTTTTATTTTATAAAATTTTATTTTAAGCAACAAAAAGATTAAATTATTTCGAGATTTTTTTGTTTTTAATTCATTATATATATTGGGGATTGTTTATAAAATATTTTTGGGAATAAAACGGGAAAATTATAATAATTACTCTTTAAAAAAACTTGTTTATATATAAAGTAAGTACATTTTTAAATATAAAATGACTAAACATACACGAATATTTATTAACATTTTTTTACTTTTATTAAATTAAATTTAAAAAATTATTTTTTAAATTTTAAGTAAAATTAAAAATAAAATTACTAAATTATTAAATTAATTTACCCATTTTTTTAATAATAAGTAAAATTTAATTAAAAAATATTTTTCTTTTTACAAATAAAAAGCAAGTTTACGGCTATGAATTTAAATATCCTTATTTTTGAGGGGAGGGGGGGGATTTAAGGGATATTTTTTAACGAGAAATGTTCTCATTGTATATATCCTTCTTTCCTTAATTATTTATTTTTTTTTTCTGTTTAAATATACCTGTTTTTAATTAAACAAATTTTTTTTATTTTTTTTTATTTTTTTTTCAAAGTTTTTTGCTCAAAAAATGTTTAAATTATTTAATTATTTTCTACTTCTTTATTTAATTAATTCAATTTCTTCTACAAACTTAACTCACTTCAGTGAAACTCAAATTTGGGGATTTCTTCGTTCTGTGCCTCGACACAAACTTCAAACAAAATGTGCTTTAAGTTTAGATAGAGTAGAACGGTTTTTAACTGATTTGAGAACTTTGGAAGAGCAAAGACTATTTTTTTCTGAATCTTTTAGTATTGGGGTAAATTAAGGAAGAAGAATTTTGTTTTTAAAATTAAATTTTATTTAGGATTATCAACAATTTATAAGTAGAGATCAAGACAGATGGCTTTACAATGCTTTTATGGTTATTATTTATTTTTTGTAAATTTAGAGGGGTTCCTATTTGTAAATATATTTTTGCACATTTTAATGCGTATTTTGATGTTTTTATGGGAAATTTTTGAAAAATGCCTGAAATTCGGTCAATTCTGGTTTTTGGCTTCTCAAAAATCAGAATTTCGTTTCTAGTATTAGAAAACAATTTGACATCCAAATTCTTTAACCAAAATTTCATAAAAATCCGGTTTCTAATTACTTTAACAATTTTTATTTTTTAGTGTATAAAAGCAGCTGGAGAGAGTAGTTATAGTGCTTCTGAATATCCTTTACATTATTGTAAGTATTTTTGAAAAGAAATAAAATTTGTTTTAAAAAAAGGTTATGGAAATGATATACCTTTTGATAAAAATTTACGTAAAACTTCTTATGGAATGTGTATTCCAAGTACTTGTAGTTATGAAAATGACCGGATGGAGGTAAAAAGAAATTAATTTTATTTTCTCTAAATTTTTTTAAAAAAGTTATTAATTGAATGGCAAAAGATTGCTAATCCTTATAAAGAAATAAATAACAATTCTTTTGTGGAATTTGGGGATTGTACAAAATCTAGACACGAAAAACAATGGTGGGAACAGTCTATACCTTTGGTATATTATTTTTGAAATTTAAAAATATTTTTCTAAAAAAAAGGTTCATTTTGGTTCTGATATATTTCTTGTAGCAATTGTTGGGATAGCTACAGCAATACATTGCCGGAGAGGAGATGTTAATCAACAAAGAAAACAAATGGACGAAAATGAAGTTGGAAATAAAAAGCAAAAGGTATTTAAATATTCTTTTTAAATTTAATAGGAAAGGAAAAAATCTTTTTGACAATTTTTAATTTACAAAATGTCAAAAATTAACATTTCCAGTCAAAAAAATTTATTTAAAAATTAATTTTTTAAAAATTATTTTTAGTTGGCACTAGAATTACTTTTATGTTTTTCTGCTAAAAAGAATTTTCAAAAACTTGTTCAAATGCCAAAAGAAAGAATGAGTACAATAACTTGTTTTTTTGGTTTACGTTTTGGGGCAATGTGTTGGACACTTGTTGGGCATTCTTTTATTTTTGTACAGGCATTTTTAAGTAATGTTGATGAATTGAAAAACGAATTGGTTTTTACTTTAAATTTTTTTAAATAATTTTATTTTCTTGTGTAGGTTGATCATTTTTGGAATCAATGGATAACTAATTTTACTCTTTCTGTGGTAAATTTATTTTTGAATAATAAAGAAAAGTTTTTATTTAATAATTTAAGGATGTATTTCTTGTACTTTCTGGTACTTTAACTGCTTATAGTTGGTTTAAACGTTGGCAAGGAGGAGGCGGGGGAGGAAGAGGAGGTATTTAAATTTGTTTCTTTTTAAATGTTCTTTTAAAAAGAAGTCACAGAAATTCCAAGTTGGACTTCTTGGGGTTATTGGCTTCGTTTTTATCGTCACAGGGTTGTACGTCTATGGCCAGCTTATATATTCACTTTAATTGCTGTAACTGTTCGTGTTAGTGTAAGGAGTTTTTCTTTAATTTAAAAAATGGATCCAACCGGATGGATCAAGTCTGATCACTCATAAAAAGTTACGACTTAAATAAGTGCAAAAAATCGTTGTTTTTCATACTTATTGACTTGTAATCTTGATCCATCCAGTTGGAATGAAATATGAATGATATGATTCATTCAAATTGGATTTAGGATAAAAAAAAGATATATCCGATCAAATTTGAAATAAGGAAAATGGGGGGGGGGGGTAGATAACAGATAAGTACCAAAAAATTAAATATTTAAAGATTACTCATTACCATCCAATGTGGCCACCAACAGATCCAGCAGTTCAATGCCCTAAACATTGGATAGAAAATGTTCTTTTTATTAATTCTTTAACTGATAATCGTTGTATGCCTTGGACTTGGTTATTTTTGTGAAAACATTCAAAAAAACATTTTCTTTGAAGGTATATTGGAACAGAATTTCTTTTTTATTTACTTTCTCCAATATTTTTGCTTTCACTTTTACAATGTCCGAAGGCAGGGATTTTACTTTGTTTTGCAATTTCTTGTCTTTCTTCAATACTTAATGTTGTCACAATGATTAGATATAATTTTCCTCCGACACAAATGCTTTGGAAACAGCCAAATATTTTCTCTCCAGATTTTATTTTGGTTTTTTTATCTTTAAAAATATTTAATTTTTTAAAAATATTTTTAAGCATCATTTAGTTATTTATATCAAACCTTGGTATAGAATTGGGCCTTATCTTGTTGGAATTGTTTTGGGATATATTTTGGTTAGTTAGTTTTGTTAATTATTTTTTGGGGAGTTTTAATTAAATCTTTAAAATAGAGGGTAAAATTAAAAATTTGGAGAGTATTCAAATAAACTAAAAAAAGTGAGAGAATTGTAAATAATATTCATTTAAAAAGGCCCAACATTCCCTTTCTTCACATAAAAGATCTCCAACTTCAACAACATTCTGTTCTCCTCATTCTCGTAGTTTTAAAATTACTGGTTGGTTATTAGCAATAATTTTTGGGTTTTGGTCAGTTTTTGGACTTTATCCAGCACTACAAGGATGGAATTGGTTTTTATTTTTAAACAAAATTTTCTTTTATAAAAAATTATTTTTTAAAAAAGGCCATTTTATCATTTATTTTATGGAGCTGTTTCTCGTACAGTTTTTGCTATATCTCTTGGATGGATTATTTATGCTTGCCATACAGGAATTGGAGGGCCTTTAAATTATGTAAATTTCAAAAAAATTATTTTAATATTTTTTATTTAATTAAAAGGTGCTTAGTTCAAGTCCATTTGTTCCCCTTTCAAATCTCTCTTACAGTGCTTATTTATTTCATATGATTCCTGTTGTTTTTACTTATGTTGTTTCTCCATTTCCAATGCATTTTGATTCAAAAGCAGAAATATTTGGACATTGTCTTGTACAATTAGTTATTGCATATGCTTATGGTAATTTTTTAATTTTGAGAGGAATTATTTTAATTCTTTCAGGTGTTCTTTGCAATTTATTAGCCGAACTTCCTGCATTGAATATTGAACGAATATTTTTGGGCACTTCTTCTACAGGTGTAAATAAAACAAGCAAAACAACAACAAACCTACAAAAATCAATAAAAAACGGAAATAACACAATAAACAATGGCCTAAAAGGTAATATTCAGTGCTGTACGGATATAGAAGAAAAACGTTCAATTTCAACGACAACAACGACTGCTGCTCCATCGCCTATTGTTTCGGCTATTGTGAAAGCAGAAGAAAGTACAGCAACAATAAAAGTACCAACAGAAACAGTGTCAACAAATTTGGCACAAGAAAAAGAAGGAGAAGAAGATAGTAATAGTATAAGTAATGAAGAATAAAAAGGAAGCGAGAGAGAGAAAAAAGTAGAGAGAAATATTATAGAAAAATGAGAGAAAATAAAAATTTTATATAACAAAAAATATGGCAAAAAAATATGAGAAAAATAGGGCCTTTAAACAAAATATAAATGTGAGATAAGAAATATCAAAACGAGAATAGGGGACATAAACCACATTTTTAACCGTCTTACCATAAACTGCCACGCGCGTGCTCATTCATTTTATATATGTACATATATTCCTTCATTTTTTTCGAGAAAATAAAAATTCTTAACAACTCAATGTTCGCTATTCTCGTTAATCCTTTACTCTGTTCGCGTAAATTTCTTTATGTATTTACATCTTTTCATAATTCGTTTCTAAATAAATACTTTGATCTCCTCTCAAAATTATTAATTTTCTGTAAATCTGTCGCATTTTAATTATTTTTTGGATAAATGTTTAATTAAAAAGAAGTATTTCTTACAAGAGGTTAAAATGCTTATATTTATTTGTTTTACATATTATTAAATGCATTACCGTCGTAACAAACTAACATTGGCAAAGCCACAGATAAATTCAATTTCGATTTTAACTACTCTTAATTTGTAGTTAAACTTGTGGTCCTGTCCCTAGGAAAACATAAAAGAAGTAAAAAGTAAAAAAAAAAACAAAAAATAAATAAATTTTTTCCGAAAATTTCGATTTTAAGGGTAATTTACCTTTTCTACGTACTCTGAAACGTCCCCCTTTAGCCGTACTCTGAACCGGCTACTCTGAAACGGGCTTTACCGCAAATTTCTGGTCCGCAAAGTTCGGGTCCGCAAATTTTAATCCGTAAAGTTAGGCGCGCCGTTGAGCAGAATTTTATTGAATTTGTTTCAAAAAAAATAGACTAACATTCGAGTATTTATTCGATGCCTAAATTTTCTTTTTGGTTTTGGGCGGAACGCGACCATTGAGTCCCGCCGTTTGAGTCCCGCCGATTGAGTCCCGCCGGTTGAGTCCCGCCGGTTGAGTCCCTGGCCGGTTGAGTCCCGGCCGATTGAGTCCCGCCAGTTGAGTCCCCACCCAAAAGGGGACGTTTGAGTCCCCGTATTTCTTTCTAGGATTTACGCAAGTATGTATGATTCCCAGTACGGGTCTATTGCGGATATGTTACCACTTTGGGGTACATTGTACAGGAATATGAGGGATTATAGATTATATCCCCCAACTAGGACTTGTTAAATAAAGGCACCAAGTTTACGTATGATTCCCAGGATGGAAGTATTACAGGTATGTTACCAATTTGGCGGTAGTACCAGGTATTTTGGTAGGTACCTATAATCCATCATTATATTCATATATAATGTACCCCAAAGTGGTACCATACCCGCAATAATTCCGTCTTGAAAATCCGTCTATATATCCACTTTAATCACTCCAAATCGCTTGAAATCCCTCCATATTTATCATTATCACTCAAAATCTCCCCAAATACTCTTATATCAATTCAAAACTGCATATATCCCACTTAATCCATCAAGATCCTAGAAAGAAATACGGGGACTCAAACGTCACCTTTTGGGTGGGGACTCAACCGGCGGGACTCAATCGGCCGGGACTCAACCGGCCAGGGACTCAACCGGCGGGACTCAACCGGCGGGACTCAATCGGCGGGACTCAAACGGCGGGACTCAATGGTCCCCTACCGGGTTTTGGGTGTTTATAACTTTTGAGTTTATATAAATTTGAGATTTGTTTCTATTTTGTTTTTCATAGCTGGTCACCTGTTTATCACTTTTCTTATACATTTCTTGTGTGAAATTTTTACTCTATTCGTAAATTCATCAATTTTTATGTTTTCGATTATTTTAACAATAAACATTTTCTCATTAGGCAATCGCGTCCACATGATTTTATTCAAACTTACATAATTCAGATTTTTAAATTTATTAAATTAATTTTTAGTTAGATTAATGCATTAATTATATTTACGATAGAAAATGGATAAACAACATAGTAGTTATTGTCCTCCTAGTACAACATTTGGAAGTCTTATTGCTAATGGTAGTAGTGAATTTTCAGAAGCAAACACTTACCATCAACGACATTTGGAGCAACAACCATTATCAGGTTTTTATTTTGTTTTTTCGGTGCATTATCATTTGTGGATAAATAAACTTTTCGTGTCTGTTATAATTGAAAGGGCTTGTCGACATGAGTCGGAGATAAAACGTAGGTCCCGAGATAAACTATAGGACATTAGATTAAGGCATTAATATATTTCGATAGAAATGCATTTTAGATCTGGATAATTTACCTACCAAGCCGGTAATCTTCCGCTTTACTGGTCCCTAGAAAAAAATGTGGTAGAAGTACTTTTTCGATATTTTTGAGGTCTGCCAGTAGGTAATCGAGTGTGCTGAGTCCGAATATGGGCTTAGAATTTGTTTATTTCGAACCCCGAACCCGAATTCGACCAAGTCGAATTCGGGGGTAAAAATAAAAAATTTCAAATTTTATGTTTAATCGGACTAGCCTCTTCGAGCTGAGTCGATTGGTATCAAAATTATTGTGTTTCAACAACTTTAGACTGAGTTATGATCAATTAAATACCGCTTGGTTAGACTTCCGTATATAAATCAGACACCATAACTTAGTCTAAAGATGTCGAAACGTAATAATTTTGATACCAATCGACTCAGCTTGAAGAGACTAGTCCGATTAGACATAAAATTTGAAATTTCGATTTTTACCCCATGTTGAAATTGGTCGAATTCGGGTCCGGGGTTCGAAATAAACAAATTCTAAGCTGAGATTCGGACTCGGCAAGCTCGACTACCTACTGACATGCTTTAAAATGTCGAACTAGCACTTTTTCCTTATTTTTTCCAAGGGACCAGTAAAGCGGAAGATTACCTTGAAGCCTTATAACTTTGGAGGTCAGGGCCAAAAAGTCAAAAAAATGGCTAATCCCCTCCCCCTTCTGCAGTTTTTGCCATTTCGAGCCCTATATCTCGGCCCTAAGTTTTCACAGACTGCTTTGTTTGTTATTCGACTCATAATCAGTCCGATGAGCTCTTTCGATCACATATAAATTGTTCAAATCTAAAATCGCCCTGTAAAGTGTGCTTTAGCCGAAACAAATCGTAAAACATATTTTACAACTCAAATGATAAGAAAGAATTTATTTTTAGGTCGATTTTAACTAGAAAATTCAAAAGTTTTCCCTCGTTACTATAGTATTTTAAGAAGATCCTGCATCAACTCTGCAACTCGATTTTAAACCTCTTTATTCTTTAATTTTCAGGCAGCTTTGCTAATTACAATCCGCAAAATTCTATGGGATTAATGGCTGAAACATCGTCTAATCCTATTTCTCAACAAAATGGACATTTCCAAGAAGGATGTGTTCGAGGTGCCAATACTTCATTGCCACCTCCTCAACCATACCAAAATCCTTCGACAATAGTAATTGAATTTTTAATTAATTTTTGTGTAGAATTGATAAATTACTTACATATGCTTATTAAAATTAAACCGCTTAATTTTGAAAGGCACAAATTTTAATTTATTTATATTTATTTAAAATTTAATTCTTGTTTTTTACTTTTATATAAATAATTTTCAGAAACCAAATCTTCCACCTTCATATAGTTCTGCTACAACCGGTTTTCCTTCGCTTCCACCGCAAAATGCAAAACCATACAATCCATTTGGATACAAAGATGTATGTTTATTTTTTAAATTTATATTTCTAACTTTCTACAATTAATTTAAAACTTAAAAAATTTAAAACAAAAACCCTAAAAATTTTATAAATTAAATCAACATTTGAAATATTATCTTTTATCATTCCTGCTTTTGGCAAACATTTTTAGTTTTTAATTAAAAATATTTAAATCGTAAAATTAAAAAAAACTATTTTAATAAATATTTTTTCCTTTCATTATTTACACTCTCTCATTTCTCAAATCTATATGGAGTCGCATGACTTTTTTATTTATATAAACATTAAATTCGAGAAAGTCGATTCGATTGCTTGTCCTTTTTTTCTATCCTCTCTCTTTCTCTCTTTATTTACATTTTCCCTCAAAAAAATTAAATTTAAATTTTTTAAAAATTAAATAGGTATTTCTCTAACCAATAGAATTAATAATTCATTTTATTAATTTACTTCATTTTTAAAATTTTTTAAATTTATTTGAGTTAATTAAAAATTAAAATTCTTGTTAAGCGTCCTTATAACATTCATCAACAACATAATAATCAAAATTTTGTTTCTGGTTGCAATAGACAACCACCAACAACTAATTTTATTTTAAACGATCAACAAATATCGTCACCTTTTAATCGTCAATCGGGTGCATTTATAGGTGGAAGTATTAGCGGCGCTTTTTCTACTTCACCTCTCTCATCACCAAACACCAACGCGACGATTAATAGCGGAGCAATTGCCGGAACTATTGTTAATTCAGGAGGTCGCCCATCGCCACAACTCACTCATCCATCCCATTCACAACAGCAGTCATCTTTTTTATCAATGGCTAGTGGTCCTCCTCAAATCCATCAATTAACCCAACAACAGCAAGCCCCTTTCCATCAAATTGTAAACAATAATAGTAGTGGAGTTAATTATCAGCCTAAGCAATATGGCTCAGCTGTTGGTGTATGTAAATAATCATTGCATAAATATATAAAAAAATATAATATACAAAAATTTTTACCCTCCAAAAATCAAAAATGGAATTTTAATTAATTATTTATTTTAATAATAGACCACAAACGCTTTTGACATGTCTCCGCTTCTTTATGAGACTGGTATTGACAATAACCCTCGACATACAGGCCCGGCAATGAATGGAGCAATGAATGAGGATTTTCTTGGTGACTTTGTACCTACGGAATTACAGCAAGCTGTATCGGATCGTTATGTTCTTTCTAATGAATTGAAGGAGAGAATTGATGGTTCTTCTAAAAAACAGGTGAACAAGAAATTTATTGTTTTTATCTGAAAAATTCTCTCATTATTTTCAGGCTCTTTTCGAGATTATAATCGGCCTTGAGGAAGTTGCTTTTGGACTACCAACGTATTTTAATACTTGGGCAACCGAAATTCGAGACCGAATGGTTGGTAGAGATCCGCTTCCTGAACCGGATTTGCGTATTGCTTCAGAAATTCTTATTGAAATGGTTTGGATTTTATATTTTTATTCTTTAACAGCTATGTTTTTAAGGCTGTTGTTTTAGACGAAAGTCAATATAATTATTCTTGTTTGTGTCAATTTCTCGACAAAAACATTGAAAACTTTAGTCAAAATATATTGCTTTCGCAATTAGCTTTGTTCATTAACGATACACAATCTTCACTTTCCTTACAACATTGTTGCAATTTGGTTACCTTTTTGGCTGAACTTTATGACAAAATTGAGGTAAAGTTAATTTCCAATCAGATATCTTTGAAATTTGCAAATTAAGGTCAATGGAGTGAAATCTTCACAATTAGCTGCCCATCTTTTTGACCAATTACATGGGTTATTGAAACTACCTTCTGACAATCAGGGAATTGGTGTTATCGTTAAAATACTTAAAGTTTGGAGTTTTTTTTTATAAAATTGTATATAATATTCATTTAGCTGACTGGCCGTTTTTTGGAGAATGACCGTGGATCTGAAGCTATGAATGCATTCATGATAGATTTGAACGAATGTGCTGCGTCGTGTAATGAGTATGTTTTATTTAGTTTTTGTTTTTTGATTTTCTTAAATTTAGCCTTACAAAATTGAAAGTTCGAAATCTTCTCGAGTTACGCGCCAAACATTGGGGGATTGTTTCCGAGGTTTTTGTACTTACAATTTTTCCATTCCAATTTGCTCGTTTTAGACTGCTCGAGCAGGTGATGTTAGCAATGATTCTTATCCTGCTGTTGGTCTTTTGGGTCCAGATGGAGAACATTTAATTCCTGATGACGATTGTGCCTTTTTGGACGAAAATTTCGACACTTTTGGAAATTCTCCTTCTGGTTCACGTTTGTTTATATTTCTTTTTATTGGTTTTTCTTTGTAACTTTTTTTTGTTTTTAAGTGTACAACAATCCAATCGAGGAAGACAATGTTGAAGATGAATATGATAAATTTCTGCAAGCCACTGCAGAACGTACAGCGGAGAGGGCTCTTGTTTCTTTTGATGAAGATGATGAAAGTATTGTCTCCTCGGTAAAAATTTTATTTATCCGATAATCAGATTTTTTAAATTTATTAGCCTGCGTTTATGTCGAAGCAGGGCAATGAGAAAATGTCTTAAGATGATGAAAAGGAAAGTTAAGAATGATGGAAGACCAGCATAATTTAAACGACTTTATTTTAGGGCATTAAATTGTGACTATAAAATATGGTTTTTTAGATATTCTTTAAAGCCAAAGCCCTTTAAAGTAAGGTTCTTCTTTCTTTTCTTTTGTATCAACTCGGTTATATAAAATTGGAAATCATTTTGAAATGTAAGAGATTGATTTTGGCAGAGAATTATTCTAATCTAAAATTTGCATATTTTCGGATTATAATGCTGACTGAGTTGGTTTTCCGCCACCTTTTCATCATTCAGCTTTTTAAATGTGGATACAAGTTTTAAATAAAACCTCGCTCCATTTCCCATGTAATTTTAGACAGGTCTACATCATTTTAAAGATAATTACAAGATGAAACATGGATTTCATTATATATTTGTTTCACATATATGCACAGCTTTCCTTTATTTTTTTCTTATTGATTAAATCTATATAAAAGATATTTTTTGTTTATTTTTGCGTATACATTTATGTAATGTAGATAATTACTAAATATAGAATTTATATGTATTCATTCTATTTGGACTAGTAACAATAATTTAAATTTAGCCATTAAATGTGAATAATCAACGTCATGTATTACAACGATAATAGTCATTCTGCCGTTGATCTCTCTGACGGGTTAGTTCTTTTTGCCCTAATATTTTTATTTTATTTTAGATTGTTCATTAACTTCAATGAAAGGTTGGGTCAGCTGTCTCCAGAGTTGAGGGATGTTGGGGTTCGACTACGAAGACATTTACAGGTTTTTATCTGAATATACGCAAATACTTTACTCTTACAGTTCTTTTTTATGAATCCTCTCGACAAGTATAGGATTCGGAGACAATTTCCTTTCAAACTAGTCCTTCAAATACTTAAAGCTATATTTGTAACTACACAGGTTATTTTATATTTTTGTATTTCTAAAAAACTCGTTTTAAGTTGGTGCTCTTCGCTGAGCTCAGAATTTCCCATGTTGATTTTCTAGATGAAACGGTGACGGTGATGAGACACAAATTTCTCAGAGATTGGGGTCCAGAACGGGATACAATTGCATATCCACCTGCTGCTGGAAAATATTCCGTTTTTACAAGTGACCAAATTGTTGAACATTTTGCACATATTATTAAAGCCGTAATTTTCAGCATTTATTGTTTAATAATACAGTGGGGTGCAAAAGTAATTGCGCGTATATAGATTCTCTTTTAATTTCATTGCCAATCGGTAATTTTTGAATTTTAAAAATTTTAAATTAATAAATTTTAATCAGTTTTTTATGAGCTTTCAGATAAGCATAAACTTAAAAAACTAAATTTATAAAACAAATATTTATGGCTGGTTAAATCAAACACACTCAAATTTAAAGGGTGCAAAAGTAATTGCGTCAATTTTATTTCAACTAAAAAAATATAACAAATCAATATTTGGTGACACCACCATTTGCACGAATAATAGCATGAAGTCGACTAGGCATAGAGTTAACAAGATTAATAAGGGTCTCAATTGGTATCGAATTCCAGGCGGCTAAAACGGACTCCCACAGTTGATCCCCATTCCTAAACCTATTTCCTCTCAATTTACGTTTAACAACACTCCACAAATGCTCAATAGGGTTAATATCAGGGGAATATGGAGGAGTAATCATTAAATCAATTCCATTCTGTCTCCACCAGCTAAATGTCACTCTTCCATTCTTATCAATTCCACCTCGCAACAGCCTACTTGTGTGCTTGCTGTCGTTGTCTTGCATAAATTTCCATCCACGTGCTAGTTTTTCTCGAGCATGAGGTATCATGTTGTTCGCAAGAATGTCGCGGTACATAATAGCAGTCATATTGCCATGAATTCTGACTAACGGACCAATGCCATCGCGAGAAAAACAACCTAAACAATAAAGCGATTTTGGCCAAAATTAACATGCCGATTACCCCAAGCCATTATTCCTCCTCCCCCGTATTTCATTGTTGATTTGATAAATTTTGGGTCATATCGTTTGTTAGGAGGCCTCCTAATGAAATTTCCACCATCAGGATTGTGAAAATTGAAGCGTGTCCAACGGGTGATTGTGACGCCGAGTTGTAGCTGTGCTTGCTTTGCAACATCACGTGCTGATAAGTTTGGATTGTCTCGCACAGGTCGGATCAAAATTCTTTCATCGGCATTGCTTAGTTTCTTGGGTCTGCCTGTTTTCGGAAGCCTATGGGAGTGTCCTCGCTCTTGACTGAGCTTGTAAATGTGTTGAACTGTTCGAACTTTGACATTGAAAAGTGCTGCAACTGCTTTTGAACTTTGACCTTGGTTTTTTGCGCGAACTATTGCCTCCTTTACTGGAGTTTCTGTATATTTTTTACTTGACATTCTATAATTACTAAAAATTAAAACAATTGTTAAGTTTATATTTAAATATCAATGAAAAATAAAACCGCGCAATTACTTTTGCAACACTAAAAAATAACGTAGGTTTTTAAAAGACCATAAAAAAATTTTTTTAACACGTTTAGTTTTATAAGTTTATGCTTATATGAAAGCCCATAAAAAACTGATTATAATATATTAATTTAAATTTTTCTAAACTTAAAAATAATCGATTTTCAATACAATTTATAAAAAACACATAGGCGCGCAATTACTTTTGCACCCCACTGTATTGATTTAATTTTAAGTATTATTTGATTCAAAATGACTCTTTTGCTGCATTTAGCTATGACACAATTACACCTCAAATTGAACATTGGCAGCCTTTACATGATGATGATGAAAATAATACAAATTCAACTAATCTTCAAAAGAGAATAGTTTTTTCTGCTATACCTCCACTACAATTATGTATTCAAAGAATTGCTGATGTAATAATTGAAAATTCTACCTATATTTTTGACATTTCTGAAGTTAATGGTTAGTTCAAATACTTGATTTAGAAATTTTTTGACGCTTTCGCAAAACTCTGAATTTAAATAGAGCTAACATGATGGTGGAGATAGTGACTAACTTTTAATTCTTTTAACCAAATTTTTTAAATAAAATTCAATTTTTAAGAATGTTTTACACTCAATTTTACACACAATGAAGTCAGAGATATTAAAAATAATCCGTATACTGTTCGCAATCTGTTAGCAAAGCGGAATATAACATTTACGGGAGAAGATGCTCTTATCATTTCTCAAGCTATTGTTAAATTCAATTTGCGTACTATACACTTTAGTCCTTTACAAAATGATCAAAAGCCTGAATGTTACAAAATTGATGTAATTCTTCCAAAATTATTTTATTTAAAAATATTTTTAGATAAAAATAATATTTGACAATTCTCGACATACTGGTCAAATAAAGATTAAATTAAATGCAAATATCAGGTTTTTTTTAATTTTCCTTTTTTTAAACATTTTTAGTTATGTAAATTTATGCAATGGACGTGTTTTGCATGTTAATTCTATTGGATTTGATACTGCTTTTATCGCAATAATTGATTTATTGGTGCTAATTATGTGTGTTGCTTCTGTTATTCTTTGTCTTAGAGCATTAGTTAGAGCACATTTGTTGAAAAACGTAAAAGAGATTTAAATAATTTTTAAAATAAAATTTCTTTTCATTTTTTAGACAACAAGTGAATTCTTTGAAAAGGCATTTAAAAGACGTTTACCAATTTCGGATCAATGGGAATTCTTTAATTTGTGGTATGGGATGATTGTTGTGGTTTGTTTTTAATTTTTTGATTTTAAAAATTAAAAAAATATTTAGAATGATATTTTGATAATTATTGGAACAATAAGTAAGGCAACAATTGAATTTCGTGATTTCGATTCTGATTTGTTTACATTAACTGGTACTTAATTAATTTTTATTTCGATTAATTTATTTTAATTTTTAGGCGTTGTTTTAGGTATTGGAGCACTTTTAGTTTATATTGGATTACTTCGATATTTTGGATTTTTTAGTCAATATAATGTTTATTGTTTATTTAATTTTAAAATTAATTTTATTTTTTATTAGATTTTGGTGCTTACTTTGAAGAAGTCACTTCCATCAATCCTTCGCTTTATGGTCTGTGCTATTATTCTGTATTCTGGATTTCTTATGTAAGTTTTGTTTAAATTTGGTAAATATTTAGCTCGCTCCCTACCTATCCGCAAAAGAGTTTGCAATATACAGCTACTGAAGGATATTGCGAGCCATCTTTTGCGGATTGATGGGGAGTGAGTTTAACAGATGTTAATTCTTAAATACATTCTTTTATATATTTTAGTGCCGGATGGGTTGTTATTGGACCTTATAGTATGAAGGTATTTTTCTTATTGAAAATACACTTTAGTGTTTGGCAAGCTTAATGAATCTCAAAATTTTCTGGACTCCAAAATTCTAGGATTTTTCTACTTTTAAGGAATTTTTGATTATTTGCACTACCCACTTTAACTAAAATCTATGATTAAAATTTATTTAAAAAGTTCCGAACATTGGCACAATCATCAGAAGCACTTTTTTCGCTCCTGAATGGAGATGGTGAGCTATTGTTGACTTTATCTTAAAATTACAAATATAGATATGTTTGCAACATTCTACACAATTAGTGATGCAAATGCTGCAATTAAATTATTTGGAACTATTTATATATATGCTTTTGTATCATTATTTATCTATGTTGTTTTGTCATTGTTTATAGCTATTATAATGGATGCTTATGAGGTAGGAACTTATAAAAATGAAACTTTGAGAGTAAAATTAACGAACATTTAGTTGTCCCTCAAACTAATTTACTTTTATTAAATATATAAATTATAATAAAAATATTATTATTCTGCTTACTTTTTAGGTTGTCAAGAATCGATACAATCAAGGTATGGATTTGGAGCGCTCTATCCTTCAAGAGTTCCTTGCTAGCGAAGATATGCCCGACGTCAACACCTCAGAGGCAAGAGAAATATTTGCAACGGATCAATTACTTCAATTAGGTCAGTTTTTATTATAGGGTTCTTCGAATTCTTCTAAATGCACAACTGAAGAGGAGGCGACTGTAAACAATGAAACCCCACTTTGAGTATTTGGTTTTGTCTTGCTCTTTTGTTGTGCTTCTTTATTGGGCTGAAATGATATCAAAATACCTATATTTGAAATATGTTGTAGAAATATTTGTGATATATTTTTTGTGAAGATTTTTAATTGAATGTTGATAACTAAATTAATTTTCTAGTTAACTTCACTTTAATTGTGAAATATTTTAACAATTTATAGATAGATGATTTTAAATGATTTTATTTTTTGAATTTTCCAGAAAGTGGCTGGTTTTTGCGGGACTTTTCTCGTTTCTTCTTTTCCATTTCTCGTCGACTTCAGGGACGCTACAATCCAACAACGTCTTCACCTCGTCATCTTTCGGCAGCAAATAACGGAGGTCCTTTTTTCGACTATCGCTCATTTGAAAATACATCACATGATGGAATTTCAATAACTGAAGAACAGCCAGCAAATATTTCCAATCAACGACAACAAACTGGGGTTGGAACAGATTCACCAGAGATTTTAAGTAATGAAAACCGTAACAGTCAACTCAATAATCTAAGTGGTGGATCTCAACATTTACATCATAGTGATAACCTCCGAATGAATCAATACAATAATTTATCTCTCGAATGAAAAAAGAAGTAAATTGTTTATTTTTTCAACAAAAGTATAATTTTGCGCTGAATTTTTATTTTTTTTTTAAATTTCCATTTTTTAATTACGAACCATTATTTACATAGTATTTTGGAATTTTTAATTAACGTTCTTAAATGTCATTGTAATTTGTAAGATTCAAAATAATGGTTTTTTGCTGATTCTATAAATTTTAATTAAAGAATCGGTCTTCTGATTTTCAATTTTGTATAATTCTTTTGCATTTTTATAAAAAAATATTTTGACCGATTTTTGGAATTTTTAAACTTTATTATACCTTACTCATTCGCATTATTTTTATCTAAATTGCATTTTTGCCACCCTTTACAATATCTATATCCAGTATTATTATTATAAAAATTATATTTAATGCCTTTATTTTTAACGCTAGAATTGTTAGTAAATGTACTTTAAATAAATAAATGTTTATTTTTAAAATTATTTAGTTTTTATTTTCAGACATTTAAAAATTTTAATGATTTACATATTTTTAAATATTTTCTGAATTTAAATGGTTAAATCCAATTTTTATTTAATTTTCAGGACTACAAGTAAATTTTAAATTATTATTACTCAACCCAATGTTTTGACTTTTTATTGACCAAAGGTAAATTAAATTTATTTTCTATATTCAATTTAAAAATACGTACACCCTAGTTTAAATTATACGAACTTTTTTATTTGACTTTTGGGCTGCCAAATTGATACTCCCAATTTTACGTGTTTTCATCAAGGGTGTACGTACAATATAATTATATTTAGATTTTGTATGTTCAAATGATTATTGATTATTCTGCTCATTTTTGGGTATTTTATTAAATTTTTTATTTATCTACAAATTTCTCATTAAGGGTGATAAACATATTGGGTATAATGTTCTTTACGATCATATGAAAAAAGGAGAGGATTCTGTGCATGAATTGCTCACTTTTATTAAAGAAAGGGCTAGCATGGAAGATGACATTTTAAAGTGCCTTAACAGACAGCTTGTTAAAGTATTTTTTTAATTTTACACTATATTTAAATATAATTTTAATGATGAAAATAAATATAATTTAGGCTAGTACATACACAACTAATAATGGATCTTTGGCTGATGCCTGGCGATTGACTAAAAATGCACTTGAATTTTGGATAGGTAAATTGTTAGTTAAAAAGTTTTTATTTTAAATGTTAAATTTTTCTTCAATTAATTTTTTACAATTTTTTAGAAATTAAAACAAAATTAGTGCATAATCTTGGTGACCTTTCTAGAGACGTTTTTCGATATCAAGAAGAACTTATAAAAATTCGAAAAAAAGCTAAAGATATTGAGACATTAGAAGCTATAAATTTAATGCAAACAACCACAACTTGCTTACAAAAAGTTTTATTTAAAATTAAAAATAAAATTTAAAAAAATATTTTTTGAAGGCTAAAGAGACCTACTTACAACGTTGTGCTGAAGTAATTAATTTAAAAAATTCTAGTAAAGACTGGACATCTACAAACACAAAAGAATATCTTAAATTAAGTTTTTAAATTAAAATTATTTTGATTTTTCTAATTTTTTAGATAAAAAATAAATTAAATAAATCACATATTGAATATCGTCAATATATGGAGAAATATGCACAAATTAGAGATATCTTTGAAGAGAGAATATTAAAAGCTGCAAGAATGTTTCAAGAGCATGACAGAGGACATATTTTACAAATGAAAAGTTTTTTTTTAATTTAAATAAAAATTTTAATTTTTTTAAAGAATTTTTTTTCCAATTGGCAACTCTTTTAGAGACTGCTCAAAATTGTGATGCTAAAACGGCTATTGAAAATAAACAAAATTTGGAATTAATTGATGTTGAGGAAATTATGTTGAGATTTATTGAAGAAAAAGGGACGGGCACGGATGTTCCTAGTTGGTTTTTTTTTCTTAAATTTTGTTTACAAGAATTCTAAAAAATATATTTTTAGAAAAACTTAATTGGACAGAAGCAGATGAACTTCCACAAGAATTTGATGTTCTCTCTGCAGTCCATTCCCATTCTTCTTCATCAAATAACTCTTCAGCTATTGTTCCCAATACTACATTTTCTTCTATTACTGCTCACAATCCCCCTCCAACAACAGTTGATGATTTGCTAAAGTTTGATGATCATTGTGCTTCTTCTAAATTATTTGAAAGTGGAAAATCTTCCCAACGAAAATCTCAGCAAAAAATACAACGTTTTAAACAATTGGCATCCGAAGCTGACGGTGAGGATAGTGATTCTGATTCTGAAAATGCTGAAGGGGAACAACAAACAAATATTAGGTTGAAGTTTATTTTTATTTAAATAGTCTTATGGTTTACGTTTAACTTTTTTTAATAATTAAATTTTGCGACCATTTTTAGAATAATTTAAAGATAAAAAATCTTTACCGAAAGATCCTTTGCATTAGTCGAACCAAAATTTCCAAATTGATACCCCATTTTTTAATTTATTTTTAAATAAATTATTTAAAGAATCAATACTTCTGATAACCAACAAAATCAACAACAATCTTCGTCCATTTCAACTGTTCAACACCAAATTTCTTCTTGGTTAGGCAGACAGAAACAGGCAGCCTCTCATTGGAGACTTAAAAAACATAGTGCCTCACAATCTAGTCTTCCAGCCGCAGTTGCAAATGAAATGGCTATGACAAATGAAAAACTTCAATCAACTAACCAATTTGCAGAATTCTCCAAAAGTTTTGGTGTAAATGAAGGTAAAAAGGAATGGAAAATTTTGTAGAAAAGGAATGGGAATGATAAATTATTAATTTTAATTTATTAAAGGTAATGGAGGAGGGAGTGGTTTGTCTAAACGTTATCAAAAGAAAATTAATGCAAAGAATTCAATTAATGAAATAACTCAAACAAAAATGAAGCGAGCGTATGTTTGTTTTACTAAATATTTTTGTAAAATATTTTAAATTTATAGTTATAGTCAATTTCAACTGGAAGGTGAAAATTGTGATATTTCTGTTGTTGAGGAGGAGGTGGAAATTAAATAAAAATAAATTATTTAAAAAATATTTTTAAAGCCAAAAATCAAAGATCCTCTTCAAGTTTTTGGCCCTCCACCACCATTACCTCCCCCGCCATTACCAATTAGTGCACCAATTCCTCCACCTTTATTTGACAATCAATCACCAAACATTCAAAGTGTTTCTTTTATTTATTCGAATGAAAAACAACAAAATATTAATTATAATATTAGCCAATCTATTACTGATAACAATCGTTGGTCTGCTGCTGATAGTTCTTCTTCTGGTAGTTTTTATAGCGTATATAATTTTTTTATTTTTCTTTCAAAAGATGATGAAGATAACTCAACAAAATTCCAAACAACAAAAATACGTCAACTCCAAATTCGACCACTCGTTGAACAACAAGAATTCCAAAAAAATACTTCTTTGGATGAATTACGTTCTGCTATTGGGCAAATTAGTTTGCCAAGAAATTCGATAATTGAAAATGTTTTTTAGAAATTAAAAATTAAAAAAAAATTTTTAGGATCCTTGGGCAGCGTCTGATGCTGAAACAACAACTTCTGCAGATATTTCTGTTCAAAGTAATCAAATGACAAATCAAGTATTTCCACCACTTCGAGCAGCACTTACAGGGGATTCACAATATCGGCGATGTTTTGGTAATTTTTTGGTAAATTTGTTTTTATTTTTTTATTTTAAAAGCGCCCTCAAATGAGTTTGGACAATCTTTTTCAATATTTTCTACTTCAAATAGTATTGCTAGAGCTAGACCACGTTCCCATACACCTCTTGTTTTTGGACCTTCATCTACTAATACATTTTCAAAATCTCAAATGGCAACAACAACACCTTTAAATCAAAGTTTTTGAAATTATTTTATCCCTAAAAAATTTTTTAAGCCAAAGGAAATACTTCGCAAAATATCGATTCATCTTCAACACAAGGAATTAAAACACTTGACCATCCAATTGTTGAACTACCACGAAAATGAACGAGTAATTCAATACAAGAAAATGTAATAGGGAATTGTAAAGAATATATTCTATGTATTTTGTTGGTAATTTTTGTTTATAGTTCACTTATATTGCTTGAGCATAAATAATTAATATTGTAAATTTGAGATACAAACAAAGGGGGGGTCGTTCTCACCCTCCCTCTGGTTACGTGCATGGATATTTTTTCCCAGAGAGGTGTGGAATTAAGATTCTAAATCCTTTTCTTCTTCTAATTAAAAAAATATCAAAAGAATTTTTATTTAAAAAATATAAAAAAGTATAAAAACAACTAAAGCTAATAAAAATCCAATAGGAAAAGCAATTCTTGAAACTAAATCTAAATGATTTGTTGCTGAATAACGATTTAACACTTCTGCGTGTGTTGATGAGAGTAATGGCTTTTTTAAAAGAAAATAAAAAAAATATTCTTTTTTTCTTTTTAAATTTACCTCATCTTGTGTAACAATTAAAGTAGTTGTTGTCCCTTCTTTTCCATCATCTTCACTTGTTGGGCGATTAAATTGATGAAGTCTTTGTTGTGCAGTTAATGCTGCAGCAGAATGTTGATTAATTGTTGAATAACACCGAATTACAAAAAAATATTCAATTAAAGACAAAAATGTAAATAATGTACAAATAAAAAGCCAAATTCTCCAAGCACAAGATTCAATTGGAAGAAAAATCTTTTTTTAATTTAATTTAAAAATACTAAATAAAAATTTACCAAAAAACAAAGAAATAAAAGAAAAGGCACAGACGAACTAAGTGTTCGAGGTACTGACCATGATGGATGTACCCAAAAATGGAACCAGCTCGTAAATACAAGTAAAATACAAGGAATTAAAACACTTGACCATCCAATTGTTGAACTACCACGGAAATGAACGAGTAATTCAATACAGGAAAATGTACCTTTTTAGAATAGAGAATTGTAGAGAATAAATACTATTATTGGTAATTTTAGTTCACTCATACAAAAAAGTAAAGAGTAAATCTGAGATACAAACTAGGAGGAGGAGGGATATACAAAAGGAGCATTTATTTATTTTTTAAATTTACTTTGTGTAAAATTTCCAATTGAAAGACATTCCCCAGCTTCAGCTTCTTCAAATGCGTAATGGGCAGCATGTAAACGATCAGCAATCTGTATCGGCTGGATAAGTGGAGGAGAATTTGCCCATAAATAGGCGACATCGTCAATTGAGTAAATAGCTTTAAAATGTAGATAATTGGGAAATAAAAGATTTCCTAATGAAAATCTTTCGAAAAGTTTTACCACTTGAGAGAGCAAAGCGAATAGAACGAACATCACGTATAGGAAAAGCCCCATCCGATTGAAAATTTATTCGTAATGTTCTCCTTTAAATTTAATTAAAAAATTTTTGTTAAAAATCCAACGTGTCTTCATTTCTAATATAGCCACTATATTCAATTATAGTTCTTGATCTAATTACTCCTTTATTTCCAATAGAAGGTGCTTGTTCCTGAGCTCCTAAAAATACTTTTTCTGAAGAAATTCACAACTCTCAATTACTAACCAACAAAAAAAGTGTCTGGCTTCCAAACAGTTGCATTTTTTGGAAGAAGTACTAAAAATATTAAGGAGAATATATCTTCTCTATAATTACCTTCATGTATTCCTTCCCGATGGTCGACATGAAATGCAAGACGAGAATCTTCCCACTCTTGTTTTAATGTCAAATCAACTTCGTTTATTATGTATTAAATAATTTTTTTTAATTAAAATAAAAACACCGCTGAATGTTTATGCCAAACAATATTTTTAAGTACAATAGAAACAGTCACAACAATTGCTGCATGATCAGCTAAGGCTATAGTATAGAGAAAACAATACAATTTTAATCAAAACATTTTTAGGAACCTCTAACAGGAGGACGTGTATTTGGATCATAATCAGCAAAAAGACGCGAAAGAATTAAATTTTGAGTTCCTAATTTTTAATTTTATTTTAAAAATTAAAAAAATATTTAAAAATCTACGAATTTGTCTGCTTCTTAATTGTTTTGCAGGAGGGTCTTTTGCCTGTTTAGACAAACACAAAAATATGGAAATACTTTAAAAAACAAATTTTAAAATAATAATTTTATTTAAAATTACCAAAAAATAGAAAAAATTAAATTTGTTGTTTTTAATAGTGAAAACATTTAAATTTTATTTAAAAAATTTTTTTCCGGGATTTTAGAAGAAAAGAGGAGAGAATAATTTAGTTAATTTTTCTTCTCATCCAGGGGCCTATTTCAATTGTCCACAGATTCTGCATTCTGTGCACAGAACACAGATTCTGTGGAAATTCTGTTTCAATTAAATTCTGTGTGCACAGAATCTGTGGTGCCCGCAGATTCTGCGGAAACATCCAATGATTCTGTGGAAACATTCCGCAGATTCTGTGGATGAAAATTTCTGTGGAAAATATAAAAATCTGTGGATTTTTTCCACTGATCCACAGAATTTGTATTTCAATTATTTTTCTGTGGTTCTGTGTATTTTTTCTTCTAAATTCAAATTTTTTATTTCCGCGTTTTTGAAAATAACAGTTTTATTGAAACGAAAAATGGTTTGGACAGTTCGGTACTACCGCAGTATTAATGGTACCTGATTTTTTGAAGTAAAACTTTAAAAATTCTTAAATTAAACTGAAAAATATTGTAAAGATTTAAAAATTTTCCCTCCAAATCACATAACATCCCTTTAAATCTCTTTGATATCACTTTAAAACCGCTGATATACCGCTTAATTTTCTTGTTCATCCAATATCCTTAAATCTCCAATTAAATTAATGTCCTAAAGCAGGGTTCGGATCGGAAAAATCAGGAGATGTCGATCCGACATGTGGCTTTTTCAAACTACGATAGAAGTTGTTGCAAGGGAGGGAAATGTTTGGGGATTGTTTAGTCAGAAATTGAGGTTCCTGGAAATCGAAAATGCCTGGAATCCAAAATTATAGTCAAATCGGAACTTTAAAATCGTAGAGGAGTGATTAAGTGGGATATCCATTGATTTTGAGGTTTAATATATTGGAGTGATTAAGGAGGAAATCTATCATTAAATAGGAGGAGAGATTATGACGGATATCAATGAGAGATCATGGGAGATATCCCAGTATACGCTATACAGATATATTCTATAGATCCTGGTAAACATCCCCTCATTAGAGATATCCATGATGATTAGAACATCATAGCTCTAAATTTCAGAATCTCTCACGTTTTTTATTTTTTTATTGCTTGAATATAACAAAAACTGCGTAAAAAAGATGTACCTTTTTCAAAATTAATTTTAAGCAATAATTTTAGGTAATAAAATTATAATTTTTATATCAAAAAATAGAGAATGATTCAAACTTTAATAATCTTTAAAAATTTTGAAATTTGGTTAAGCCTAGGCCTAGAAAAAAATTGTTAAAGTTTTTCCACAGAAAGTTCGCAGAAAAAATTTTAGGGTGGATTTTTTAAAGAATTCTGTGTATTTTCCGCAGACCACAGAAATAATTGAAACAGAAATGCACAGAATCGACTAAAAAAGCCACAGATCTGTGGATTTTTTTCTGTGCACAGAAAAATAATTGAAATAGAATTCTGTGGTTTTTGCATGTTTTTGGATGTTTTGCAGAATCTGTGGATGTTTCCACAGATTCTGTGCATGTTTCCACAGAATCTGCGGACTTCTTTTTCCGCAGAATCTGTGGAATAATTGAAACAGAATTTCTGTGGTTCTGTGGTCTGTGCACAGAACGCAGACCGCAGAATCTGTGGACAATTGAAATAGGGCCCAGACGAACGGAAAAAATATTTTTATATTATTTTTAAACTATTTAAAGTAATTTTTAGAAAAGGAAGTTTATTTTCTTCAAAAAATAAAAGAAGAAAACATGCAAACTTTATTTAACAGCTGTTTTATTATGAGAATAATCATTTAAAAAATCCATGGAAAAGACGGAATAAACAAATAAAAATAAATCTAAATAGTAAAATAAAAGAAAATCTTTTTTTGATTTTTTAAAAACAAAACAGCTGCCTATACTTTAAGCAAAAATAATTATGTTTAAATTATTCGGTGCGGACATAATTAGTGAGCCTTTTTATTAAAAGTTTAGGGGTCTGAATTTCTATAGATTTGAAGTCTATGATCATGAATTTTTGTAAATATATTAATTAGCCCTTATGCGAGCTTGAAAAAATGGCTCACTAATTATGTCCGCACCGAATAAATATATATTTCCATTGGAATTATTTTAATTATTATTTTGTTTTTCTTTATAATTTAGCCAATCTTTTTTGTAATTCTTCCAAAGAATTTAGAGGCATTTCACATGATTCTGCTTGACATAAAAATATTGTTGGAGGCCCTCCACTTTTATAACTTTCAATATAATCTTTTAAATGTGAATTCTTTTGTAAAAGAAAAGAATTATTTCCTTTAAAAAAATTATTATTTTTTTAAATTAATTAATTAATAAATAACCATTTATTTTAATTTTGTTAGCATCAAGAAATATAATTGTAGCCATCGGTAAATATTTTTGTTGAATTGTTTGCAGCATTTTTTGAGTTGTCAAATCATTTATATCTCCCACAATGATAAACTTAATTTTTAAAATTTAATTTAAAAATACTTTCCGAATTGAGTATACCTGAAATTGTGGATTAGTCAGTGAATATAAAGGAAGTAAAAGTTTAGGAACAACAAAAGGAAATTTATTTAAACGTTCTGTCCAAGTAGTTGAGAGAAACACAGATTCGGCACGTTGTTTAAATTCTTTAGAATCAAGCAAAGAAGAAAGGCGTAGAAGATTAGAAATAGCTACAGATGTTGAACAGGGCTAGAAATAAATGAATAGAATGATTTAATTGATAAAAATTTCTTTACTTCAGCTCCATCCTGTTCATCAACAATACGTGCAAATATTGACTGGTCCCCAGCACGAGAGGTAAAATAACCAGAATTATTTGTTGAATCAAAAAAGAGTATATCCATTTTATTTTGTAATTGTTCTGCCCATTTTAATAAATTTTCATCGAAATTGAGTGAATAAAGATCGATTAGAGCCTCAATTAAAAAGGCATAGTCATCAGAAAATGCCAAAATTGGAGAGGAACTAACAATAAATAAATTAATAAAAAAATTATCCAAAAATTTACTAGGAAATTTAAAGTTAAGATTGCTTAAACTCGAAAACAATAATATACTTTTGGTTCAAAAAATTAAAATACCTCTGAACAATATTTCCACTTTCATCAACATAAACAGAACGTAAAAGTTCACCACTTTCCTCTTTGTATAAATGTTCTTTTATGAATTTAACAGCATTTTCTGCCCGTTCTCTATATTCTTTGCTTCTTAAAAAGATTTTCTTTAGAAATTAAAAAAATAAAACTTTTGTTCATCAATAATTGTGGCAGCAGCACAAAATCCAGAAATTGCTAGAGCATTCCAAGCAGTAACCAATTTATTATCTAAATGTGGCTTTGGCCTTTTAGCACGTTCTTCAGCTAGAAAACGTTTCGAATCTTCAATACATTCACAAAGTTCAGAGAGAGACATTTTATGTTCTTTTGAAATTTCCTCCAGTTGAGGACGAGGAACGAGATGAAGAATATTTTGTAATTTCAATTCATCATGTGGATCCTATAAAAATAAGTGAGTTAATTACAAAACTAAAATTAATAGATTAAAAGAAATAATACTTTAATAAAAAAAAAGGTAAAAATTTTAAAAACAAACAGCAGAAGACGGCACATTTCCTTCATCTCGAATACCAAAAGCAGCACAAACAATTTCATCAAGACAAACATTTTCATTATGCCTCGCAGGTCTATCACCTAAAACTCTTTCCACTTCAGTTTTTGTCCAAACACAAAAGGCCCCTTCACGTTTCTTTTTAGATCCTTCTTCAGGTAAAGAATCAGCATCTTCGGCACTGTAGAAACCTCCCAACTAAATTTTGACAAATTTAAAAAAATTAAAAAAACAAACTGGATGTGATAAATTTGTATTTAAATATTTAGCTATATCAATTATTGCATCGGTTGCCAACTCTTTATCTGAAGGGCAAGTTTTACAAAAATTACTGAAAGAACGCAATAATTGGCCTTGGTCATAAAGCATTTTCTAAAACAATGAAAGTTAAAAAATTTAATTATTAAATACTTCAAAATGTGGAACATGCCATTTAGAATCAACAGAATATCGGTGAAAACCCTAAAAACAAAAAATAAATTATATTTAAATTTTAGTAAACCTTTCCAACATGATCGTGTATTCCACCCTCAAACATCTTTTCAAAAGTTAATTTTAACATATTTAATGCTTTATCAGCTTCAACTGAAGGTTTTTTAACTGCATAGAAATTTAGTAAAAAGTCCAAATCAACTGAAAACATTTTTAGGTTTATAAATTTTAGAAAAATAAAAACCAGTTTTAGGGAATTTTGGGGCAGTACCAAAACCACCAAAAGTGGAGTCAAACCGTTTAGAGAGCCATTCAAAACTAGCATTTAAAGCAGAAACAGAATTTGGAAAGTTTTGTTTTTGTCCATCATTAATTGTTGTTGTAGGTTCCAAAGCACTACGTAGTGATTCAGCAACTTGCCGCCCTTCAATACGCATTTGAACATTATTAATCTTCCATTTATCGGTAATCATTGTTAAAACAGAAGCAAATCCAAGACGTCCAAAAGAGTCGCGAGGTGGAAAATAGGTGCCGCCATATATAGGTTCAAGCTCTGGCGTAAGGAAAACACTCATTGGCCAGCCGCCACCACCAGTTAAACTCTTAAAATAAAACAAATTATTCTAAATAACAAAACCAACAACCTGAACAAAAGTCATATAAAGTTTATCAACATCTGGACGCTCTTCTCTATCGACTTTAACGCTAACAAAATTTTCATTCAAAATATTGGCAATTTCAACATCTTCAAAAGACTCATGCTCCATAACATGACACCAATGACACGTTGAGTAGCCAACTGAAGAAAAAATCATATTAAAAAACAAACTAAAAACCTGATAAAAATATTGGTTTGTTTTCAATCTTCGCCTTTTTAAAAGCTTCATCTCCCCATGGATACCTTAAATGTTTAAAATTATTTATTTATTGATATTTAAATAATTACCAGTTAACAGGATTTGTTGCATGCTGAAGCAAATATGGAGATTTTTCATTAAACAAAAGATTGGTTTTCTTTTCGGTAGACATTAACCTTTTATTGTATTTCGAAGGTAAATAATTATTAATTAAAAATCTTTTTGACAGAGCTGTAAATATTCTAAAATTTGGCATCTTAAATTATATTTTAAAAAAGTAAAAGAAATAACTAATCGAGAAATATCAACTCCTCAAACCGTAAAAATGACAATTATACTTTAAAAAATTATTTTATTTTAAAGGTATTAATTAGTAAATTAGGAACAAAAATTTAATAAATAATAATAAAAATTTATTTCTTACATGTTAATGTAAGATTGTAAATACATAAAAAACAAATATTTACAATAAAAATAAATATGGCATATGAAATAATTCAAAATTTACATTCACATCCACAGCCGAGTGGACATTGTGATTGTGTATCAAACCATGTTGCCAAATGTGTTAAATGTCCACCATGGCTACAAGTTACACAAGTTGTGACGATACCTAATCAAAATAAAATTATTATATATCTTTAAATAAGTTTACCTTTACATGGACGTTCACATATTGAACAAACTAAAATAATTGGTAGAAAATCTCTGGGTAAAAGGATATTTGTTAAAGTGCTTAACGCTGAATCGAAAAAAAAACAAAAACATCCCTTTACCAAAGAAATACTTTATTAAATAATTTGTAAATAACATACCAATCGATGATGTTCTCCGTCCCTTTATGCAACAAGAAGAATCTCCTCTTCTTTGTTGTCCACAAAAGTGACACCAAATTAAAGCTATAAAAAATTATAATTTAAATAATTTAATTATTTTTTTACTTTTTATTATTTCAATTGACTCATCGTTTTTAGCACTATCACAATGTTTAAGAACTTCAGCACATTTTTTATACATTCGCCATCGATAAAGAATATCAGCATATATACGTTTAACTTCATTAAACCGATTAGAAAGTGCTGGATCCAAAGACAATCTATCAAAAATTAATAATATTTATTATCAAACAACTTATAAAAATATACAAATTATTATTCCTTTCTTTCCTTGCAGGTAAAGTATAAGTTGTTTTTGGTTTTGGAGAGGAAGACGATAAGTATTCAGGGGAAGGAGATAAACGGTCAACAGTTGTAGTAATTGCTGACTTTGCAGATGTTATTGTTTCTACATATTGTCTTCCTCTAGTCGTATAAAATTGATCAAGAGGAGCATCTTTTAAAAGTTTTTAAATTAATTTTAGAAAATTCTAATACTTGCTGAAAAGGCTGTATTTGATGCCGCAGAAGTTTTACGGTTAAGATGTTGTGGAATTATTGCTGTAACATTATGTTCTGATATAGTAGTAATTGGCATAGAAGAAATATTTTGTTGCATATATAATGCCGCTGAAGAAGAGGATGTTGAAATTGTTTTTGTTGGTGGTCTAATATTAATAGTGTTATCTTCAGTTGTTTTGCTTTGCTTAATAATTCCAATTTTAGTATTGTCTGTCCAAGTTGTTGATCTTCTACGAATCTTACTCCTGGGGACGTTGTTATTTTTAGTGACTAGAAATTAGGGGTTTTTTGAATAAAAAAGAAAACATACTATTAAACAAGCAAATAATAACTGCGGCTGTTTGCAAATCAGATTTGGATACGTAATGCTCTAATCTATAAATTTAAATTAAATTACAGGGAAGGTAAAGAATTCTCTTAAATTAAAGAAAATAATTGTCGTATAAAATTATAAAATAGCTAGCCAAAAATTTATTAAAACCTACAATCTATTTATTAATTCTCTTCCCAGTGGGTGAGAATTCCATGGAATTTCTGTTAATTCAACTGATCTAGCAGCGCGTAGAATTTTCGCAGATTCGATTTTGTAGAGACGGCCAAATTGCAGATGAATAGATTTTTTATTATCACCATTTTGTGCTGAAGAGAAAGGTTTTGAATAGGAAATTAATTGCTCAAGAAATTGCCACAGTGCTAATAAATCAGACCGGCCACAACCATATTTAAGTACTTGTTCAAAATTATGACGACAAATTTCAGAAGGATTATCACCGAGCAATCTATAAAAATTTATAGTTAGTATAAATAAGGTTCAACCACTTGTATGTTTTGGCCAACGGCTGTGAAATTGGAAGAAGTGTTGAAGCATCGTATATTAGAACAGTTGAATTAAATACCTTTAAAAATAAAATTAACAAAAAATCAGTTGAGAATGTTAGAGGAATACAGCTAAAACAAGGCTCGTGTTAACAAAAAACATGACTAAATTAAAAAAAATGTTCTAGAAAACTTTCAGGTAAAATATGAATACTACCCTTGGGATATAGTGTTTATTGTTAGTGTAATATTATAAATAAAATGATTTTAAATTTAAAAAATATAACTTGTTCAGGCATAACCGCTGCCAGTCCTAAAAATAAATTTTCGTCAATTGATTGTTTATGAAACGTTGACGATGTTGTTAATTGCTCTACTGATGAAGATGTATCCCCGACAGTTGTTTGTGGAAGTGCACTCGACATTGAATTACCTCGATGTCGAATAGAATGCATAACATTTTGAAGTGAAAAACTATGTCCATATGGTTCTATTATTGATGATGAATTTGGAGAAGTCTAAATTAAAACCATCTTTATTGTTAGCAAACTTTGTATTCTAATAAATAGTTGAAGAAAAATTATAAACAAGAATACCCCAAAAATGCGTGAATCACTTATTATTGGTCTTTGTTGGCTAATTTGTATAAATTGAGTTTTCTGTTGTTGATGTGATTGCTTTAATGACTCAACTTCTCCCACTTTCTAGAAAAAATATGTAGTAGTTTTATAGAGTAAAAACTTATACCTTCTGATATTCTCCACTCACACCAGAACATAGTTGATTCATAGACTCAGAAATACTATGAGGTTTTGACCCATGTGCAATAGTAGGAGGTATAACATAACTTATTGATCTTATTGGAGGAGAATACTGAAAAGATCCATTCCAGGTTGAAGAAGATTGACGGAGACAAGATGGTGGCGTTGGGTTTACTATAAAATGATTAATCTATTATTGAAAAATTTTATTTAAAAAAATCACCAAAAATACAATATTCAGCCAAGGAACGAGGATAAGGTGATTGACTTTCTGACTGTTGAGGACGAATACCATCGGATTTTATTCCAACAGATTTTTCAATTTGCACGCCTCGCATTGATGCGGGCATAGGAACTATACGAGGAATACTTCTTTCTTCCCTTCTGTCATCAACCGTTAATTGATGTGAAACACCTCCACAAAAATCCTCATTCTTTCGAATATAAATATGATCAACAATTCCAAAAGCAACTAGATACCCTAAAATATATTTTTAATTTTTTATTTGTATAATAGAAATTGCCTGAACGATTAAATCGTGCTCCACAATTTCTAGGAGTAGGGACTCTACTATCATAAGGAGACGGTTTATATGAACAAGGAACTGCTTCCAATTGTTTATGATTAGGTGCTAATGTATCACTTTCACCAAAAATAATTGACCCCCTTTCAGTTGCTTCGGCAGCTAAGGAAGCAAGCAGATTTCTTTCATCACCGGTCGAATCAGATTGGGAACTTGCTTTTGAGGGATATTGGTTAGACGTATCAATAATCGATGAAGCAGAAGGGGGTGGGCCAAAAACCTGTTAGACTTAAAATTAGATTTAATATTATTAATAAACCTTCATTAAGTCAATGATTTTAGGAAGTTGTTTAAGTACTCTACAAAGAACAGTTTGATCACTAGTAATTTTAAATTGTTCATCACATTCTTGCTGTAAAAGTGTGAGAAACAATGATGCTTTGGCAGACGTAAATGGGGAATCATTTTGTAAAATGTCAACAAATACCTAAATTTATTTTAGGTATCAAGGAAATATTAAAAATGTATACCAATCCATTGTCAATAAATTCCTGAAATTATAATTAATTTAATAAGAAAAATTGAATAATATTATTTATAAAATTAAATATTTTCAATAAAAATCAAACCCTGTGAAAGCGTAGGATTAAGTTTATCTTTCGATATCTGTTGTAATGCATGTATGAAAAAGCTATTGCAGCACGCGTGAAGTTAACCTAAAAATAATTTTGGAGTATTTTTCTTCCTGTTTACCTCAGTTGTGTAAAGACCTTCAGTTGTATGCTTTCTAAGTGCTTCTAATTCAGTTAACAGATCACCTCCAATTGTATTTGGTGCTTTAATCCAACGTTGCCATTCAGAATACTAAAAAATTATATTTCAGAAAAATTGAAATTTATATTTAATAAATACACTAGGTGATTGTGGAATAGTGCTACCAGCAGTAGAGGGGATTTGTTGATGTCCTTTGATGGGACCGAGTGATGATGAAGAAGCAGATGCTGGAATAGTACGCCGGGGGCTAAGACTACCTTCTTCAGTTTCAAGTGCCAAATTTTGACAAGCAGTGGGCGAAATTAATTTGTGTTCATCCTTAAAATTGATTTCTGATTTATAGGTTACATGTTTGGAAAATAAAATTTTTTCATGAGGAATTTTATTTTTTATTGATGTCGTTTCAATAATTCAATAATCGACTGACGATAATCAGATGCGATAACAAATTTTACATTAAATTAAGAAATAGTTCTCGTTTAATCGATACCATTTGATTATGCTGTTGTTGAACATGTTCGTCTTCAAAAGTTTTATTTTTCTCGAATTCAGAAGTTAATGTGGTGACAATTTTATAATTTTCTGTATTATCTGATTCATTGCTTGATAAATTTTCAGCTCCAAAAGCTTCAAATATAGAAAAATGGCGTCGTTCAAGTTCACTGGCAGAATGTTGGCGTTGTTCAGAAACCGCTACAAGCCTATCACTTTCTTCATCAGCTTTTGTTTGTAATATAGGAGTAGACATTTCATCCCGAAGTTCATTCTTTACAATAAATTTAAATAAATTATTTTAAAACAAATTATATACAGAAAATTCATAAGCAATTGCATGTCGACATAATTTGTGTTTAAGATTAGAAAGTGTATAGAGGAATTTGGTGGTTGATCTAAATATATAAAATTATAACATCCCAACGACAAATAATTTACTTTAATGTATTCGTTGATTTTAACCAAGCAGCGTCCATTAATGTGTCTCTTTCAACCCCCTATTTATAAGATAAAAATAGAAAATTGATTTAAGAAAACCCGAAGAAGACGTGGATTTTCTAATCCATAATTTGAATAAAGTGCCAGTGCATTAACAGGTGGTAATGCTAATGCAGCCAATTCCTGGCCTTCAAACTAAAAATGTGATATAATTTAGAAAAGAAATTAAATTCGAACCGAAAAAACAAGTCTCCAAGCGCTAAATTGAGCAACGCTTAGAACTGTTGGTGAATTTTGTTGATTTGACATATTCCAAAGCTGATAAGAATATTTATTAAAAATAAGCAAAATAACTACCTTAAGTGTTGAATCATTCGCAGAAGTGAAAAAACTGTTCGGCATCTGGCAATGTCTGTAAAAGAATAAAAAAATGGAACAAAGCCAAAATGAAAAAAACAAACGGATGCCAATCAAGACAAAGTACACGCGAATCATGGGCTGAAAATTGCATAATCGGATGAACAGTATGCTAAAAATAAAAATTTTATTCATGGTTAGGAGCTGGGAAGTTAACATATTATAATAAATATTAAAATAAAACCCTCAAATCCCATAGACGTGTATCAGACCCATGCGTTGTTAAAAGAAAATTTTGAAGATGAGGTGCAACTTTGGATTGGTTGGCGCCAAATGCAGCAGTTACTTGAAAGCTCGGCTTGGTTAAATTAACACGTAAATCCCAACAATTGACATAATCAGATTCTCCACAGCTAATCTTTAAAAAAATCGAAAAAATATTTAAACTCAGTGTTATGTATCTAATAAAAACAGAACGAATAATCTTAATTCTAAAAAATATATTTATTAATACCATTAATTGTTCATCATGTGGACACCAACAAAAATCCGAAACTTTTCTATTCTGAGCTGTAAACGAAGCTAACTGCTGAATTTGTGCATGTTGTCCAAGTGTGTAAATATCAATATATTGGCCAGACTTAAGGAGGATTATTTAAAATTATTAAAAAAATTAATTACCACGCTAGCAAAACGTCCAGTCGCAATTACTGGATTGAATTTCAGCAAACGAACCAATGATCTGTTTGTACGAATTTTTGTGATTGTACTAGTACTAGATGATCCCATAAGGTAAAGAGAGATTTGATTCGACCCTCCAACAATCAAGTATTCAGTATTTGCCAAAACATCCAATGCCGTCCCCTTAAAGGTTTTTTAAATGAACGAAATGACCAATCCTCTTATCCAAACAGCAAATCTAAGCACTTAAAATCATTTCCATAATAAACCAAACCTACCCGAACATCTGCAGACATAAGTCCATCGCCTCGCATTACAACCATTACGTTCGTTCCATAAAACTAATTAAAATGTGATGGACTTAATGTACATTTAAAGCTAGATTTAGAGATTTATTAAATATCAAACTCGATCTAATAATCTAATAAATAAATAAACACAATATTGTAATTTTTTTATCACTCTAATGGGGCATCAAAAAGAAAATATGAAAAACACATAATTTTAAATTATAAAAAATTTTCAAAATAAATTCAAGAAATTATTTCTGAGCAACAAAATACCCGCAATAATAATTGTACTGGAGCATAGAATCCTTATTCCATGTATACCGCGAAGGTGATTCTTTTTGCGACTCTTTATCAAGAACTTTTTCTAATTTAAATCCACATTGTTCAACAAGCCGTAGAATTGACTGAAAAAAATATTTTAATTAAAAATCTTTATTTGTTAATTTTTACATTAAACGGTAATTCCAAAGAAAGTGTATCATCAGAGTCCTCATGATGATAAGTCAAAGGACCAAAATTTAACCAAAAACCTCCTTTCCTCAAAATTTTATAGATTAATCGAATATAAGCAATCGGATTAGCGGCAGTGTCGAGAAAGAAAACAGAAACAACACTGTCAAAATGTTCCTCAGCATCTGAATAAGCTTGTAAAAAGTCACCAGCACACATTGCAAAGCCATTAGCCATGTTGCTAATATTCTCTCTCTTCGAAGAATTCTAATGAAAGAGTTTTTTCCTAATAAAATTATGAAATTTTTAAATACCTTATCTCCATCACTAAAATCAGCAGGATTTACATCAGGAAATTTAACTGGCTTTAATTGATCTTCATAGCACCAAGAATTTGAAAAATCCATAACATAAGGGTAAATAGTAAATTCCTCTTTCTTAAAGTTAAAGTAAAATAAAAAACAAATTCCTTTTATTTTGCTTTTAACCTCATGACAAGCATTCAAAATAAAATTTGAAGTCAATAACATAAAATATGAAAACCTTAAAATTTAAAAATAAATTATGAATAAATTAATTCCAACTCGTTCCCAGTGACAGAAAATCCCACTTTCCTCAGCTCCCAGGCCAGTCTAGCCAAACCAGCGCCAGTAACAAAAACTTGTATGTCCTGCCTATTCTGTTGATTATCATCCGATTTAATAGGATAAAATGCCGCCATATCGTTTAGCACTAAACGGTAGCAAGACTCGCGCTCATGCGCTCCTAGAAACAAAAGACATATAAAAGGAATATTGTAGAAACCAACCATCTGCACTCCAATCACGGACAAGTTGTTTAAGGATACTTTTGCTTTTAGTCATATAATGTTCTGTTGAGGGATGCAATTGATGTGTCTCTAAGGCACTTTGAACACTTCCACCCAAAATGTTAGCACCACAATGGACAATCATTTCGAGCAATCTTTTTAGGGGGTCACTTTAGTACGTGGGTCCCGGAGTTAATATACAAATGTTATACCATTCGAAAGAGCTAGTCGAGCTGAGTCGAATGACACCAAAATTAGCTCTAGGAAAAATTTTTGAACCGAGATATAGGCCCCTGAAGTTTGAAAAACCATAGGGGGGACCAAGCACTTTTTTGGGGTGAAAAATTCGAAAATGCAAATTATACCTCATTCGAAAGAGCTCCTCGATCTGAGTCGAATGACACCAAAATCAACGAAATCCGACTTGATTGGACCGAGATATAGGCCCCTAAAATTCCGAAAATCCAAAGGGTCGATTTTTGGAATAAAAATTTTTTTACAAAAATAATACCTCATTCGAAAGAGCTCGACGAGCTGAGTCGAATGACACCAAAATTACCGTGATTGGACAAGATTAGACAAAGTTATGACACAAAAAACCTAAACCTATGGAGCGTCGGCGAGGCGCTCGTGCAAAACCCCGCGCTTCGCGCGGGGTTTTGCGGCACGCGCCTCGCGGGGAGTCTACGGGCGCTGGGTCTGGGCTCGTAACATAAACCTATTCCTATCTCCCTTGCTCTGGACGTATTTGGGGCCTCCGTAGCAGCAAAAATCTCCACAGATGCCATAGGTAAGGAGCTAAAAGAAAAGATCATAACTTTGTCTATTCAAGTCGGATTTTGTTGATTTTTGTGTCATTCGACTCAGCTCGAGGAGCTCTTTCGAATGAGGTATCATTTGCATTTTCGAATTTTTCACCCCAAAAAAGTGCTTGGTCCCCCCTATGGTTTTTCAAACTTCAGGGGCCTATATCTCGGTTCAAAAATTTTTCCTAGAGCTAATTTTGGTGGCATTCGACTCAGCTCGACTAGCTCTTTCGAATGGTATTACATTTGTATATTAACTCCGGGACCCACGTACTAAAGTACAGCCCTTTTTAGAAAAATATTGGCAACAAATTTAATTTAAAAACTTTTGATTTTGTTCCACACATTCACGTACACGCCTCATATGTTCAGTACAAGATGCCACAAGCAAAGCTTTGTCTTCTTCTAGAAGGCTTCTTAATAAAGAACACTTTGATAAATTAAAAATAATATAAAATTTAAACCAAAAACCTTATAGCATCAGATCTCCGCTTCAATTTCTTCAAGCAATATTGTTGATAATAGCGCATCGCATTAATTACTTTTTCAGCAGCCTCCACCTCAGCTTGTTCAGAATATTCATTTCCAAACTGCCTCAATTTATTTATAGATTCTCCACCAACTTCCGCAGAGAAAGTATCGACAAGGTTTTTATCCATAAAAATGGTCAAAATTAAAAAATAGCGAATTATCTTATTAACGATATTTTTTAAAACTTTATAATTTTTTTCACAAATTTTTTCCATCCATTTACAATTTCTATACCAGAGGTCGATCGGAAATGACGAAGGTGCTGGAAATCGAAGTGGCCCAAAAGTCGAAAATCGGAAATCAGCTCACATTTTCGAAAATCGGAAAGAACAAACGTCGGAAACCGGAGTTCCGATCAACCTAATTCAGAACAAATGTGTTTACAGACACAATTTAAACACAATATTTTGGCGAGGAGGTTATTCCCCTCCTCTGTCTCAAAAAATTTAACCAAAACGCGAATAAATCGCGGTTATAAAAGTGGCTTGGAATACTGGAAATTATCTTTGTAAAAGAAAAAAATTTCTTAATACTGTTCGACGGGTTGAACATGCAATATAGAGTTTTAAATGGAAAAACTAAATAGCAGAGAAATATTCATGAAAAGATAATAAGGCTAGAGAAACTATATAAATTTATCTTATTCTAATATTTCTTTTTGTTTTTTTCTTTTTCTTTCACTATTTCTCCACATATTTTCTTGGGTACAGCCCGAATAGTCGCGGGTCGAATGGTCGCCGGCCGAATAGTCGCAAAGGCCATATAGTCGCCGGTCGAATAGCCGATTGACTGTTTTAGAATTGTCCATTTAAGAGTATGAGCATCTTGAGATTTCGATAGTTGATACCGAGTTTTGCTCAAAAAAGGGCTTTAACATATTTTTATAATTTGCCAATTAATTAGAAATGTCTCACTAATTTATTAAATGGATAAACCGAAATCCTTAGAAACACAATTTGTTTGTATAAATTGTCTTAATCCATCGTCGTCACTTTATACAGAATATAGTCGAGATGTTATTCGAATGACTGAATGTGTGGGTTTAGAAAAAATTGGCTATAAAATTTTTTTTAGAAAAATTGTGGATTAATTGTTGACAAATACATAGAATATGACATTACTTTAATTATAATTGATTTGGTATAATTTTGAAATTTTTGAATTTTATTTTTTTTAAAGATTTTGCAATACAAATCTGCTTATCGTCACGTATTAATTAATCTTAAGGCTAAACTACAGTTTCCGTACCAGGCTCAGAATTGGACGATTTATATGTCATTCGAAAGAGCTCGTCGAGCTGAGTTGGATGACACCAAAATTTTTCAGCGGAAAAAATTCTGAGCCGAGTTACAGACCCCTAAAGTTCAAAAAACGATAGGGGGGACCAAGCTGATTTCTGGGGGTGAAAAATTCGAATATGCAAATTATACCTCATTCGAAAGAGCTCATCGAGCTGAGTCGAATGACACCAAAATCAATGAAATCAGACGTCATTTGACAAAGTTACGACCGTTTGTTTTAGCCCCTTCCACAAGGGTTTCGCGGAAAAAAGTTTTTGCCGCTGCGGAGGAAGCCGGGCATGTCGAGCGGAACGACGGCCGCCGCTTCGCTACGGTCGCCGCGAGCGCAGCGAGCACGACCGCAGCGAAGCACGGCCATCGTGTAGCGAAGACCATGCCCGGCCTACCCTCCGTAGCAGCACAAAAACAGTTTTTCCAGCGAAGATTCTGTTGGTCATAACTTTTTTCAAAATCATCCAATCGAGCTGATTTTGGTGTCATTCAACTCAGCTCGTCGAGCTTTTTCGAATGAGGTATCATTTGTATAATCGAATTTTTGACCCCAAAAATCAGCTTGGACCCCCTATGGTTTTTCGATTTTCGGGGGCCTGTAACTCGGCTCAGAATTTTTTCCGCTGAAAAATTTTGGTGTCATTCGACTCAGCTCGACGAGCTCTTTCGAATGACATATAAATCGTCCAATTCTGAGCCTGGTACGGAAACTGTAGTTAGGCCAATCTTAATTTTAAAGTAAAATTTTTATTCAAAAAAAAATTATTTTTATTTTATTTTAGTCATTTTTTCGAATTATCTTCATTTTTCTCCTTTGTGACGCCTATGAAGATTGGATAGAAAGAAAATCATTAGCGGATCCCGATAGGATTTTTTATGATTTGGAATGGACTTTTTATGAATGTCTTTTAAAAAGTTTAATGGAATTTTTGGTTTATTCAATTTCTATTTATTTATTAATTAATTTATTAATTCAAATAAAACAAATAAAGGTAATTAATTAATTAATTAAAAATTAATTTCTAAAAAATTCAAAATTAGCCTAAAATCAAAAAATTTATTCTCAAAACAAACAAAAATTATTTTGTTTTTTCTTTTGAATGTGCTTTAATTAGTTTTTATGGAAATTTATTTATTGTTTTTTCAATTATTTGGAAATTACATGGACAATATTTTCATAAAATGCTTACACAATCTTTTTTGTTTATTTCACATTTACAAATTCAAAAAGGTTTAAAATTTTATTTAAAAAAATTGACCCTATCCTAAAAAGAGGGCGCCTTGATTTTTTTTCATCATTTTTTCCAACCTTAATATATAAATAATGGTCAGTCCTTTCTTCTTCGTGCAATTCCACTCTTTTTACCTGTGGCATATTCAAATGAGAGGACAGAAAATACACTCACGGACAGACAATCACTGACGGACAAAACACAGACGAAGACGGACAGACAAATCACGGACGAACACGGACAGACAAAGCACGGACGAATACGTACGAAACGAGCACGGACAGACAAAGCACGGACGAACACGACAGACAAAACACGGACGAGCACGGACAGACAAAACAAGTTTGTGTCCGTCCGTGTTTTGTCTGTAGCGTATGTGCTTTTCTGTCCTCTCAATTGAATATGCCAAAGGTAAAAAGAGTGGAATTGAACGAGAAAGAAAAGACTGACCATTATTTATTTATTAAGGTTGGAAAAAAATGATGAAAAAAATCAAGGCGCCCTCTTTTTAGGATAGGGCCAAAAAATTTTTTTAAATTTAAGCCCTTTATCCTGAATTTGGTTTTTGGAATATTTTAGCAATTTTAATTAGTATTTTATTTCAATTTGTAGCAGGACACTTTACACAAAAATATATTAAAGTGTTTACAAACACATTTTATTAATTTAATTTTCTGATAAAATAATTTTTTACAAAATATTTTGAATGTTTAAAAATAGAATATCTGAAAATATATAAATATTTAAAAAAATCTTTTTTTACGTTTTTATTTTATTTGTGGAAATGCCATTGACGGTTTGGAAGATTCATCACTATCTTCTGATCGCCAAAGTTGTGTAACTGTTTTTATTTGTGTATAAAAATTTAGTCCTGCACGTCCGTAAAAATTAGCATCTCCAAGAAAACTAAAATTTATATTTAATATAATTAAAAATTATTTTTTCTTTCTACCTTCCACGAGAGCCAGTAAATGAAAACATTGGAAGAGGTACTGGAATCGGGACATTAATCCCAACTTGTCCAACATCTATCTGTGAAGTGAATTTGTGGGCAGCAGCACCATTTCGAGTAAATATTGCCGTACCATTTCCATAAGGGTTTGCATTAATTAAATTAACAGCATCATCCAAAGTGTCCACTTCGAGTACGCAAAGGACAGGACCAAAAATTTCTTCCTAAAAATTATTTCTAAAAAATATTAATTAAATAAAGTTACTTTATAACAAAGCATTTCTGGTTTAACACCTGTAATCACAGTTGCCCCAACAAAATTTCCTTGTTCAAAACCATTCACTCGAATTCCTGTTCCATCCAATGGAACTTTAGCACCATCTGCCTTTGCCGACTCAATTAATTCAACAATTCTCCTTTTCGCCTTTTGTGAAATTACTGGCCCAATTTCTGTTCTAGCGTCCCACCCCGGACCAACAACTAAACGACGGGCACGTTCAACCAATTCAGGAATCCATGCCCGTGCTTCACCAACAAAAACAGCAGTAGAAAGTGCCATACAGCGTTGCCCAGCAGCACCAAAAGCTGCGGCAGTGACCTTTTAAAAATACTTAAAAGGTTAATATTTTTAATTACCTGATTAAGTGCATGTTCCTTATTTGCGTCAGCCAAAACAACGCCATGATTTTTTGCACCCAAATTTGATTGCACACGTTTTCCGTGTCTGGCACCTTCCTCATAAATATATTTACCCTAAAGAAAAAAATAATTCCTGAAAAAATATTGAAATAATGTTAAAAAACCGCTTGATCACTGCCAACGAAGGAAATTGCTTTAATATCTGGATGTTGACAAATAAACTTCACAGCATCATGTGTCCCGTGAATAACATTAACACATCCATCTGGTATACCCGCTTCCTACAAGAAAAACAAATTAAAAGTAGATTTTTGTTCAACCTTTGCTAATTCAACAAGCATTAAAGTAGCACCAGGATCCTGCTCTGAAGGTTTTAACAACATTGTATTTCCAGCTACGAGAGATAAAGGCATCATCCAAAGTGGAATCATCGCAGGAAAATTAAAAGGACAAATTCCTCAAAAAGAATTTTTGTATTTTTCAACAATTAAATATTCATACCCGCTGTAACTCCAAGTGGTAATCTCAAACTATAAGTCTCCATATCAGCTGCAATACTAACATACAAAAATATTCGTTATCAAAGTTAAAATCCTTACTTTGGCAAATGTTCACCAAGTAACATGCTTGCAGCATTACATGCAAATTCCACTACCTAGAGAAATTATTCTGATTTTTGTATTCATAATTTAAACAAAACCTGTAATCCACGAAATACATCACCTTCAGCATCAGCAAGTGTTTTGCCTTGTTCGCATGTGATATTCTCAGCAAGCTTTTTTTGATTCCGTTTAATTAGTTCTTGAAGCCTTAAATGCAAAGAAAATATTAATAAGATCAAAAGGCAGTAAGGAGTTTATTACCAAAGAATTTTATTCAACAAAATTTTATTAACATTTTTACCTAAACATGCATTGTTGTCGAGAAATTATTGAGGTATTTCGCCAAAGTTTAAATGCATTAAGACAAGAATTAACTGCACTCTCCATTTCTTCTCTAGTTGATTCTGGAACTTTACCAATCAACTCATTGGTAGCCTAAATTGAT